ACAGGTTCATTCACATATTTTAAATGGAGCTGCCCACCTGAACACACCTATATTGCTATATTTAATATTTTGCCATGTCTTTATGTACAGTCTCCTTCGCTGCCTTTCCCCCACCCCTTAGTCAAGCCTCAAACGTTCACGTCACTCTAGGGGAAAACACACTTCAGTGGCACTGCCAGCGGGCCAGGGCTCCAAAGCAACTGAATAAAAGGCAGAACAGTGCACATAGAACAGGGTGACTTGATTTAGTCATAGTTCCTGATGAAGGAAGGAGGCTCAGACTAGATTTGAGTTCGCGACATTTTGTTGAACAATTGAATTCTCAGCCTTAAGGAAATTTAAGAATAGATAGTATGTTTTTGATGAGTACAGTCGTACCTTGGAAGTCGAACGGAATCCATTCCAGAAGTTCTGGAATTCGACTTCCAAAACATTCGGAAACCAAAGCACGGCTTCCGATTGGCTGCAGAAAGCTCCAACAGCCAACCGGAAGCTGCGGAAGCCACATCGTACATTCAGCTTCCAAAAATTGTTCGCAAACCGGAATAGTCACTTCCGGGTTTGTGGCGTTCGGGAGCCAAAACGTTCGAGAACTAAGCCGTTCGAAAACCAAGGTACGGCTGTATTGTTAAAAAGGAAGGCAGAAAAAAACCCACAGAGATCACAGCCCTGAGATTACTAAACTTGCACATTAAGTGTTGTTAGGAATGATGGGGCTGGATACCAAAAAAATTCAATGGGGAAATATTGTTTTCACAGAGCAAGTTAGCCTTCTATAAATAAGATCATCTTCCCTATTGTTATCAATTTGTTTCATTAATGCAACAATTATTCGGGAGTTCATTTGAGTCCACGGAAATCAGAATGAATTAAATTATTGCACTTTAAAGTCTGAAGTATATGTTTCAGTCAGCTTCACTGTTCTGGGTTTACGAAGTGTCCTGCATGGTCCATACCTGCTCATTGTTAACTGATAAGCCAAGAAAACAATAATGACCTATTTTATGGGGCCATAGCCTAAGGGATTTCAGTGAAACCTTGTACTTTTCAGTTATTTTCAGTTATTTCAGATAGCTATATATTTAGTGAATTAATTCTTGATTCAGCAAAATATGAAGCTTACATTTTTTAAAAATTGTGTTGTTGTTTTTTGAAAATAAACCAGCTTTGCCACTGTCATTCGTCTTTGCCAATAGAAATCTATTTTAAAATGTTTTTCTTTTTTTTCTGAAGGGAAATGTCACCCTGTCATAGTGTTCATCCTCTGTGTACACGTATCTGTCAGTTCTGGAAAAAAGACAGGTTGGGAAACTTTCGAATTGGATAATATTTCTTGGTAATTTTACTATAGTAGATTAAATTGCCTGCCCGTACAAAGCCAATGGCAGATAAAAAAACATGGGTCTCGGGTATATACTGTATTTTTCCGTTTATAAGACACCCCCATGTATAAGACGCCCCCTATTTGGAGGGAATCTGATTTAGGAAAATGGGGGAAGATCTATCCGTGTATAAGATGCCCCCCGCAATTCTGGACATTACTTTTTAAGGAAAAAAAACTAGTCTTATACATGGAAAAATACAGTACATCTTGGAGCAGCTTTTCAGATTACGTTTGGTATTTAGGTATAATAAGTACCCAAGGACAAAATACATGTCAAAATATCATGTAAGTTGAACACACACGTTAGCCCTGTCTACATACCAGTTTTCTACGGGGAGCGGAGGGGAGAAGAGTTTGACACATACTACTCAGCCCCCTCTTGATGCATAATGTGCAATGAGGACAGTAGGCTAGGCTGGCTGGCGCCATATTGATCAGCTGTCACACGCAGAATACTACAATCTGCACAGGGCTAATGTCTCTCTCCCGCCCGCCCCCCGTAGAATACAGGGAAACAGGGCCCAATCTTAAGAGTTCATTTAGACAAGCTGCATGGGAAGAAGTCAGTTTTGCCTCTTTAGAAGCACTGGTTTGCCCCTTGCCTGCATGTGCTAAGAACATAATGCAAAAAGAGGGTTCCATATCACAAATTTAACAGCAGTGGCTCCTTTGCCAAGGGAAAAGAGTCCTACTGGGGAATACCTACCAGGTAACCACTGCCAGAAGCAACTGCTATTAATATGAGAAGATGTCATGTATAACCAAGCTCTCAAACAGAAGGACTTCACTAGGTTACAGTGGCTAGACTTTCCAAGGGTCCCTATTTTCGAAGGACAGCCCCGGATTTACAGAAGCCGTCCCCCTTTTCCTTAGGACATCCCTGTTTCCATCAGAGAAACGTTGGGAGGGTATGGAGTTATGCAACCACCGAGCCAAGGAGATAAGCAGCTATTCAACCGTTAGGAGACATCTGTAGGCAGCCCTGTATAGGGAAGTTAATTAATGATTTATTATGTTTTTATATATGTTGGAAGCCACCCAGAGTGACTGGGGCAACCCAGTCAGATGGGTGGGGTATAAATAATACTATTATTATTATTATTATTATTATTATTATTATTATTATTGACGTCCCTATTTTCATCGGAGAAATGTTGGAGTCTGTATGATTCTGTATTTTGTGCTTGGGTATCTGTTTGCAATACAAAGCTGACTTTGGAGAAGGAAAAAGTTTTATTGGTATGTTATTGTTTATCTGATTCCTACCTGAAAATATGCTTTTATTTATGCCATAGCATGGGGCAATATATTTTGTAAAAAAATTAACAGGCTGCTGCTCTCTGTGGGTCTTGGGAAAAAAATTGAGAGTTTTTTTTCTTCAAGTCAAGTCTGCCTCCAACGGAATCCATTATTAGTATTTATCATCGTCATTATTTACCACTGTTATTTTAAAACCAGAAATGAGTTCAGCTTGCACCCCAGGTGGAAAGTTAAAAAGAGGACACCTTGTTGAGATATTTTTTTTTTTTATCACAGTAGGCAGAAGAGTCGCTTTGTAGCCCTCACCGGGCGAATGGTGCACTGCTTCACAGCTACACTGTTCACAAATCCTTCCCACCCACCCAGAATAGATAGATATATGTATGTATAAACAAAAACAAAAAAATCCCCTGCCCATCTCTCAGTACACAAAAGGACCTCATCACACTGCAAAAATAGCAGTACCCACTTTGGTCAATTAAAACAAACAAACAAACAAACGAACAAACGAAAAAGCATACATTAATCTTTTGTCTTTTAAATCTGTGTACTTACCTAGAATAACCAATACAGCTAAAAAGCACTACCTACATAGGCAAAACTTGGTATTGCATAATTCGTATAAATTTGAATCCCCTCCCCCCAATATTAATTGGAAGATGAAAAACATGAAAGATTAATAGAAAAAACACCAAAATACTGAAAATATTGCTGGTCGATTACAATTTTCAAGCGGCAACTATACACAGCCATGATATGCTTTATAAATGTGAGATAAAGTTATAACTGCTTAAAAAATCCATGATGTCAATTTTTTTTTTTTTCGTTTTCCCATCTTGGAGTACAAAATATTTTGTCATAAAAATGGTAAAGATTTAAAATGATAATAAATGCAGCAAAACAAGTGTAGTGATGTCACTTTTTTTTTTTTTTAGATTTCAAGGCAAGGCACGTTATGTGGACATTATAACTTCGTGCAAATTAGGATTACTGGATAAAGTAGTTTTAATTAAATTTTTTTTTATAGAGACATAGAGGCAAAATGTATCCGCCCATGCACGTTCCTGTCAATATGAGAAATGTGTCGAACAAGGCTAATTTCTGAGAGCACCATGCAAAGATTTCAGCACCCTGTTATTAGACTTTCTAAAAGAGTGCATTTTTAAAAAATATATTTCACCCCCCCACCCACCCAACCCAACAACCTGGCGTTCCCAGTTTGTAAACTGTAAGCTTTGTCCCTATGATGTGAATTTACCTCTCTCCCGTCTCTGTGATGAAGGTTTTATAGAACCTTTACCATTCTCTAGGGATTCTTCTTGATGCAACCAGTAACTTTAAATAAATAAAATACCTCAAAGAGGCAGAAGCTAAAATCAACATAAGTGCTGTGTTTCAATCAATTTCTTTTTCTCAAGTACATGATTTGTCTTGATTTAATTAATGCCTTTTAATGCCCCCCCTTCAAAACTGAGGGGAAAATAGATTTGTTCAAAATACCTTTGAAATTCTTCTTGTTTTTTTTAATCCCCTCAATTTAGAGTCCAAGGGCTAAAGGACTTATAACAATGATCCCCTTTAGATATACTTTTTAAAAATTGCACTTGCCTCTAAGTGTTTTCCTTAGTGGGGGGGGGGATTATTTTTCGTGTCTTCCTCTTTTTTGTTTTTACGGTCATATGAGAAGATAACACATTATTTAAACCTAAAGTGAGGCATCAATTCTATAAAATGCCTGCTTGTTTAAATGACTTCCTGAACATTTCAAACTAGGTAACGCAGTAGGAAAAGGCTGGGTTATAAGGGCCAAAGTTAAACAAATTTGGATTGATCATTAAAGGCTAAATTGTTTGGTTTTTTCCTTAGAGAGAGAAAAAAACTTTTTAGAAATTAAGAGTGCTGAGAAAAGCTGGCTCACTGGCCCCAATTCTCCTGCAACTCTAGTGGATGTCTCCTAGCCTTTGTTTTGAGAGCTAACTAGGAATAGTGATCCCATGCGTAAACACCAAGAATACTAAACCAATAAACTAGCTTATCATGCAAATATTAAGGCATCTAGAAAGTCAGTTAAAATATATTGTCAGAGACAGAACATCTATTTCCCAGTGGATTTCATAGAACAAAGGCTACTTAGGAGGAACATCTTTCTACTCATCAGTGAAATATCGTCGACCCTTTTTTTAAAAAAAAAACATCGTTACAGTTTCAACCTTAAGGGAATTAGTGATTGTAAGTGCTGCAATTGCTGGTCTATGTTTCTTCTTTCTTCAGGTTCTTCTTCTTCGTCTTCTTCTTCTTCTTTTTTTTTGTCCCGTCTTCCTTTCTTTTATAGTATTTTGTTCAGTTTCAATCTCCCTCAGTTGCTTGTTTCTGCTTGAAGGAAAGGTTCTCCAATTAGGTTCAAACCATAATTTTGGACGCTTGTCGGCAGGATTGGTGTCCTGTTTGATACTTGAAAAGGGACCAAGCTAGCCCAGGTACCAGGACTGTTGAGGGAAAAGAAAAGAGAGAGCAGAATAATCGTTTAGAATATGATAGCAGCAATAACCTAAAAAAAGAAGAAGAATTAAGATTGGAACACCACCCAGCTCCATATTCTAACAAGTCTTCTAACAGTGCATCAATTTTCACAGATGAACTTGAAGTATGCAGATACAATATGCTACAGGTGTTATTTACACTAATTGACCGATCCTAAAACTAGCACCATAGCAGTCTTGCAATCCAATAAACAAAGTTACCTGATTGTAAGTCCCACCGAACAAAACAGGCCCTATTTCTGCCTAGACATGTATAGGATTGCACTGTTATTCTCGCTGGGGAGAATATTATGCCTGTTAACAGGCAGATAGGTCACTGCCAATATTTAATTATTTACTTATTGGGTGGTCTAAGGCTTACTCAGAGTAGACCCACTGAAATTAATGTACCTAACTTAGCCATGCTCATCGTTAACTGTAATAAGCCTACTCTGAATAAATCGTATTTGAAAAGCATCCATTGGAAAGTGGATCATTCCTTGACAGAAAGCCAAGTTTGAGTGACTGGAAAAACTGGCTGTCAGAATCCACCTCCCTGAGTTGCTTTTTAGGAGTAAAGTTGTGAACTTATCTGGGTTTTTGTTTTCTTAAGGCTCATAACTTTCTAATGTTCAACAATATTTTTGTGGATAAAAAAACACCATAGTAGCATTTGCAACACCTTTCACATCTAGTGCTTGAGTGCAAAACAGCCAGATCTTTTTATGTTTGTTGTGTTTTTTTTGGGGGGGGGGAGACAGGAATATTCAATGCAAATAAATTATCGTGGTGACAAACAGGATTGTTGTTGCAGCATGACTAATAAATTTAATTAAGATGTTTATCTAAACCTCTCAAACTTCCCAACTTATGACTCTTAGAAATGCACCATGCAATATATTTGTCAATATGGTTTATGAATCCCGAGGGAAGGATAACTCTTGTACGTTAACACTGTGCAGATACCACAAGAATTTTACAACCCTCTGACCAGAAGTGTGTTGCACAGCATAGGCCTTTCTTAAGAAAAAGTTAGCACTTTTCAGAAATGGTACCAGGCTGGGGAGATTAGCCTTAAGGAAATGGTGCTTTAAAATGTCAAAGCAGTAGCAGCTGAGATGCTTAAATTAAAAGAATAGTTCTAGATTAGAGCCCTGAAGCACATTAAAGACAAAGTATAGAGTTGCCACAAGTTTAAAAAGGTAAAGGGACCCCTGACCATTAGGTCCAGTCATGGCCGACTCTGGGGTTGCAGTGTTCATCTCGCTTTATTGGCCGAGGGAGCCGGCGTACAGCTTCCGGGTCATGTGGCTAGTAGCACCTTAGAGACCAACTAAGTTTGTTCTTGGTATAAGCTTTCATGTGCATGCACACTTCTTCAGATAATTAACTAAGTTCTACTCAAGAGTAGACCCATGGAAATTAATGGGCCCATGTCATGTCACTTAATTTCAGTGGGTCTAACTTGTGGCAGAAGGGACGTGGGTGGCGCTGTGGGTTAAACCACTGAGCCTAGGACTTGCCAATCAGAAGGTCAGTGGTTCAAATCCCCATGACGGGGTGAGCTCCCGTTGCTCGGTCCCTGCTCCTGCCCACCTAGCAGTTCGAAAGCACTTCAAAGTGCAAGCAGATAAATAGGTACCGCTCCGGCGGGAAGGTAAATGGTGTTTCCGTGTGCTGCTCTGGTTTGCCAGAAGCAGCTTAGTGATGCTGGCCACATGACCTGGAAGCTGTACGCTGGCTCCCTTGGCCAATAAAGCGAGATGAGCGCCGCAACCCCAGAGTTGGCCACGACCGGACCTTATGGTCAGGGGTCCCTTTACCTTTACCTTTACCTTTACATGGCATATAGACAGCTTGGCTGCTTACAAACATAGTTCTTCAATTAGTCCTTAGTGTTGCTCTGCACAGATGCCCAGGTGGGACTGCACAGAGTCCACAAAGAAAAATGAGAATTATAATGTAATGCTGACAGCAGCACCTGCATGTAGGCGGCCCTCCAAGCCAGTACGATTGGGAACAAGCCCTAGGCTTAAGCACTCCTCCCTTCTTCCTTTATGCACATGGCTTGATTCAGAACTTCCCAGTTTGATCAAACCATCATTTGATGTTGTACCTGAACTACTGAGACAGGCTCACTTACAAGCAAGCTCACTTACAAATCAGGGTCCACAAACCACCATCTGAACTTGCAGCAATCTGTTTTGTGCATAAACATTGTTCTCATCAGACCATAGTTTGTTGCGTTTGAGTGCAACAGCAAACTAAGGTTTGAGCCACACAAAAAGTAAAGCACTAAATGAAGAAGGGAGTGAGTAGTAGGTTCACTTATAAGTCTCTTAAGCCATGGTTTGTAAGACAGTCTTAAAGCAACCAAGGCAAGCACTTCCAAAGCATTATATATAAGGCACATATCATTTCTTATTGGGAAGCTTTTTGGATGGAATCTCATGACAAATGTAATATGTAAACAGCTCTAGAATTATTTCTCTTCTGAATGCTTCCTGGTTATATCACCAAGATCGCCAGTGGGACAGTTCAGCAAACACAAAATCTGTGCTATTTTGTCCAGAGTTACTGCCCAGTTAATAAAACGTTCAGTAAAGTGGTTTCCTAATGCTATAGAGGTAGGCATAAATTTTTGAACAGTGTTTATAAAATACACCTATTAAAATTCATGACAAAAGAGGTAACTGTACAGAACTCTGTTCACTGAAAAGTACTAAAGGAAGTATTGATAATAACCTATTGGCATAATGCTACTTAATGTCTTCTCCTTCCACTAACAAAAGGTCACTTCTGAGGAAATGGGAGAACAGCAGAAAGAATATGGAGAATATAATACTCAGGAATACTCAGCTCTGCTTACGGTATTTGAACATTGTCTAAGAGACACAAAAAATGTCTGATTTGAAAATTGTGCCTTCCATAAAAAGGATACCTCAGAATTACTTCAAATTATCTGATGGCAACTTCAACTTCTGCTGCTATTCATATATTTTCATTGCATAAGGGAAGAGAATAGAATTTAAAGTGAACATATTGTTTAGGTATGCACCATTTTGACTGTCTTGTTTAACAAAGCTTTCTGCTTATGCACAGAGCTAGAAACCTAGCAAAAACCTGAAACAAAGCCCCGTCACTTTCTCTACCCTCCCTCCCAAAACTCCCTCTGTTTTGAAAAACCGAACAATTGATTTGTATCCTTCAGCCTCTTTGAGAAGTGCCTTATGTTTCTGGCAGCCCGATTTGCACTTATAGCCGTGTGGCGGTATGTATATTAATCATGCATGAATGACAAATGTCCTTTAGACCCTACTTCAGATCTAGTGCAGATTCTTCTATACATTCTAGAGATCAGAAGCTGAGCTCATACATACTGGGCCCTGTAATAATAATAATAATAATAATAATAATAATAATAATAATAATAATTTATTTATACCCACCCATCTGGCTGGGCTTCCCCAGCCACTCTGGGCATCTTCCAACAAAATCTTAAAATAAAGTAATGTATCAAGCATTAAAAGCTTCCCTAAACAGGGCTGCCTTCAGATGTCTTCTAAAAGTCTGGTAGTTGTTGTTTTCTTTGACATCTGGTGGGAGGGCATTCCACAGGGTGGGTGCCACTACCAAGAAGGCCTTCTGCCTGTTTCCTGTAACTTGGCTTCTCTTCCAGCACACTGGCTGCTGTTGTTGCCAGTTCCCAAGCATAGCAAATGCCAGCACAAACTAAGGAACTTTGACACTGGCACTATGGGAGAGTCTGTAACACAGAAGCCATGCATCTCTCACTCTCTCAAACTACAAGTCTTGGAGTTTCCTCTTCAAACACTGAGCCACATTCAACCACAAGCGGAAGCCTGTGTCAGGACTTCTGCTAGCTCAGCAGGGCTTCCTTGGTTTCTTTCCCCCATGTGCCCCCACAACTCAGGCTTGGGGGTGTCAGGAGAATACCCAGACAGCATGTGAGAGGAGGAGAGGGGCGATCATTCCAACAGACAGGCAGAAATGCTTGCAGTGAGCTCCTAAATCAGGCATAGGCAAACTCAGCCCTCCAGACGTTTGGGGACTACAATTCCCACTATCCCTGACTACTGGTCCTGTTAGCTAGGGATCATGGGAGTTGTAGTCCCAAAACAGCTGGCGGGCTGAGTTTGCCTATGCCTGTCCTAAATGCTACACTGAATTCTTCTCTCTCAAAATGTTGCCTGCTCTGTTCTCACACTGCTGCTCCTGCAAATATAACAAGCTATTGATAACCCCTCAGAGGAAAATAGGTTTCCATAAATATCCTCAAGCATGGTCTACAATTTAGCACTCCCCGCATCATGATAATAATCGTACAAGTCCAAACCAGGCTCATCTGAAAATCTACTTCTGGGTAATGTGTCCCTTATTTTCCCATGGTTGGGCCATGAATGTACTCTAAGCCGAAGTAATGAAAACTATTATCCAGTGCTTTTCCTGATGGTCATAATCCTCATGAGAACATATCCAAGAGTGCTAAAGTAAATTTTGCCCTTTAGAAAGCAAAAAAAATGTCCTTTACTTTGCTGAGAAAGCAAAATGAGTGTGACTGTACATTCGTTGCTTGTATACTTTCATCTCTGGAGAAGTTACAGTGGGAGAAAGAAATGGGAGCCAATAACTGTGTAAGATTTGGGGTGGTGTCCTGCCATTTTATTTAGTAAAATGTTCTTCCCACCAACTTTCCCTCTTTATGGGGTCGCTGTTGTGAAGAAACGTGAAATTAGAATTGTACAGTGATTTGAATCCCCTGATCCTTATCTTGGTTATCTTTAGATATGCAAGTACAGTGGTACCTCAGGTTAAGTACTTAATTTGTTCCAGAGGTCCGTTCTTAACCTGAAACTGTTCTTAACCTGAAGCACTACTTTAGCTAATGGTGCCTCCTGCTGCCACCACGCCGCCAGAGCACAATTTCTGTTCTCATCCTGAAGCAAAGTTCTTAACCTGAAGCACTATTTCTGGGTTAGTGGAGACTGTAACCTGAAGCGTATGTAACCCGAGGTACCACTGTACATGGTTACTTGGCAATCAACTGAAAATAGGAACCTACAAACAGTGGCGTCGCAAGGGGGGGCGGTTTGCCCCAGGTGCCATGTCTGGAGGGGTGACAAGAAGGCACCCTGTGGGGTGCTCGCCCTGCCATCCCTGGGCGCAGCGGCACGTGCGGCCACCGCGCCACCGCATGTGGAGGATCCTCCATTTGTGGCTGCAGCCGTGAGCAGAGGATCCTGCCAATGTCCGTACAGCATTCGAGCGGCGCCGGCAGCAAACCGCTATGTACAACACATGCACGGTGTCGCATGCAAGAGCTGTATGTAGCGCCACCACACATGCGCTGTACATAGCAGTTTGCCGCCAGTGCCGTCTGTATGGCGCTCTGGCGGCACCGGCGGCAAACCGCTATGTAGGGCGCATGCGCGGTGTCGCACGCATGCACTGTACTTGGCGACGCCGCACATGTGCCCCATGTAGCAACGCCATGCATGCATCGTATGTAGCGGCGCAACACATACGCAGCCGACGTTTGCCCTGCCCTGGGTGTTGGTTAGCCTTCATTCACCCCTGCCTACAAACTTCTATCACAATGTTCCCCAGAAGTGTAGGTCATCTTAAGCCTACTATTCATTTTCTCTATGTGGGCAGTGCCACACATATTTGTGTCAAAAGTTAGCAAAATTTCTATTACCAGTTCACCAAGAATGGATATATACTCTATTCCTGTGATTTCTTTTTTCACAGTGACTTGGGCCATATATGCATTTTTTTTGCAATGTTTTGTTTTGTTGTTAGAGGGAAGACACCTAAGGTTACTTTGTAGTTTTAGGTATGAGGCAAAAATAAATTGTGGTCTAATTCCAACACAGATTTAGGGATACGTAAGCACATCTAACCGTGCTGGATTCAGGGCAAAATCCCTGTTATTTAGTTTGCTTGAAATGAGACAGTACTAAAACAAAGTAAGCTGCACTGATACATGTTTTGCAGTTCACATATGTAATAGCACAGAAGAGGTTAACCTCAAAGCATTTCAGCTTCCAGGGTGCCGATTCCGGTTTCTGTGACAGAACCTTAACTCGATCCTTTTCAAAAGTTATTTTTAAAGTTGGCAAGAATCACACAAGCACTGACTATCTGCCCCCCCCAATTTTCTATAACCTTTTAAATAAATTTTGCACAGCGGTTCATTACAATGTGCACTTAATATAAATAAGAATTAGCATTTTATTTTTGTTTGCTCAATAAACATGCCAAACACTCACAGAAAGGACAAATCACAGTATAAAAAAACAGTTTCACGGTTGAAGAAGACACTACACACACACACACACACACACACACATTTTAAAAGTGATATTCTGAAATCATCAAGGGGTTAATGGTGCTCTTACCACTTCTGAAAAAAACCAAAAAACCATACTCATCCTTCTCTAAGAACACTGCTAAAATCATCTGACAGGAAACATAAGATTAAGTTTATCCTACCTAACTGAACAAAGAGCGCTTAGAACAAGCAACTGGTTTACTGCAGCGCGGGAACTTTTCTAATCCTGCTGGAATCTGCAGTGCAACTCTCAAAGTACAGCTGGGGAGGGGGAGAGTTGCTTTCTTTTGAACATTTTGTCTGTGGATTCCCCTCATTTTAGTCACATTGTAGGGTTTTGTTTTTGTTTTGTTTTTGTTTTTTGCCGATTCTTCCATAAAGGTTAACTTAAAGCTTCAAACATAATCATGTGGAAAATGGACATTATTGATTCCTACGGTCCATTGTTCCTCCATTCTGAGTCCCTGAAGTTCAAGTTCAATCTGGAATTACATCATGTCTGGTTTCTCCTGGTTACCAGACGGCTTGAGACGTGACCACAGCTACAGAAAAAACAAACAGGCTTCTTCACGCTTCGGCTCCCCTATCGATTCAAACAAACTTCTCTCTCTCTCTCCCTCTCTCTCTCTCTCTCTCTCTCTCTCTCTCTCTCAAGTATGCTTCAAGTATGGAGCATGGTTAATTTAGAGATTAAGTTCCAAATTAGATTATCTAATGGCATCTTAATGGATTGCTGACCCATTTCCTGTGGGATGGCAGCATGCAAGTCTGGCTGGAATACAATTAATTTCTTAGGAAGTGTTCTGAAGATGTTTGCTTAGATGGAAAGGAAACATAATTCTCTGCACATCTTGTTTTATTAGGGAGTTGGGTGGAAAGTGTAACAGAGATAGTGACAAACTGATAAAAAAACCAAATCCTTCCAGCTTTCCCCACCGCTAATGATTTTATCAGCAATGTTTTCGTTTCGTTGTTTTTATTTGCAAAAGTTGAGTTTGCATTTTTGTCCCAAGCAAGCAAGTACGTTATACAGAAAGTAACCCTCTGGCTAACTGCAGCACAAACTTTAACAACTACTACTACTACAACTACAACATTACTTGATTTTGATTAAGTTCTTTGAAAGTTTGCCTGTTTTGTTAGAATCCGAAATTCTCATTCTCTCTTCCCCCACATGCCAAAGCTTATTCCATCTCACTGCCTTATCAGCATCAGCATCACAGCTCTTTAGAGGGGTTGGGGGGCAAAGAATGCCGCTCTAAAAAGTTGAACATTAAGAACACCCCTACGGCTACAGCTGAAAAGGAAATTCAGCACTCTGAGAATAAGGCTCTCCTCAGGAGCTCTAAGAACAAACCAGCTGTTGTACTGTACTTCTGTGTCGAGATAACAAAGTGAAAGCAGGAAATGCCTGGGCACAGCAAAAGTAATGTTAAATTAGCAGCTATCCCTTCAAAAAAAAGACTGAAAAAAGGTTTGCTTTTTGAAATATAAATTACAATACCTTGACAATGAGCGCCTTAACACTGTTACCGTTTTTGAAAGACTTGGCAGAAAACAGCCAAAGTTCAAAACTGCTAACGACCCAGCCCTGCAATAATAGCAGCTTAATAGCTGCTGAAAAATTGAGCCTCGTGAACACTAGTCTACACTGGAGCCTACTTGTGCAAAGCTGATTTCCACGTGGTTCAGATTATTTGAGCAGGAGCATACAAATGCTTTTGTCGAGGCACTACTGGATTTTTAAACTCAGTTTTGGTTTTCTATTTGCACAATTGGCTTGAATTTTGTAACGGTGCGGCAATTCCTATGGCTTTTTTCAGCTGAGGACATTTTTATGCTCTGAACTGAGAAGGAAACTGGTTTGCACACTGCCAAAAAGAAATCCTCTTGCTTTGTGCATCTTGCCTTCGAACAATGAGGTGTTCAAACAACGCTACCTCCCAACATGCACACATATAGGTACGGAGTAAATTAGGAGGTTTGTTTGAACATCCTTATATGTCTTCTGCACTAGGGGTGCAAAGAAGCCAGGGCACCAAATATATTTTCGGTTGTTAACTGAGTGCTTTGTTTTCTTGGGAAGTGAAATTGTTCACAATTAAAGAAGGAAATCCAACTGTGCCTGGACGGGGCTTCAGAAGGTCAGTCCTACTGTGAGAGTGGATAAAGCATGGAAAAACTTCTCTGATGCACTCACTATGTTTCCATATGGACATTGTTTGTCTAATACAGAAGTATTTGTCCAAGACAGGGGTAGGCAACCTAAGGCCCATGGGCCACAAGTGGCCCATGGGGGTTGCTTAACCGGCCCCTGAACCGAGCTGCCCGCGGTGCTGGAAATCGCATCTGCGCATGCTCAGGCACTGAAGATCACATCTGTGCAGATGCTGGAAATTGTGTCTGTGCAGAGGCAGATGCCGGAAATCACAGCTGAACATGATCCGGCCCACAGAGGGATCTCCGCTGGAGTGAACTGGCCCAGGCGAGGTAAACCTTGCCGACCTCTGGTCCAAGACAAGTCTTGAGGTTAAGGGCAGCAAAGGCCTACGTGGTGAGGTAGCACTGCAGTGTCTCCCTTCCAAAACTGGTGTTGCTATACAGGGCCGTCTTTAGCATATGTGCCGCCGGAGTGCAAATATCCGCCCAGTGCTCCCAAATTTAGTTTAGCTGACCCCAAATTAACTTTTATTGAGTTTTTTTGGGGGGGAAGCCAAAGTTGACCTTTTTAGGGGGGGAATCGCTCACCAGTAACAACGAACCAGCAGGGAAAAATGCTTTCATTTCCTGACTCGGAAATATTTGACGCTACAAAGTAACAAAGCGATGGAGGAGGGGGGCGGGGACTTTCATGCCATTGCTTTTCATGGCCGCCAATTGAGAGGGACTGGTATACAGTAGGTGTACATTTGCCTCCCCCCCAGCATTTGGCGCCCGGGTGCCCCACACCCCTTGCATCCCCAAGTAAAGATGGCCCTGTTGCTATAGCTTGCCTGAACTACCACAGTGCTGAGCCAGCTCATGAGCCACTGCCAATTAAGAAAGGCTTAAATGCTGCAAGCTGTCCTGTGCTGGACCCTTCAATGGCACAACAATGATCTAGGGTGTTATGCCTTATTTACAGAGATCAAACTCGGTGGCAACCAAAAACAGTGCAGCCAAGACTGATTGGGAGGCAGGGTAGCTGCAAGCTCAAATTATAAGCACTCTAGGACCTGTCAAGGAGCCAGGTCATCCACAGGGCTGGCACACACACAGAAAGCACAGGACGCAATTAGCTTTTTATTATCAGAAAAACAACAACACAGCAATGTCCCTGGTTCGTCTTAACTCAATGAAGGCGTTGCTGTTGCTAAGCCCCAGGCATGCTCCTCCCCTCTAGCCTCTCACTCTGGTTCCCTCCCAAGCAGGCGAAGGCTGAGTTGACGGGGTGAGCTCCTCCTCTGGGTCTGTCTGGCACGTTGCTCAGCAACATGCAAGACCCTCCTGGTGTGTGGGGTCAGAGGAGAAGGAGAGTCAGCAGGACTGGGACTGACTGCATACATGCTTCCTGGAAGGCCCTTCCATTTCCTGAGTCCCCTCAAGTCTCCTGTTTCTGTCAGCTCCCAGTTCGTCCCTTCTGCTGACTGCTTTTCAGTGTCCCACCACCAGGCTCCAGGCTGTAACTTGTCATCTTTGGAGCCCTCCCTGGGGGCTCTTGGGAGACAGCCTCTGGCCACTCTTCCTCACCCAGCTGGTCCTTGACGGGACCACTGTGTGACTCTCGAGGGCAGCCACTGAAATTCTCATATCAAGTCATAGCTCATACTTCTTGTCAAACATTTCTAAAGACTCAATTCAATGAACCACCACCAGAAAGAGAGCATCTTTCTGACCCCATGGTGAACACAAATGTATATCCAAGATTCTGTGCACTTGGAACCTCTCTTCAACAACAGTTCCACATCCATTCCGCTGTGTTTTCACTTGATGAAGAAATACAAGACTTAAAACTTCAAGTCTTGTATTCTTAAAATTGAGCATTTTTAATATATGGGGGGATGTTACTTATATTTTTGGAGGGTGTGTGTGTAGGAAATTTATTGTTTTTCACTTAATTAAAGTGTACAATGTGATAGAACCATAAACCATACAAAACTAAAGTCTATATCTGTATATATTTGGGCAATGTTTGCAATGCTTAGAAGTGGTCTATATCAAGAGAGCCAGTGTGGTGTAGTGTTTAAGAGTGGTAGACTCATAATCTGGTGAACCGGGTTCGCGTCTCCGCTCCCCCACATGCAGCTGCTGGATGATCTTGGGCTAGTCACACTTCTTTGAAGTCTCTCAGCCTCACTCACCTCACAGAGTGTTTGTTGTGGGGGAGGAAGGGAAAGAAGAATGTTAGCCGCTTTAAGACTCCTAGGGTAGTGATAAAGCAGGATATCAAATCCAAACTTGTCTTTTTCTTCTTCTTAATGAGTGATTTATTTTGAAATACAGTCGTACCTTGGAAGCCAAATGGAATCCATTCCGAAAGTCTGTTTGACTTCCAAAATGTTCGGAAACCAAAGCACAGCTTCTGATTGGCTACAGGAAGCTCCTGCAGCCAATTGGAAGCCATGGAAGCCTCGTCGGATGTTCAGCTTCCAAAAATAGTTTGCAAACCAGAACAGTCGCTTCCTGGTTTGTGGTGTTCGGGAGCCAAAAGGTTTGAGAACCAAGCTGTTCGAAAACCAAGGTAAGACTGTAAAATAATATAATCTAAAGAAACAGTTGGGGGCTCATAAATAATCCCGACCTCTGTAGGAAGAGAGACAGGGGCAATGTGTCCCTGTTAATCTTCCTTGATCTCTCAGCGGCTTTTGATACCATCTACTATATCCTCATGGAGAGGCGATCTGAGTTTCGGGTGGGAAGCAATGCTTTGCAGTGGTTCTGATCCTACTTGGATGGCTATCTTCAGCAAGTGATGCTTGGGGAGTGTTTTTTGGCACCAGGGTGCCTTCAGTGTGGGGCCCCAAAACCTACCTTCCCCTGCAGACACACAAATAGGGAGAAATATGTTGGCTATGTATATATGATTGTGTGTGAGAGAGAAACATGTATGTCTTATAAGTATGGTGAGTGGATATGTGTGCTCAATGTGCCTATGCAATAGGAAATATGGACTAGGACCTTGTATGGTTTTCCAAGAACCGGGGAGTGATTCTTGTTGTCAGACAATACTAACATTATTGTGTGGGGTGTTGGTGGGGAATCAGTTGTGTGATTTCCACAAGGAGGATCATAGGACAAGGCTGACGTACCTTAATATACTCTTTGCCAAGATGTGTGAACGAGAACAACAAAAACAATCCCTGAGATGAGTTCACATGTAATGCCATGCCAAAATTACAAGAAACAAGGGTTTCATATCATTGTTTGTTGGCAGTAAGCAAACCATCATAAAGCAGCTTAACTTGTTCACACATAATGCTAAAGCCATGATCAAATAAACGACCTTTTAAAAAATCCTGAAATAGTTTTTTTCTCTCACCTGCAAAGAGTAAAAATATTTATGAAAGCAAATGCTAGTTTTAAGACATGTGACTTCTAACTTACCTCGGTAAACATACTAATGTTTGAAATTCAGATCAACTGTTTTTTCTGAGTACGTTGTCTAAACTGCTCTCTTGTACCAGTTCCTTTTTGTTATTTTTTTAAACGCATATAATCTCTGATTATGAACTTGCAAGCCTCAAAATATGCAGCCATAAATTTGATTCTTCCACAAACTTTTATCCTTGACAGCCAACATTTCGTATCCCAAGTGCTTTAACCGATAAAAGTTCAATTTGCATCATTTCAGCTAATCTAAAACATGTAATTCAAGAGACGTTACAAAATATATATATATATTGTAGTTAAGATCTTGACAAATATATTCCCGAAGGCCACCTGAAACAGATAATGAAGAACCCAAGAGAGTTTAGGTTTGGAAATAATTAAAATTTTACCTTTGCCAAGTAATTCCCAATGTATCCTCATTGCCACTGGGGTATAAATGCCTGCCGTTTTGATTCAAGGTCCAGTCACAAATCCTCAGCTGTCAATTGAAACCTAGCAGTCAGATATGGATCGAGCAGTACTACAGTTTTTAGTATTTAAATGAATGCATGCAAACTAGTACTTTACATGGCACAAACCTTACATCCCCAAGTAGTAGTAGTACTAGTGTAAAAAAACAAAAACAATTTCAAAAATAAAATCGTAACACATCTTGTGCAAAACAAAATCCTACTTTTTCCTCACATTAAGAAAATGCTACTTGGATGTGTTTCTCCATTAATAAAAGCATAAAAGAATAACCGGTATTTAGCAATTAATTATATTATAAACTGAGCTGGGGGAAAAAAAGAAATGTTAATGTTCAATAGTGAATTTAAAAACAAAAAAGGAAAAGCAAAACCACTTAAAATTATTCAATGTACTAGGGGGGAAAGGACAGGGGGAGGGGGGAAAAATCAATACCTTGAAAGCATGCATTTGGTGATACACAGATGACATGCAATTTAAAGGAAAGAGGATCCAAAATTACATAATGACCTTATCTTACTGTTCAAGAAGGGTGGAGGCATTTGTAATAGAGGTTGATTAATTTAGTGTTACTGAATATGGCATCACTTAACATGCAGTGGTAAAATAATCTAATCTAGCTCTAGAAGCAAAATAATACCATTTAAAAGACTTTAAAATACAGTGGAGAATGCATTACATGTAAGCTGAAACAAATTCTTCCCAGATCACCAAATCATCGGCACTGCTCTTCACTAATTATTCATGTAACCCTATACAGCCATTTATCTGGCAGCTGCCCTACAGTGCTAGCAGATTTCCTGAAAAGATGCAGTGATTATATTTATGTTTGAGCAAATAAGCCCCATCTAGTCTAATGAAGAAAGCCTAGGAAAAGTATGATTTCAATCCCTACTCACCAATACTATAAAAATACTATTTAAAAAGTACCAAATCACACTTTCAAATTCAATTAAGATAACACGGATACTGCAATTAATTGTACCTAAAAGCTGTTCTTCCTCCCATCCCCCAATGGAAAGCCTTAAGTGCCTCTAAAAGTTAGAGCAATGACTTTCACAGCAGCTCAATTTATTATCGTCCTTTCCTGAAAAACATATATGCTGAGGACAAGATAATATCCATGCCTTGACCCTGTCTGACTGCTACCCTCTTGCTTTTCCTGCCGTTGAGTCTTCGGAAATGGAAAAGGACCTTCCCCGACTGTTTTCTTATTCGTTATCTGAAGAATTCAGTGTGATCTTTTAAAAAAAATTGGGGGGGGGGGACCAGGAAAATCAACCAGAAAGAGAGACATTCCTGCCTAGAATAATTCTCAAGTACTGCTACGGTACTAGAGATTACGCCTGGAGGACAGTGGGTGTCTGCTATAAAATTTTCTACATGCAGTATTTTTCAAAGTGAATCAGACTGTGAGCTTGAAGGAAATCACTAAACTTCAATTATCTTAAGTAGCACACTGGTGTAGATGTGGAGCCAAACTTTTTTTTTGGGGGGGGGCAACATCTTCTTTGTTAATGGTTAAATTTAAGGGGGCAGCATTTTAACTATAAAAATTGCGTCTGCAATATTTGTGTGCAATCATCTATTAAACCTAACCAGGCTCAATTCAGATTCAGTCGCAGAAATCGTACCCTGTGCTGTCTGAATTGACAAACGATGGTTTGTAATTGATCAGCAAACCAGAATCAGAAACCTAGGTTTGAAAATTGGGTCTGTAAGCTATGATGAGTGCCAGTTATGATTGGGAATTATATCTGAACTGAAAAACAAGAGCTACAGAGCGTGTTCTCCTTCATGGAGAGCACGTGTTGCGGTGGGGGCAAACAAGACATCCCTCTGTTGCTGAGCAGGTTAGTTTGGATGGCCAAGAATCTTATTGGGCACCTCTTGGTTGTTGGGGAGAATTTGATGTTGCAATTTATGATTGACAGCCAAGGGGCTATTTATTCCCTGCACGCAGCATTGAGCTGCCTCTTTTCGCTGCACACATCAGATCACCTGCCCACCCTTTCTATATTTAGGGCTGTTTGCGTTGACCTTGCTATGCCTGTCATGGGGTCGTCTGCTTTGGGGCAAGGGCCTGGTAGGAATTTTTCCATTTGGATAATTGGCTGGTTCCAATTTTTTTTGGCCTACTGTGTAGCAAATCGTCACAACTTATAAGGTTGTGGTTAGGCACTGGTTAAATTTGGCTGGTGGAGGGGTATGAATCGGCTGTGCCTGCCCTTCCAATGCTGCTGCTGCAAGGGTATCCCATTAAAGGAATCCAGGGGCTTGCCATGCTTTTGTCCGAATGCCTGTCAAGGGGCTAGGGCCACGCAAGAGCCCCTGGGAGAATTTGGGGAGGGGTGAGGTCATGGTAAGCAGCTCTATTCTCTCCCCAAAATGTTTTCCCTTATTGACTTTCGCAGGCTTGCAGATGTCAATTCTATCCCTCTAGGTGGGAACAGATAGTCGCGAACCAATGCCTAAGCAACCACTCACATTCTGTAATCAATAAAGTTGTGGCCAAAAAATAATGCCAAAAACCTTAAAAATTCTGTGTGAATTGTGTTTTATTTGAGGGTGGCTTGGGGACCTTGACACGCAACTGTTGTTCTGCTCTGGAAGACACTGTAGCTAAGAGTGCTGAGCAAATAGAAATCAAAATAGGTGAGAAACCTGAAATCATGGTTTGCCTGATAGCTGAAAACTCAAGCCATGCTTTGTGTTCTGAATTACAGTTGGGGGGGAGGGGTGGTTTGGCACAAAATATGAGTAGACCCTTAACTAAATATGTCAAAAGCTTTTAAAGCAAAACTTTAGAAACTAGTACAAAACCTTTATATTGGTTAGAAAGTGTGTCAATATACTGGCCTTATTAAATAATTTCAGATCCTCTTACCAATAACTATGATAAATAATACACGTTGTCAGGGCTGCCTCAGGTCTCAGCTCACAAAAGATCTGAATGGTATGGTAATGGTATGGCCTATGGTAATTTAAGAAAACTGCAAAGCTTGTAATATTTGCCACCAGTAATATACTTTGCATACAAATACTTTTAAATATAAAAATAAATGTGCAATTGTACACATGCCAGTAAGACGGCCACCTTAACCTAAGAATATAAAAATTGTACATACACACCCCAGAGCACCTAATCCAAAGATACACATGCAGTAATAACTTGCCTGTATGTAAATTGCTATTCTAAACGCATGCACCAACTGGCACCTATTCATTCAACATATAACAGATGTGATTTATTTATTTTTTAAGATGATGGTCACCATTGTGAAGGGCCATTTTATATGGCTAACTCCCTAGGTAAATACGTACAGGATTGCAGGAACTGAGTTGCACAGGTTGATTCCTAATGCAACATTGGGAATTGCAATCACCGTCCCAAGTACCAGAAGCAAAGATCAGCTGCATCTCTCTTGCTGGATCAAGACACAAGCATTTTAAATTGGATACTGTTGGGCTGCAAGGGAGCTGGGAGTTGGGCAGCAGGCAACTCTTTGGATCCCAATCTAATTTTCATATAATGCTATTTAAACTAAGGTTGCCAGACTTTTTTCAATGAATCCAGGGACACTTTTCAACTTCAGTGGATTTTGTATGGGGACTGATTTGTAAATCCAGGGACTGTCCCCGGAAAACAGGGACGTCTTAATTGAAACTCACCCACCCCATTTTTAGTATTGTATTTTTTAAAAAATTACAAACCTACAACTATTTTTCTTAAACACATCATGTCTCATTTAACATTATTCTCCCACGTTTTAACAAAGTTTCTAAGGTTAATATTCCTTCCACACCTCTTTGTTCAGCAGCTTAGGTAAATATATATATGGAAAAGGCAGCAAGTGATATGAGACCAAGCTTTGCTTTTTGTTGACTGAGGAAGGCTATAAACATATGCATATTGTCATTGTTTTGAGTGAAACTTCCTTTAAATGTGTTTCCTTTCCAACAAGAGTATGTGAAATGTGACCTCTTATCCATTTGCATGTGTCTCTGACAGTCATGTGACTAGGTTTTACGTCAAACTGTCAATTATGATAAGAGACACAATGCGAACAGCCTAAGCGTCGATAACTTGTTTCCTAAATCTATTAAAGCTTTGTTGGAGAAAAATCTCTAGTGCCTTTTCAGTCTTTGCCTGACAATATTAAGTCCATAGACAGTGTCTGCAATTATTGTTTCAGCTTCCTCGTATATGATTTGAATAAAGAAGATTTATTCCACTATTAATGGAATCATGTAAAAGCCAAAAGATGTGTCTTGAGCTACAACTTCCTGCTGGAATGGCTGCTGTGAAATGCCAATCTGGCGTGTGAGATTTGTAGTTTTCTTTAACTACATCTCATATTGTTGGGTTGGTGCAAAGGGGGGGGGGCAAGCCTGCCTAAAGGTAATTCTATGTACCCCTATATATATCTACAAACTCAGAGTCCAAGCACTGGTAAAAACCCATACCTTAATGTTATGTAGTGCTATGGTATTAAGAATGTATCAGTAACTGGACCAACACCAGCACATAGAAGACTAACATTTTAAATATGATAAATAATTCTCTTCTGCTTTCACTTCCCCAGGCTTTTTAATTAGGTATATTGTCTCTGTAAAATCGTCCTGCCCATAAGAAATTAGTATTATAACATTTAGGTCGTGAAAATGTACTTGCCTTGGTGGAAAGGTGATCTATTACAAAGCATTTTAAAACTTTAATAAATATTTAAGTTTCACATCATTTCCGAGCCCATTCTAGTGAAAAGTTTTTTTTAAAAAAAACAGCAGTTGATAAATCAGGGGAATATACAATTCCAGTTTCTTTTTTACAAACTAATAAACATTTGAAATCCTGGCTATAACTCCAGCCAATGGTATGAGTTGGAAAAGAGCCTGTTCATTAGCAAAAGTTTCACTTCAGATCATTAAAAGTTCAGCCCCCGACCCCAGAACTCGTTCTGCAATGATCTGTCTGCCGCAAAACCTTCTCTACCTTTGTAGGAGATTCTGAGATAAGCTCCGAGGTATAAATCTTTATTTACAACTAGTTGACAACAACTCATGTTGAGCTCAACCACTGCCCTATACCAGGGGTGGCCAACTACCAAGAGACTGTGATCTACTCACAGAGTTAAAAGCTGGCAGTGATCTACCTCCTTTTCGGGGGTTCAGGTCAACGTTGTTGAGCTTTTTTTTTAGGAAGGAAAGCCCTGTTTTTTGGGGTTGGGGTTGGGGGGGTTCAGGTCAAAGTTGGACGTGCCTGCGCTACACAAACTGAAAGTGTACCATAGAACCACCCTTCCTGTTTGGTGCCCACCAATTGTTGGAGTGCAACTATCATCTCAAAGCAATGGTGATGTCGGCTGGGGCTGATAGGACTTGCAGTGAAGACTTCAGGAGCGTGCCCATTTGAGGAAGGCTGCCCTAGGAAAGCTAAGAAAAGGCAGACAAGGTATCTGCCATTCATTTCATTATGGAACCCTTTGCAGCTTCTATAGAACCAGAAGCTCCTTGATGCATTACTCTTTGATTAACAACATCAAGGTCAGGTGGCAAAACTAAGGACTAAGAATCTTTGCTCTTTAACCATGAACAAAGAAGAAAACAAAGTGAAGGAAATGAATCCAGAGTAATCCATTGATTACCAATATTAACAATTTCATCTGCGCCGCAATTGACTCAAAGTGGTTGTCTACATTATTTAGTTATAGAAGTATTTATATACAGCCCTCTCACAAAACACCAGGGCAGTGTATAGCAATATTTTATTTTATTTTTTTTTAAAAATGGTTAAAAGCAATGCACAGCAATTATTGAAATGGACTCTTAATCTGAAGGTTGTGGGTTTGAGCCCCATGCTGGAAAACAAATTCCTGCATGGCAAGGGGTTTGACTAGACAACCCTCAAGGTCCCTTCCAACTCTACAATTCTATGACTGGCTACTCAATAAAAAAATAAAAAAAAATCAGCAGCTGCATAGGCCTATCAGCATTAAAAAAAAATATCTGTGTTTATTTTAGTTTTTTTAACATTTATTATGCCATTGTTGCTTTAGCATGGAAATATTTAGCAATTTAAAGTAGCTAGGAGCCAATGTGTGACCACCACAGAAAAAGGAATGGTTAGATTTATGATTCCTAATAATAAACCTGACTTTGTAGCTATCCGCATATTAAGTTACATGTTTAATAACATGCATCTCATAGTGTCCTGGTCTGTAAATTAAAATCTATATGTCATATTGCTTCCCCATGCACATGAGCTCTCAAAATTATATTTACAATGCTCCCATCAATGGAAACATTCCAGCAACTTTCAGTAATAAATTGCTTCATTGGAAATTCCACCAAACTATTATTTTTTTGAAGAGACTATTTTTAAGGAGAATCATCAACTATACAAGCAGCCTAAATTTATGGTCATTACTACAATTTATATAGGCTATGTTATGTTACTTAATAATAAAAAAGCACTCAAGAATAAACGTCAATACCTCTCATAACCTGAGAGAATAAATCTCTCCAATGGCTCCTCCTGTGAAACACAGAATGTACCTGTGACAATATTTATTCCTAAGGGGTCAAAGTATATTAAAAGGAATGGTGAATGTTTAAAACACCTCTCTGGAACTAAAACCATTGGCTTTCTAATTTAGAATTTCTCTCAACTAATATAAAATGATTGATTGCCTTTATTTCATGTACCCCTTGATTTTTCTTTTCATTCATCACGGCCTACTTTAAACCAAATGCATTTAGGACCTGCCACAGGAAAAGTGGTCTCTTTTAAATTGTTGTAAAGTAATGAAAGGACACAGTAAATCAATCTTATTTCTGCCTTACCAAAGCATAACCTTTACTCTGTCCAAGTAATTTAGGCAATTTCTGCATGTGTGCTTCGCCTTGCCCCATCACACACAAGACAATAACATTATATGCATTGTCATTTCCGAGACATTTTTAGGAGTAAGAGCCATATATCAAATAAGTACAGTCATACCTCGGAAGCTGAACGGAATCCATTCCAGAAGTCCGTTCAACTTCCAAAACATTCGGAAACCAAGCCATGGCTTCCAATTGGCTGCAGGAAGTTCCTGCAGCCAATCGGAAGCTGGATTAGATGTCTGGGTTCCAAATAAATTTTGCAAACTGGAATTCACTCCTGGGTTTGCAGTATTCGGGGGACAAAATGTTCGACTCACAAGGCGTTTGGGATCCAAGGTATGACTGCAGTTGGAAATCCTATTTTTTTAATATGCCCATAGCTTTCTAATTGCAGCATCTTATTTCTACAAAGCAGCCACAAATGTAACCTATTTCCTAATTAAGTATCTTTAAGAACCCAAGAATTACCGTACTTTTCCGTGTATAAGACCAGGTTTCGTTTTTTTACTTTAAAATAAGGTTAAAGATCTGGGTGCATCTAATACACGGATAGTGCATGTGCCCATTTTCTAAATTTGGGGTCCCCAAAAGTAAGGGGGTATCTTATACATGGGGGCATCTTATACACTGAAAAATACGGTGTTTTCCTGGATTAGACCATGATCCTTTCACTTGTTGCATTTAGCAATGTTCAACCTGAAACTCGCAAAGAAGTCAGGATAGCCAAGGTCATTCCCTTTCACAGGTGCTTACCATGGGTGTGTGACATCATGCGCTGGGAGGAGGCTGAGCGCGGAGCCCAGGGCAGCAGTTTCAATTGCTGGTAGCTCCTCCTCCCTTGCGCTCAGGAGGAGCCGGCCACTGAAGCCACCCTGAACTCAGCCCCTTAACAATGAGATGGCCCAGACCCCTCCCAGCAGATATTTTTTGGGGGGGAGAAGACACCTCAGCTCCACAGAGTTGGCATCCTTGTTTCCTATAGTTTGTTGACAGCCTCTAGTACTCAGTACTAAACTGCTTCTGAACAGCAGCTCTTGATAGACCTATCCTCCATGCATTTGTTTATAGTCACTCTGTTTGCGACCATTATCATATACTGGGGCAAAAAGTTGTACACAAAAGTACACCTAAACATATAATTAATTACAGAATGGGGGGGGGGAGGAAATGGCAAAATACCTTTTCACTATTTTTTTTAGTACCTCACATCTCCTCTCCAACTGCAGTTACATTTAAATAATAATAAAAAGAAAATATTCCAAGCTCTCATTCTACACAATGAAGAATATTTGGGATTGCAGGGGGCTATTGCCCCAGTTCACATACTTACCTGATGATCCATCTGTGTGGTAGAGTGGGAATGGGGGCCCCTCCACCTATATGCACCTAATGTGATGTAACCAGTTTCCTACATAAAACCTCTAATCTGCACATTCATCCCACCTTAAAGAGATGGTAAAAATCAGACCATTGCGCATATGGGATTCCAAGCGGCATGTTCACATCACAAGCTATTTTAGGAGCCTGGTGGAAGGTAAAATAGGAAGCCTATTCCTGTACTGTGCAAATAGATGATTGCCTGGGTCTAGGATCTATACAGTGGAACCTTGGTTCTCGATCTTAATCCATTCCGGGAGTCCGTTTGACTCCTGAAACCACTGGAAAAACCCAAGACACGCCTTCTGATTGCCTGCAGGAGCTTTCTGCACTCAATCAGAAGCTGTGGAAGCTGCGTCGGATGTTCAGCTTCTGAAAAACATTCGCAAACCGGAACACTTATTTTGTTCCAATTTGTTTGGGAGCCAAGCCGTTCAGGAACCAAGGTACCACTGTAATGGGCTTTTTTCAACTCTCAACAAATTCATACCCATTAAAGAGTAATACTTTATGAAACTCTCCAGCTCTTTCTCCTAACTTTACCTTACAGGAATATATTTCTGCATGAAGATACAGACACATTTATAGCATTTTCTTAATGTCTTGATATTGAATTGTATCTCGTTGTGTGCCTCTACCAGTGGAATTCTTTTTTATCAGGCAAAATTTCACTTGAGTGGAAAGGGGTGGGATACTATTTTTGTTAACACCACATGCCCTCTGCAACCTCCTGCTGAACCCCAAAATCTGCTCTGGAGGGCTGGGGTACTATTGAAACAGCTGACTCTGCAATTTGCATTTACAAAAGGGCGATATGCAAAAATCACACACATCACACATACACACCCTTTATGTTTATGAAAGCCAACAAAATTAATGCTTTGTCAAAGAGCCTTCCACTGATAGAGGGACACAGTCACATACAACCCAATCTATGAAAAAGATCATTTTTAAAAATAAATAAATAAATCAGAAAACGTATTGAGCAAACATGGAGTTTGTAGCATGAGGACTGCCAATCTGCGACGAGCTTATTTGCATATATTGTTAAGATTGCTAGAGAGTACCAAGGAATGTGGAATCGTTTTGCTCCCTTTCTTAATAGATGGAAGGGCAAAACAGTCCTAACGAGCGACTGGGACATATTGGAGCACTGCCAGCTTGTGCCACATAGGGTGCAAAATTGGGGAGTGTGGTTTTTCTTCTTCAGTTTTGCTGCACCATCCAGAAGCTGGCGCAACAAAGCGAGGCCAAATGGTCTCTGAAGAACTAACTGACTCAAGACCCAGAAGATACATACATGGCTGGCCCTGCTAACATTCTGTTTGAGGGAGCCTTATGCTTCATTCTGCCAGCATGAACTCTGGTGCTGGTAGCAAGCAAAATCCTAATCCTCTCAAGCAGCAAAGATCAGGGCTTTGGACTGCAGCCTAACATAGCTTAAAGAAAGTCAATACTGCAGTTCCATGAGATTTCTTAAATCCAGTGTAGGAAAGAGTGTGTGTTTTTTTGTTTAGAAAGGAAAGTATGTACTTAAAATCAAGGGACTGCATACGGGTCGAATTATAAGCATAATATCAGAAACTTTAAATAGTTGGTTTGAAATAGCCAATCATTATTTGGTATTTTCTCTTTGCAGATGTTTTCAGTGAAGTCTCACTGGTAAAGAACAAGAAAGCCTTTGTTGTGCATCAGCTATTATGTGTGAAGTTTCACTGAATTCTGCATAAGGTATAGGTATAATGCCACTCGGGCCTCGGTGGTTAAGGTGCAATTTCCAGATGCAACAGTCTAACTGTATCACCATACAAAGAATGTATGCATAGGCAACATTAGGCTTCAGAACTGTGTAAGTTGTAAAAACAGCCTCTTGCATCATCATGAAGCACATTTTAATTCTGACGCTTCAGAATTTAGTTTTCTTCTATGCCTAACTAGCAGTATGGCAGTATTGCATGCCCCTACTATTAATTGATGGTGGGCTGGGTTGTTTTATTAGCCACTATTAATCTCAGCTGTCATTTTGGATGAACAATTTATTTTCATTAAATTTACAGCATCAATGAGGTGTGAAATCTAAAATGCTACTTGAAATGTAAATGATGTAAAAGAAATTGGAACAAAAAGGAGCTTGCGTCACAGTAAAATCAACAATACACTCCGAATGTATTAATCTAGGAATGATGATGTTCTGCAATTGAATTTTATTGTATTGTTATTCTTTCGAAACTATAAATGTATACGTTCAAATATCAAACGATATCAGATAGCTGGAGAATCAACTATTGTATTGCTTAATCCTGCTTAATTCTGACTAGTAGTACTGCTTTTTCACGGAGGCATTCATATATATTCAACTTCCAGGAGTTTAGAAATAACGTAACTGAAAGATTCACCGTGGAAAAGCCTTTACAGAACCCTACGGAAGCATCTTGTAGTTATCCAAATATTGCAATACAAATAGGTTTTGTTTAAGGGTACTCATCCTGTTCTAGTTTTAAGGTCAATGGCGACATGGATGCAGGGACTTACTGCAAATACTCATCTTTTTACTGTTTATACCTATGTGAAACTTGCCCACCTGTTGTTGGTGTAGAAAAGAAGGGTCTCTTGGACTTAGTCCCACATATCGATTGGCTTGGGATGTGCCTGAGGCTGTGTAGGCTGATTAAGGAAGAACAAAACAGATTGATGAAGATAGACACCTATCCATTTCTACCCTGTATAATTTAAACACGAGAAATTCGGAGTTACGAAGAACGAATTTGACTAAGGGATAGAGTTTTATAACACCTATGGACTTCAATGGAATCTGAATGAAGGCAGGGCCACCTTCCTTGCCAGTGACAATTTCTCTACATGATACAAGTTTGTTTTGTGTTTTTTTACCAGCTCACTTTAAGAGATGTGCAGCCAGATGCTCATTCAATGCAGTCACATAAACAACAAAATTCAGAGACTAACAATTTGCTACAGTAGAATGAGGTTTATTTGTAGTACCACTCAGATTTAGAACATAACCGAGCTAAGGCCAATGCTATTTTTCCTAGAAAAAGAGGGAATGTCTCCCTTGTTCTCTTAGAATGGCAATAGCTCCCACCTGAGAGGTGCCGGAACTGAGTTCCACTGAGTTCCAGCTGATTAAAAGCCCTGGCTAAGGCTATTTTTTTAAATGAGGCATAAAAGGTGTCCCCCCCTTTTCCAAAGGGAGATATAGGAATCCCTCTTCTGGAAGTTAATATAAGCAGCATCTACTTATTATACGAATACTGTATTTAAAATGTTCGCGCTTTGTACACTGGAAAACTGTGGAGCAAATGTATTTAGTGTAAGTTCTAGAAAACTGACCTATAATGTAGAAGCTCCTAAAACATTTTTTCCCCATGTGTGTGGTTAATGGAATGCTTCACCTTTCCCCTGTAGGTTACCTTTTGAATTGAAAATAGTTGTGTGTTGACTGAAAGTCATTAACTTCTGATTGTGTCAAAAGAAGTGGGTTGTTTTACTCTGACTCCTAGTTTGAAAATATCTACATTACCTGAATCAATTTCATAGTAAGGTGATCTTAACTTCCTGCTGCCAATGGCATAAAGAACAAATAGATAAGCACTAAAGGATCGATTTAAATGGTATTATATTTCTATTTAAAACAAACAAACAAATGGCGTCTTATTTATTTCCTTTTAAAAGAACATTTTACTGAATAACCACCATAAAAATGGATTACATGTTTACATGTAAAGTGATATTTCTATGAAGGAGGAACACGTGTTATTCCATATAATTTCAGCAAAAGTAGTTTTTACTTGTGAAATGCTGTGTAAAGCCATTTAAATCAGCTTTGGTACACACTGATTAGGATAAAGATATATAACTAGGAATAGGTAACAGCACTGTGAATTATCTTAATGTCACATTTTGGTGACACTTTTATCTTTTGACCAATTCTAATTCATTTGAAATAAAATTGAAAGCATCTCTTTGGAAAGTATTATAGATCAGCCAGTCCCAGATACATAGAAGAAATTCCTCCATGGTGCGTATTATTCTATGTAGTTTTTAACAAGGCTTAAATAGAAGTGATCAAATCTTTTACATTTTTTTTCCTGGTGAAATGTTAAGATTAAAGAACCATCTATTCACTGCATGTAATACATTTTAGATATGTAAAATGCCTTTAATATTTAATGTTGAAATAAATGCAATTTTCATGCACAAATGAAATCCATTTGTGCATACCTTTGCTCTTTATGCACAAAGGGAATGTTGCTAACACAATGTTCACCATGTGTTAATCATATCCCTTCTCAAAGACCTAAAGTAGGATCCTCAAAGAAATGCACCTGCGGTGTGTATGTGATGGGTTCCCTTGCGTCCTTAAACACTATTTAAGCTTTTAATATTTCGTGACTGCTTAACTAGTGCCATATTGCTTGGAAGGCACATGAGATATGATGAAACAACTAATGCTCAGAGTCAAATCTGAAGCTCTAGTTTCATTCCATTCTTAAGGGAAGAATAAGAATAGATCATTAAAAACTTCTTTACTGTTCAAGAATTGTGCACACTTAAGAAATCAGAAGAGATTACAACACTATTAATTGCCGTATTTTTCTGTGTATAAGATGCTCCCATGTATAAGACTATTTTTGGGGAGTCCAAATTAAGAAAATTCCCCTTAGCACTACCCGGGTATAAGGCGAGCCCCAATTTTAACCCTAATTTTTGGGTAAAAAAACCTAGTCTTATACACGAAAAAATACGGTAATTCATTAATTAGTAGGTAATGACTTCTGCTTCTGCTAACAGTGCAATCCAATGAAAGTCCACTCAAAAGCCCTGCTGAGTTCAATGGGATTTAATACCAGGTACATTTTATTTTTTATCGAATTTATATACCTCCCTATACCTGGGGGGTCTCATGTATACAGGATTATAGACTCCATTATTTTATACTCTGCTATCTTGATGTGGTCAGATGAAATGGACATTATACAAAAGGGCAGCAGTCTAAGCTAATTGAAATTTTGCTACTGTCCTCACATCGTATGTAGATGGAACCATACGTGTTTAACTATACGTGGGATATTAACATTTAAGAAATTTTAATTTGAAACCAGTATCTAGGTAAAGAAGTCACTTGTCATTACATGATTGCAACAATAATTTTCAGTTAGTGAAAGGGTATGTATGTGTGTGTCTGTCTGTGTGGTGTTTTTATTACAGTTGCAATGTTGAATTTCAGACTAACATGGAGGTTAATGTCGAACCATGATGTGTTAGAACAGTAACATGGAAACTGCCAAGATGCACTTTGAGGTAGTGAGGACTTCATGTGACATCCATAATGTAAGTAAATAATGCATGGCTTGGCCTGTGTGCAAAATTCTCATGCCACTAACCACACATTCCTGGCGGACACTGGTGCCAGGAGCATTTCATTCAACGGGGACAACCTAACTGGCGACCACTTAATTGCAGCAACTGGGTGGCTACCATGGCATATAGAAGTTCCCAGGCCTCTCCTTGTGGCTGCTGTATTCCTGAGAAGTGGCTCTAACAGTTGATAGGCCCTGCATGTCTATGTCTGCAATTCCATTGAAGGCTATAGGGTAATTATATGGGCTTGTATTCAACTAAATCATTACACGTGTGGAACTTCTACTCACCTCACTTTCGCGCACACCCTCCAACATCTGCTCTAGAGGTTTGGGAGAACCCCCAGAGCAACTGGAGGGGGGCTGCATGAGGAGGGGAAGTCCCACTGCACATGTGAAAATTGTTCCGTGTGTGCAGTTGTGTAGCTGGATACAACCCACGGTACTCAACATAGTGAATTAGCAAATGCAAAACTTTCAAACTCTCGTTAAATATAGTTAACCCACATAGATTTTTCAGTATCAGCTCTAATGAATTAAAATGCTTAGGTTAATTGAGGATCATGTGTCTGATTAAGTATGTTTTGGATGAAAGCTCACTTGGGAGGAATCAGATGAATCTCTTTCTTTCCTGTCTGTCTCACTCCCTTTTTGGATTCCAGGTGTTGGCAAATTTAAAAAGCTTCCAATCTGAGTATGCTTCTCAATGTCACGAGAATGTCCATCTTTAAATTAATAATCAAGCTTTCATTCTCTCCTGGCAATTGGTGCTCGGATTAATTTGATTTCCTGCCCTGAGATTGTGATTGCCGTGTCACAAATGTCATACAGTAACTTGAGTTATTATAACTGTACAGAGTAAATGTCTTGTCAATGTCCTTTATTATCAGACTTTGAGCATCTGCCTGGTCAAATAGCAGGAAAAGGCACCTATATTGGCCTTAACTTGAAATGGTTTTGATTGATTTATTTTTGATGGACAGCGTTTGTTTCCTAGAAAAATACTTACTGGTTGCTGTAGGTGAAGATGCCTCACCTTCAGTGGATGTAATGATGGGTTTAGTGTCTGTCATGGTCAGGGTCACAGGCCGCACCGTACTGTGATGGGGAGAGGGTGCCAAAACTGGAGTAAAATGGCCAGGCATTTTCCCTACTACTTGACCACTGCTGTTAGGCTACAAAACAAAACCAGAAGAACGCCTTGTGAAATATACATGTAATGCTCAAGAGAGCGATCTACTTTAGGGTTTTCCAGAACCCCAATGCTGTCGTGTGTCACTTTGGTAGCTATATCCAGCGCCGAGGGCCTCCTGGTGGTTCCCTCCCTGAGAAAAGCTAGGTTACAGGGAACCAGGCAGAAGGGCCTTCTCGGTGGTGGCGCCCGCCCTGTGGAACGCCCTCCCGTCAGATGTCAAGGAAATAAACAACTATCTGACTTTTAGAAGACATCTGAAGGCAGTCCTGTTTAGGGAAGTTTTTAATGTTTGATTGTGCTTTAAATTCTGTTGGGGTATAAGTAATAGTAATTATTCTTATTCTTATTCTTATCTCTGCAAAGGAAAGAATATTTAGGGATTTGTGATCCTCATGAAGGCAATATTTGCAAGAGCCTATTTACCTCATAAGAAACTCACTAGTGAAGGCCATTATTCTATCTGACTGAAGTGCTACTGATGTTATATTAGTATTATTATTATTATTATTATTATTATTATTTTAAAATACAGTACAAACTGAGATCCAGAGGGTGGCAACACAAGAACAGGGCCTTCTCTATCATGGCTCCCCATTTGTGGAATGCTCTCCCAGGGATGTTCGCTTGGTCCCTTCATTATATATTTTTGGGTGACAGGTAGAAATATTCCTCTTTAACCAGACCTTTGGCTGATTAATATTCTTCAGCCTTTTAAATGTGTCTGTGGGAAGGGAGGGAGAGTCCCCTCCCCCTGTTTTGCTTTACTTATGTACTTGTTTGTATCCTGTATTTTATTCTGCCCTGAAATCTTATGCTGAAGAGCAGTATATGAATCGAAATAAACAAATATTTCCCCCTGTTATACTTCATGCCTGGATAATTCTAAAGGGTTTAAGGAGGCCACACATATTTAGTTATTTATTTATTTGTTTGTTTGTTTGTTTATCTAGCATGGGCTGGTGGGCATCACAAAGAATTCCCTCAATATGTATCTTAGACATTCCCCCAAAACGCCTCTAACAATGTATTTGAAATTAAACAGTGCAGATTGTGAGTTTAATAATTCCTTGCACAATTTTTATTCAGATCACGGCAAGTGATCCTGAGTAAGTATCAAATATTACCTATGTTTAGATATGCAACGACAATAGTACAATTCTAGAGGTGCTTCCAGACTCCCACTATTTTGGGGTAGGATTCAGTCAAACGTTGGCAAATCCAGATTGTGCAATTTGGGTTGATTGGGAGGCCTTGCACAATAAATCTACTCCCCCCCCCAAAAAAAAAAAATTAACTGTTTGCAATAAGGGAAGTGGCAGGAAAATGCACTCGAAACTGTGGGATAACATTTGCCTTAACACAACATAATCTAACTTGTCTGAAAACATAACAGAATGACTGCTCATTAAAGAGACAACTTTCATCTGATCTCCCTGCAAACAAATCAGGATGAATGCTCAATACACAGGTTGTCTAGAAGTGACCTCTAGATTAACTAAACATAAATTCATTAAGTGGAGAAGGAAACAGGTCTAAAACTAAAATTGGTCTGATAACTAGAGAGTGGTTGGAAGGTGGAAATCCGCATGCTTATTTTGCTATGTAGCAAACAGCCGAAACAATTCAGATATAAAATGAACACACTGCTTCCTCTGCCCTCCAACTTCTTTTCACTTCTCTGGTAATCAGACCAATTTCATAACTGATTGCTTCAGCTATTTGCATCAAAAGGTTACTGAAATATAATTGTAAAATGCCTAAAACCTAGATAGCTCACTGGAAAATGCACTAACTAATCAAGTTGCGTTCAGGAAGCCGAAAAGTGGCTAGATCAAGAACTGTATATAATGACTGGACATGACACAGGAACCAGATACGAGCAAACATAATCCAGATGGGAAGAAGTCACTACAGAAAACCTAAGCCCATTTCTGCTACCAGCTGGAAGAGAGTTCATTTATAAATAAACACATGCACACATATGTGAGTGCGCACATACACAGAATTTCATGCACACAGTTCAGCTGTCTTCTTTTTCTTGGACACAACAACAGACTATTTGCAAGTCACATTTAAGCTTTCTCTACGATAGGAGTAGCCCCACAGTTCATGCTGTTGGTTATAAACATCCAGTTTCTCTTTATTTGCTATGGGTTGCCATCTAAACATTTTCCCCCAACAAAGAACTTGGAAAACAAAAACGAATCCAAATTACTTGAAGAAGAAGAAGAAGAAGAAGAAGAAGAAGAAGAAGAAGAAGAAGAAGAAGTTACAATGCATACTAATATTTTCTTGCTAAATTTGCTGAGACAAATACACCATACCCCAGGCCCACCATCTAGGGAGGCCTGGGGGGGCTGAGGGCCCCCCAAAATTATCAAGGAGGGTGCCAAACCCCCTCAAAATTCCCCGGCAGACATACACGTACACTGTGGGGTGTTCTCACGTCATATGTGCATGGCACAAGCATGTCGTGGGGCATGCTGACATCACATGGCCACAGCCCTCTCAATTGCAGGGGCAAGGTGTCACACTTGCCATACCCTTAAATTAGAAAATGCCTTATACTGTGTTGGACCACTGATCGATCTGGAAAGCAGCAGCTGTCCAGGATTTCAGGCATAAGATATTCCTAGAGGTGACTTCTGCATGAAACACAGATGGCTCTCCCACCGAGCTATGGCCTTTTCCTTAATTTAATGGATTAGTTAATATAGTCATACCTTGGTTTTCGAACAGCTTAGTTCTCAAACGTTTTGACTCCTGAATGCCGTAAACCCAGAAGTGACTGTTCCGGTTTGCGAACTATTTTTGGAAGCCGAATGTGCGACGGGACTTCTGTGGCTTCCAGTTGGCTGCAGGAGAGCTTCCTGTAGCCAATCTGAAGCCGCGCTTTGGTTTCCAAATGTTTTCCAAACAGATTCCGTTTGACTTCCAAGGTACCACAGTGTAACTATTTGGGTGATTTCTAAGGCTTTAATTAGCTGTTCCCAAATGTTTGGGGCAATCTAAATCTAGATACTCACAGCGTTTTCTCGGTGAAAGTTCCAGAAAATGAAAGCATATTAGTATATTCTTACAAATATACAGCGGACGCTCGGGTTGCGAACATGATCTGCGCGGGTTGCGATTCGGTGCTTCTGTGCATGCGTAAAGCGCGATTTAGCGCTTCTGTGCATGTGTGACCGCCGAAACCTGGAAGTAACCCGTTCCAGTACTTCCAGGTTTCGGTGGTCCGTAACCTGAAAAAACGCAACCTGAAGCGTCTGTAACCTGAGGTATGACTGTAACAGAAACACAATGGTAAAAGGAAGTGACTTTAGTGAAAAGTATTAATGACAGTGGGGGCTGAAAAGTACAGCAAAAACTAACCAATCCATATTCACAGATGCGAAGTGCTCATCTCAAGTTTAAAATAAATAAAAAATCACTTGTATCTTGGAAAAAGCATCAGGAACTGGTGTCCCTTGGGAATAAATTTATCCCAAAGTTGGTGAGCAGCCACCAAGCCACCCGTCTGCACATGTTTGATTTATGAACTTAGCGTCAAAACAGCAACACAAACAGGTTGTGTATTGACTGCAGAGGTTATGATGAGACACAGAAAATTGAACAGTGAGAGGTGCTATGGTATGGAAGCCCCATGCCTCGTTGCAACTGAATATTATTAGAATGAAATCTTGGGTATACGTAGTTTTTAAATTTACAGTATCTGTTACTGAATAAAACAGCAACATGGGATATTTTCAGAGCAACATTGCAAAGCTACAGCAAGCAAAACAGTGATGAAAATAGCATTACTGAAGTGTGTAAGGCAGGCACATCTTCTATTAATTGGGTTAGTCTCACTTGCTGGATCATCACCTTGTCATGGTGAGTGGGCTTGCACATTCCTATGACCCTTGTGAGTCTCGTACTCCCAGCAGGGTCACCCAAGGCGGTAAGGTCAAAGGGAAGGAGCTAGACAAAGAATGATCCAAGAAGTCCTCAACGGCAGAACAGGCAGAAGATAACAAGAGGTATGTTATAACAGCTGTGAAGGCGGATGAAGGCCACAGCAGATATGAATCTACCGGTCTCTGGGTGATTTTAATGCAAGAGTTGGGCGAGATTTTGATCCGTGGTCTGGGACTATTGGGAAAGAAGGAATTGACAACAGCAACCAGAACAGAATCTTACTTTTGACTATATGTGCAGCGCACAACCTTGTTATTACCAACACACTCTTTTGACAACATTAAATTAAAAACATCATGGAGGCACCCTTTGTTGAACCACTGGCACCTCTTAGAATATGTAATTGTCCGACCTTAAGACTGCCGTAATGTGCTCCTTACTGGAGCTATGGCGAGTGCCGAACAGATCACTGATTAATATGTTCCATAATGGCTATTAAGATTATACCTCAACGCAGGCTTCAAGGAAGGAAACCAAGGTGCAAAATGAACACTCAAGCCCTTCAAGATCCCATTAAGTGGGATTGCTTCCAAATGACTCTTAAGGACCATATGCTTTTGGAGTGCCCTGATAACATCAAGGAACACTGGACCAAGCTAAAAACATCCATTATTGCAGCCTCTGAACAAACTATTGGATACCAAACCTAGAAACACCAGGAATGGTTTGATGAGAATGACAGTGAGATCGAACACATTATTGACAAGAAAAGGAAGGCCTTTCAGATCTGGCAAAGAGATAGAAACTGCACCACTAAGAAAAAACCCCTATACCAATGCTAAGACTGAGGTTCAAAGAAGAACCAGAAAACTAAAGAACACCTGGAGGATAAAAAAGCTCAAGAGATCCAGCACTTAGCCAACAATCATTATGCACAGAGTTTCTTTAAAGCCAAAAACCCCATCTATGGGCCAGTAAATCACGACATATGCCCCCTATGCTCAACAGATGGTACCACACTTAGAAGATAAAGAAGCTATTGCACCACACTGGAGAGAAAATTACCAGCATCTCCTTAACCACTGTAACTCCCCTGTAGCTGCTGAGGTCCTCTCACAAATTCTGCAAAAACAAATTAGAGAGGAGCTTGCAGTATCGCCAAATCTGGGAGAGTTGTGTACAGCTATTAATCAAATGAAAAACAACAAAGCCAGCGATACCTGCCGAAGTCTTCAAAGTGGGCAGAATTGAACTTACACAACAACTTCACAAGCTGACCAAAAAAATCTGGGAGAGAGAGGAGATCCCAGCAGACTTTAGGGATGCCGAAATTATCAATCTCTTTTTTTTAAAAAAAAGGTGATAGAATGGATTATGGAAATAACTGAGGCATCTTTTTATTAGCTGCAGCCAGCAAAATTCTTGGAAGGACCTTAGCAAACCATCTCCTAACAATATCCAAGGCTACTCTTCCTGAATCCCCAAATGGTTTTTTATCTTCTAGGGCAGTGTTTCTCAACCTTGGTTCCCCAGATGTTGTTGGACTACAACTCCCATCACCCCTGAGCGCTTGCCTTGCTAGCTAGGGATGATGGGAGTTCTAGTTCAACAACATCTGGGGACCCAAGCTTGAGAAAGGCTGTTCTAGGGGGACAGTGGATATGATTTTCACTGCTTGACAGCTTCAAGAAAAATGCAGAAAGCAAAACCAAACCCTGTATAATAGCGGTCAACTTTTTCCTTTTCTTGCAAGGAATCCTATTTGGAATAAGGGAATTTCCTTTTTAAAAAGGGAACATTGACAGCTATGCCCTGTATATGGTGCTTATTGACCTTACTAAGGCCTTCGACACACTAAATCATAATGCCCTGTGGACTGTCCTTTTGAATATTGGCTGCCCAGATAAATTTGTAAACATTCTTTGGCTCCTCCATTATAATATGACAGCAACAGTCGCAGATAACAATGGCTTTCAAAGTGAACTATCACAGTGGGATCAGGTGTTAAACAGGGTTGTGTTATCACCCCAGTTCTATTATTTTCATTGCCATGGTACTACACTTTGCAAAGCTTACAAAAAGTTTGGCATATCGCTCAACTTCCAAAAAACCAAAGTGCTGCACCAACAAGTGCAAAATAACCCTTCTGCAATGCCACAAATCCAGGTCAATGGTGTAACACTGGAAAGTGTTGATCACTTCTCCAAGCTGGGCAGTTATCTTTGCACAAGGGCCAACATTGATGCTGAAATGCAGCATGCCCTGAGTTCTCCTAGTGCAGCTTTCTCCCGATTGAAGTGCAGAGTGCTTGGGGACCAGGACATATGCAGGAAAAGCAAAATGCTTGTTTACAAAGCCATTATGCTACCAACCCTTACTGTATTATTGTGAAACATGGACCACTTATAAACGCTATCTCCAACTCCTCGAAAAATTCCATCAACGGTGTCTCCGGAAAAAATTTCACATCACTTGGGAAGACAGGCAAACTAATGCCAGTGTACTGGAAGAAGCAAAGATCACCAGTGTCAAAGCAATGATTCTTCAACATCAACTTTGTTGGACTGGTCATGTTGTGCGGATGCCTGGTTATCATCTTCCAAAGCAACCACTCTATTCTGAAAGCGTAATGCTGGTGGTCAACAAAAGAGGTTTAAAGACTCTCTCAAGGCAAATCTATAAAAAAGTAGTATAAACACTGACAATTGGGAAACACTGGCCTGCAAGCACTCCAATTGGAGAACAGCCTTTACCAAAGGTGTCATGGGCTTTGAAGACGCTCGAACTCAGGATGAAAAGGAGAAACATGCTAAGAGGAAGGCACATTTGGCAAACCCTCACCATGATCAACTCCCGCCCAGAAACCAATGTCCCCACTGTGGAAGGATGTGTGGATCCAGAATTTGCCTCCACAGTCACTTACGGACTCACTGTTAAGACCATGTTCATGGAAGGCAATCTTACTTGGCTACGAGTGATCGCCAAAGAAGAAAGTTTGTTCCTCCCTCCACTTTTCAACATTGTGATGTATCACTATATCACAATGTTTGTCTGGTGATACATCATGATGTTGAAAAGCTGGTATTGCCCAGTCTTACTGCTTGAGCCTCCAGAACCCAAGATGATTCTTCCAAGACTGTGGACTTTTTTCTTCAAAGGGAGTGAAACCCTGCTGAGAACAGACTGTTCCACCGCCTCTTGTACCAAGGATTGTGCCTCTAAATTGTGCTATTGATAAAAATATTAATGAGCAATAATTCAAGGAAGTTACAGTTTTAAATGGGGGGATTGCTTGTGCCGTTAGCTGGAATGGCTGTGAGTACCTCGTTTTCTTTACCTTCACAACTGTGTATATACATTTATACATTATACATACACATTTATGGTACCTGTGCTCTGGAAAAGTTTGATAACTGTGATAGAAGTCTTTTTCTAATTGCAGCATTGCTATGTGTTCTGTGTATTCACAGAACGTTTTGTAACTCCAAAACATCCACTAGGATTTCCTTTGCAAAACATATTTTTTTAAAAAATATAAAAAGCAAAGAATGTTTCAAGGAACACATGGGTTAACATTGACAGAATCAACTGCTTCCTCTTAAGCATTCTGTTACCAAAAAGCAAGCTCAAATTAATTAAATAGACACAGCTGGAGGCCCACACTATCTGAAACAATGTATCACCTTTTACTGTTCCCAAATGATTATAGTGAACAGAAATTGAATGGCTCATATGGAACCTGGCCCTTTCCAGGCACACTAAGAAAATTAACCCTCTAAATGGCTGAACCGATCCACTTTTATAGCCCACTACTGATTTGGGAAAGGCAGTATTTGGTCACCCATTTCACAACAGCTGCTGCTTTCAAACAAATAGGATCTGAAACTTCTATACTGCTTGAATACACTAATTACTGCTTACAATATCTAAGAATTCCAGTGCTTCAAGACATTCAGAATATTTAATACACAGCTCTTTAACTCTGTTAACAAGCTTTGATTCTTATATCATGATTGTAACCTTAAAAAATTCATATAAAGTTTACTGGGGTCGTCCACTTTGCTACGTGGGAATTGACACAAAGCTGCTGTCTTAAAACTTACAACATAATAACATGTAATAAAATAATTTCACTAAATTCAAAAAGCACCTCTTACGTAAGGAAGTTGCTACCAGCTCCTAGTACCACTCTCTCTGTCATTCTCTTGGCCTCAGTCCCCCATCTGGTTCTGCATCTTTAAACTGATTTCACTTAAAATATCCAACTGAATACTGTGATTGTCTCACAACAGTGGTACCTTGGTACTTGAACGGCTTGGCTTCCAAACCCGAAAGTAAGTGTTCCGGTTTGTGAACGTTTTTCAGAAGCTGAACATTTTTCGGAAGCTCCTGCAGCCAATCGGAAGCTGTGCCTTGGTTTGGTTTTCGAATGGTTTCGGGAGTCGAACGGACTGCCGGAACAGATTAAGTTCAAGAACCAAAGTACCACTGTATAATCAGTGCAGTGGTAAAGCAATTAGTTTCAAAATTCCTGTGGGCAGCGTGATGCACCTTGAATGGTCATCTTAACCTAAATTAGAGTGATACCAAAAAATGTTGAGGAGGGAAAGTTCAATTTTAGGTAAATACTGCTAGGTTCTTTGTTACCTGAAAAATAGTACTATTATCACAATATATCCCTGAAAACCAAGTGAATGAATATGCTTTGAAGTGGGAAAAGTATAACTGAATTTGAAATTACATTTGTACAGATGCAGTTTTTATAAGCTATGATAACCAAATTTATTTAAAGAAAAATCTGTATGTTACATGTAATGAAGTGTAGTCGTGTGGCTGAAAGCATACAATTGCATAGAACAATTCCCTTTGGTTACTGAAACGTCCTATGTGGTTTTTCTTTTCTTATTGAACAAAGAAAAAAGAATTATTTCAATTCTACAGCCTACAGAACGAACTCCTAGCATCATTGTGTGCCGAAGGACTTTACATGCTGATGCCAATCTTGCAGAATATAACTCCAATGCACTCAGAAATATAATTAAAAAACAAAGCTGTTTAATATAAGGGTGGGCAGAAAGCAGATTGGAATCTACTGGTAGATCAACAGTAATTTCTGTTGCCCAGTTTAACTACTGCAATGACAAGTGACTCGCTTAACGTAAATCAGAACGCTGAAATTAAGAAAATTTGGGAGTAACCAGTAATGGATTTCTGTGTGAAAGTACTGTTTGCGCAACTCAACTCTGATCTTCTAAGATCAGCAGCTGCTCAGAGGCACCACTGAAAAAAGAAAATTCTAAGTATATTTCTTTTGTGGGTAAATCTCAGGGAATAAGTAAAACACAAAACAAATCTCACAAGCCTGAAGTCTGTCCTTCCCAATGTTTAAAATACCGATCTCTATTCATCCAGCCTCCAAACTTATAAAAATTCAGAAAAATATCAAAGGTAACAGTTCATCAACAGTCTGAGATTTACTAGAGTAAGTGTGCCTTTTCTCTGTGTAAAAACTGTCTCGTTGGATCCAAACACTCAATTGCATAAGCAGAAGGAGCTTCTGCTCATGGAATTTCTTTTTCATGAACAGACACTCAGTTCGTCGATGGACAGAATGTCCAGCCCAACACTTGCCAATGAATTTGGCTCATGTTTTCAAGAGGACAATGGTATTAAAATGGGATAGATTTCTTTCCCTTTTATGCTTACCCAACTGGTTAGTGGGCACGTGCTACCACTGAGCTGTAGTTTTCAAGCAACCGTTACCAAAATCTGGGGCGTAGTGTGTGATGGGAGCTGCCTGGGTGATGGCCCCGGGGCCATTTATCTGGGGGGCGCTGGCAGAGCGGCATGAGGAGGACGCAACAGCTATGTGCCCTTTGATGCCAGCCTTGCAAAGCGGAACGGGTTGGTGTTGTGGCGAGGACTGGGCTGGCATACCTGGCCTGCACGTGCCCACCTTGGGAGCCATGAAGACACGCTCTGTTGCTGCCCCAAGCCTGCGTACCAGATGGAGCTGGTACACAGCTGCCCTGGACACAGATTTAACCTGTGCCTCCATGGACAGCTGTGAGTCCAAAATGACTCCCAGGCTGCACACCTGGTCCTTCAGGGGCACAGTTAACCCATTCAGGACCAGGGAATCCTCCATGAAACCAATGAGCAAGAACCAAGCAGTTATTGAACAAAAAATTGTAATAGAGAAAAGATACTAACATTCCAATAAAGTAGCAATGGGCCAGTTTGCTTGACATTCACAATGGCTAGTTTTGCCCTTGCCATCTTATTCTAATGTGTCTTTATAATGAAAACTTTTTGAAAAACTTGAAAGCAGGGGATCTTGATATTATACAGGAAGAAAGCTGCCGCTCTCCAAAGTAAATTCTATTTTAACTTATTAGTAAATCATTATTTTAATTTGAGATGCTTCCTCTCAAGACACAATGGTGCTTGAGCATTATCCCCTTAATTATATATGTTTCCCAGTATTAGAGAGGGATCAGCTGCTGTCAGCAGAACATCAAAAGGGTATGAAATCAATTATAAAGTTGAAAGTTTTCTTGAAAATCTTAAGTATTATCAATTTACTAATATGTGATAGGTTTAAAAGATTATCTACAAAACTGAAATGTAAGTAAAGCAATCACTAAATAGTTGAAAAATTTACAACACTGAAAGACCAATTTTAATTTGCATATTTTTGCTTAATAATGTCTAATTGAGACATCAGTTTGGAAAACAACAACAATAGAACTCTTAGATTTTCCACACTGAATTAACATTAAGGATTTCTAATGGATGCCTTAATTAGAATTTATTATTCATGGAAACTTTACACAAAATAAAATCAGTTTCTACGTGTCCCAATTCCGTTTCAGTGTAAGCAAAAAAATAGGTGGGCGTATATGAATGAGACTGCGGGAGATTTAATCCAGACACTGACATCAATTTGTAACTAAAATATGACATTCAGCATTTAGAATTAGGATTAATACTCTAAGGGAAACAACTCTCTGCATTGTTTGGGCTGTAACACAATCCACACACTTGAAAGTAAATTCCAAAGGAACTTGAGAGACTTAATTCCAAGTATATTTAGGAGCAGGCTATTAATACTTTTTATTTGCATGTAAAGAGCGTACATTTAGTGTGGGATGGGATGAGAATGTTCCATCATTGAAGTCCAATAGCTACAATGGCTTTTGGAACTGTCCAAAGGAAGCAGGTTTTCATTGAATGCAGAAAAGTTTCTTTCTTTCTCAAATTCTATTGCTATAGCATACAAATCACATGCTCTGTCTTTTCACATCTGCAAGTAACAGATTTACAATCAAAACAGTAAATAGGCATTTCTGCTATTATATCCTAGGTCTATTGCCAAAAGTGGTGCTGGGGTATTGCTGTTGAACTTTGGCAGGTCTGTTGCACAGAGTTCCATCTTATCTGTAAGCTGAATAACGTCGACATTAAACTTATGGGATAAGGTATCATCAATATGATTCATACATTCATACTCATTTCTGCTTCTTTTTCAGACAATCCAGGTGTAATGGTTAAATTCTTGAGCACCAGTCTGAATTCAAGAATGGATAGCATGAGAATGAATAAACTAAAGCTCAATTCTGGCAAGACAGCGTTAGTAATTCCTGAAGGCTGAAAAGCACAGGGGATGGTGAATCTGCCTGCTACAGTAGAACTGAAACTCAAGGATAGTATTTTAGGATACTTCTAAGAATTTACTAGTGCGTTCTGAGTGCTAGCTGCAGTTTGGCAAAGCCCTCTTCCTGGGGAAACACTTCCAACTCCAGTAATCTTTAGGAGAGCGGCCATAATATTTTTATTCTGCCAGGCTGTCAAGCTATTGGTTCCCCCCGGCCGGTACTTATGTTATGCTGTCTTGAATTAAATGCTGTATCTAGGTTCTTGTTTTATTAATTGTATCTCTCTAACTTTTCTTGTACGCATCTTTTGGAACTGCAAAGTGGCTTACGAACTGAAGTGCTAAAAACAGAATTAACACAATTTCAAACTATAAAGGAAAGAGGAAATTAAAATACATTTTCATGTGCTTTACTATCCGTTATGGAAAATATCTGCTTGCAATTCACCTAAAATACACCCAATGTGAACTATGGGACTTGACAGGAGCACTGAGGAAAAGACAGTGAAACCAGAAACTGAACTTTGTAATAACACACACTGCAGATATTTCAGTCTGACTAGATTGCAAATGACATGTTCTGATGCTGTTGCACACAGCTGTACACAAGTCCATTACAAATGACTTCACTGCTGCTTTGGAAACACATGTGAACTGCTGCACATTTATTTGCAACTTTTTTATAAAAACAACAACAACTAGAAATGTAGTCTTCTGTTTTTGTGCAATGCTTATTAACTTAACTTCCCCACCACCACTAGTTCAAAGCTTTGCCGAATGCATGCAAATCACTGCAAAGCTGCATGCAACTTAAGAATATTTTATCTAACACTAGCTAGTCTATAAATAGGATTGCCTGCTCTCTCTAGTGGGGTTTACATTAGCACATTCCTTGTTTCTCCCTGAAGCAAGCACTTCATCCCTATGTTTCACCCACATTAACTGCCATAAACGGTTGCGACTTAAACACAAAGTAAGAACCCTCTACCAGCCACAGGCTTGAAAACCTTGTATACAACCAAAGCTCACATAGTCAACTACGGACGAGGTACACAAATGATTCCCTTGTCGTTTCCCCACAGTTATCATTTCACGAGACTAAAACCATGGCATAATTATGAGTTCAGAATTCCTGAGGTGGGGAAAAAAACAAATGTAGAACTATCCTCTATTCATCATAATAATTTGTGATCCACAAAAGCAAGAGTGGTTGGAATAGGACTACACGTGATCGTTCCACTTTTATCCATCCATAGTTAATTTTAAAAGGATGCTGAACTAATTATGCTGCAAGACTCAGCTTGTAGACCACAGGTGCAACAATCAGATCTAAAAAAGAACTTTCATAGAACACATTCCTCCTAAGATTACTCACAGATTTATTTTTGTGTGTGTGTGCGCGCTACAGTACCTGGCTGGTTTGTGGACTGGACGGGTCATAAGAGTAATTCTTCAGAGTATCCTGAGGATTCAGGTGAGGAGGATACCGGATTGTTGGGTGAGAGAAGTAGCTAGATGGCGCAGGAGGAAGAATAGCTTGTGGTGGAAATGGCAATGGTGAAGGTGGAGGAGGAGTTCTAGTTGAGATGACTAGAAGAGATAAGAAAAACAGAATTTGTTAAGGACCTTTCGTTACGGTAAAACTTTGCACCCATGACATGGCAAGAGAAACCCATATCAGACAAATAATAATGATGATTCATTTTCTTGCCTTCCTCACAGGTTTCATCTGCAACATCTTAAAATCACCATTACCACCACCACTATCATCATCATTCTTTATTAAATTTCTATACCCCCTTTCATCTGAGGATCATGGTGTGGTTTACAATATAAAAACACAAAAATACATACCACAGTAACTAACAACCACTCACACAGTTTAAAAGGCTGCAGATTGCTTAATTAGCCAAAGGTCTGGGAGAAGAGGAATGTTTTTGGTGCCAAAGCTATGTAATGAAGGCGCCAAGCAGTCCACAAATAAGGAGCCACTGCAGAAAAGGGTTGTTCTCATGTTGCTCAAAAACATTTGATTGCAACATTTTGTTTTCTTAAAATCAAATGTTCTATAAATTTTGTTGATTAAATATACCATTGCTGTTTTCTAAAGGCATAAAAGGCCAAATAATCACATTTCACATACTTTATTCAAACTTTTCTTTAAATATAGAAATTATTGCCCTACAGAAAACGTATTTTAGTTATCAAGTATGGCCCAAAATAATTTTCTGCGTGGCGGAAACAAAAGAGTTGTAAGAGTTAGCAAATGATTCCACAATGCTTTGTGCTACACCCCTGCTAATGTATCGTATTGACCCAAATATAAGCTGCACCCACAAGGTTTGGTGGCTTGGGGGAGGTTTGGGAGCCTCGGGCAGGACGGGCACCGTTGCCCCACGCTCCCAGGCTGCTTTCTGGGGGGGGGGGAGCCGTGTTGCTTTGCCAGTGGTCTCCCCCCCCTTCCCCCTTCTCTCATCTGATGTAGGGGAGGCTTCGAGCGGTGGGCGGCCTGTGCACTGTTGCTCTGTGCTCCTGGGCTGCTTCGTGGGGGGGGGCGCCATTTTGCCACTGGCATAAGGTCGCGAATATAAGCCACACTTTAACTTTTCACAATCAGAATTTGGGGGGGAAATGTGTGGCTTATATTCAGGCCAATACAGTATGTTGAGGGTAGGGGAAGGATTACTAAACAATGACACTATGAATAATTACTTGCCCATTGTGAAAATACTAATGAATATTCAACTTCGGGTGGAGGAAAATACCTTGCCCAATGGGAATAACTGTACTGAACAAAAATAGTATCGTATATTAAAAAGGTAAAGGGACCCCTGACTATTAGGTCCAGTCGTGGACGACTCTGGGGTTGTGGCGCTCATCTCGCTTTATTGGCCAAGGGAGCCAGCGTACAGCTTCCTGGTCATGTGGCCAGCATGACTAAGCCGCTTCTGGCGAACCAGAGCAGCACACGGAAACGCCATTTACCTTCCCGCCGGAGCGGTACCTATTTATCTACTTGCAATTTCAAAGTGCTTTCAAACTGCTAGGTTGGCAGGAGCAGGGACCAAGCAACGGGAGCTCACCCTGTCACGGGGATTCGAACCGCTGACCTTCTGATGAGATATTATCTAACCAGATATTATGTATTACAGTGGTTTTAGACATTACATACACTCTTGATAGAGAAATGTGTAGGGTGCAGGAGAATTCAAGAAAAAAATTATGTATAGTATCGTATATTACACATAATTTTTTTCTTGAATTCTCCTGCACCCTACACATTTCTCTATCAAGAGTGTAGGTAATGTCTAAAACCACTGTAATACATAATATCTGGTTACTACAGAGTTGTTGCACCAGGCATGGAAATTATGTCACTACATGTACACAATAATCACATTCTATTTCTATAAGGGGATAATGTGTGAAGGATAGCTCAGCTGGTCAAGCATGAGAATAAAAGATTCCTGCATTGCAAGGGGATTGGACTAGACTACCCTTGTGGAATGATACACAAAAGGGAGAAAGTGGTCCATGGTATCTATAGATTTCCCAAGCGCATCGCGGCATCAAAACTCCAGCAGCTAATGAGATATTAAGTGCTTTGCTTTAAAACTTTATGATGATGCTCTCCTAAGTGCAACAATCCGTCTTCAGCATTTCAGCTAAAGACAAAGTTGATACTAATGCTGTGTACACATTAATGCTTACACTGGCTCCAGCACACCTCCCACCGCTGGTCTTTGAAGTCAAGTGCACATGCTGTTGGCCACAATGCAGATGTATTTCCTGGAAAAAACTCCTGGTCAATATTCTGTGCCTCAAACAAGCTTCCATCCACTTGGAAAACAGAAGCTGCAGTTAGGCTGAGGTGTGTGCATTTCAGGAAGCTGTGGCACATGTGCTGATGACAACGCATGTGCAGATGTCAGCTTCAGTGTATTGGCACCCTGCTCCCTTTGTAGTGTGAACAGCAGCATAAATAAGAGGCTTTAAACATGGGTCAGAGGGGACACCTTGCTGTGTACGTAGCCTAAGACGCTGTAAGTTATGTGGCAGAATCAGTTTTAAAATACTAAAGATTTTTTAAACTATCAATTATGCTTGTTTCGTAGCACACAGGGAGAAAGCTTGGAAGCAATTTCAAGGAGATGCTTTCAATTTATTTTATTTTTTAAAGATACAAATGTGAAGTGCTGCAAGACATTCTGAAGGATCTTGTTTGGTGTTTCCTTGAGCAGTTTTGTTTCCTTGGCACTTATTTTTTTCGATGGGTCATATGGCTGTTCCACAAATACACATTTCCTCTATAAGTGTCCTTTTCTCTCCTCTGCTTATGCTAATTTCCCCAACCTCTTTCCTCTAGATTCCATTCATTATTTTCTCCGTGCAGTTATTCAGGGTATTATGTGCCCAAAGGAGAAGATTCAGATGGTTGTTAGGTCCTTCTGGGATCTCTCTTAGTAAAGAAGGCGGCAGTTAAATATGCGACACTAAGGGATAGTTGTTTAAGCAAAAAGTAATAATAATCCTTCCATGTTTTGAGTTTACATCCGTAGCAAGGAAACAGAGAGGAACTATTTTGCTATCAGCTGAGGAAATCTGTGTTGGAGAGAAATCATTTTCCTATTTATAGTTCACCCTTTCAGAACACCCTTTTTTAAGCTTTTGAAATAAACCTGTTCAAGTTGCATGCTACCTCTTCGGCTGCAATCCTACACACATTTACATGGGTGGGCAAAATGATACTTATTTACAAGAAAATATGCAAGAGATTGTGCTGTTAATTTAATATTGCACCTATGGAATGTAATCTACGGCTTACTAATGGAAAGACCCTTGGAAAAGGCAAGACTAAATCCAGGAAGTTATCAATACTATAAGCCTTTGTGATTCATAACCTAAGCATTCCCTTATTTTTATTCTGAACTGCGTGTCTTTTAGTCCTTATCTGTTTTAATTATCAGTTCTTATTCATATTTGTGTTTAATCTCGTACTCTATTCACATGTTTTATCCTATGCTTGTTTCTTTGTTCTTATTTGCTTTAACAATTACCTGTTTAAATCCTAACTGCTACTTTACTCATATGTTTCTCTTATGCTGGTCTGTGACTGTAATAAAGTTTATTCATTCATTCATTCATATTCTGAAGTTATTTTCAAGGAAATAATTTTACTCTAGTTCTGCATGTAAATCTCTTTATCACTAGAATCTCATTATGATAATTAATTTCAACACGGGAGGAACAATATCTAACAGGTAACATAGAATTACAGATTCACATCCATTTTGAGATTATTTGTCATCCCAGGAAACTATATCATATAGCAGTGAATAAACTTCTGTGACATATAATATAGATATGTTGGGATGGGGTGGGATTGTGAAAGTCCGTCCCCCACCCCCCACCTCTGGTTTCAAGAGATTTATTCTAGCTAAAGCACGCTGAACTTCTCAGAATCTCTTCCTTCATATAACTTTGTGTTGAATGTTAAATTGAGCATTAAGTCAATAAAAGGGGTGTTATTGTGGCTGGGGAAAGACTAGCTCGGGGTTCAGAGTTTTTCCATCCCTCTTGCATCCTCACCACTGTGTGTAACTCCCGGGATCCCTGGATGGTGATGCTGGAAAGTGGTCAGTCTTGGTGAAGAATCCTGGGGAGATGTAGTGCTAAACAAAGGCTTTTCGGGTTTCTTCATTGTAGGAGAAGACATATCTGCAGTGACGACACGACATAATAGATATGTTAGCCCAGAGATCACATAGCACCATTCTTATTTATCAGTCACCCGGCACATGAAGGGACTCCAAGCAATGTTTAAAAATAAAAAGAATACACCATAGTATAAAATAAAAAGAGAAGAACATTGCATTATATTAAAAGCCATAGAGTGACCCAAATAAAACCCAACGAAACAGCAGTAAAAACTTCAGCAATGAAAATGTACCATTAGTGGGCAGAAAAATCATCTTAATTCATCAAACGTCTCAGAAAAGTGTTAAATTTTTGCCTGGAACAAATGCAGTGTTAATGATGGCACCAGGCAGACTTTACTGGGGTGAGCCTGACACAAAAGCAGGGGGTTATAAACCTCAAGTGGTTCTACTCCACTGACAAAGCCCATTTTGAGATGAGCCCAGACCCCCAGCAAATTTCAGTCTGGTTTGCAATAGGATGAATCCACTGACTGCCCCTTTCCTAAAATTAACCTTGTGGGGTGTCTGTGTGTGTGTGTGTGTGTGTGTGTGTGTGTGTGTTGAGGGGGGACTTGCGGCAACATTAAGCTTCACTCTTAAGCCATCTATTGCCGCTGTGGCCCTGAAAACCAAAATTTTCATTTATCCTTGTTTAGTACACCCAATCAGGAAGAATGGATAGCACCACTCCCAAGGTTCCTGGCAGTAACAGAAGTTTCTAAGTATGCTCAGAATCCTTCATTGTTGCTGGAAACACTCCATTCTTAAAAAATGATCCTGCAGTCACTCGCCACCTCTGCAAACTGAGCAGATTTTGGGGGAGAAGGCAGACTGATTATGGAGAACTTGGGGGCTGGGGGTTGGCAGAAAGCTGCCAAAGACTCAAGCGTCTTTTCCAGTTCCCTCTAGGGGCGCTTCCAGAATGTTGAACTTTGGCGTGAATCTTTCACACAATTGGGTAGATGGCAAAACATGCCATTTGCAGAATAAGAGTGCACCTTCATAGCCCACAGCAAAGATAAGTGGTGTGTTCATTGAGATAAAGCAACTTCCAGCATGATCCAGACTTTTTGTGGTAAGAAAAGTAGAGTATAACAACAACAGCGTATAAACCTCCACAATTTTGCAAAAACGAATCTGAACGCCTGCTCAATATACGATTCATCTGGAAGTGACCTCAGAAAACTCTTGGAAAGACTCCAAGAATTTTCTGAGAAATCTTAGAAATGTGAAGCAAATGGACAGGAAGCAAGCTGGAGGAACCCTTCCCATGATTAGTTTTCAGAGACTGCCTACCCATCCACTTGCTGGGAGTAGACAGAGAAGTAGACACACAAATGTTTTTGAGTGTAGTTTGAAGTGTGTCTCCAATATTATTCCAGAAAAAACACGTATCAAAAGATATAGAGGAAAACCTCTATAAAAAGCCATTTTACAAACTAAGTATTAATTTGCCTTGTGTAAATTTTAAGGAGTTGTGGATTAAGAGAACATGGGGCTCTTTCTCAGCCTAACTGACTTCTCTGAGCTGATGTGAGCATAATGGCCCTGAAATACTTGGAAGAGTGAGACAAAATACTGAAAAAATGAATATTCATTGAATGTTTAACTGAAATCAGTATCTAATAACATAAACTTGCATCTACAAGAGTTGTAAATAGCAGCACCCTTCTTCTTTGGTTAGCACCTTTTTGTTTTGCTAGACAACAACATCCTTTCTACTCCAGCACAAAAGCCATTATAAACATTTGCTTCATAAAATTAAATAAATATTTGCTTTTGGCAAGGCGACTCTTTCATACTTATATAATCTCAGCTCTAAGAAGACATTCCGTTAAAATGGTCTGCGAGGGGGGGTTATGCAAGCTCCACACCCAACTGCCACCTTGAGGGGGAAAAGCACTAAAATGGTAACCTCCCTAGATTACTGTAAATCTTGCTTTTTGAATGTACTCTACTTGGCGCTGCCCTCGCTGATGACCCAGAAGCTGTAGTTACGGCAAGATGCGGTGGCCAGGTTAGCGAGTTAGCCAACTGGAATCGTATTACTGCAATTCCACGGGATTTGCAATGGACTTCCAGGCCCAATTCAACATGCTGATGTTGTTCAGAACATAAGAAGAGCCTGCTGGATTGGGTCAATGGACCATCTGGTCCAACATCCTTTTCTCACAGTGGCCAACCAGATGCTGTTTATACTGTTGATGTACGGAGCTCTATGCAACCTGTGACCCAGTTATATGAAGGAAAACCTGCCCAGCTGTTAAGTTCTGAAGGATGTCCCAAATCCAAGTATAGACCATTAGGAGAACAAGTTTTCTTAGTGCCTCAAATGTGGAATGCCCTCCTCACTGAAGATTGAGGCACCTACAATGTTATTCTTTCCATAGGCTCAAGACTTATTCTTTTCACCAAGTCTTTAAATACTGAGATATTACACAACCACCCGCAGCATTTGTTCAATTTACAATTTTTATTTTAGCACTGGTTTTATCAACTAATGTTCTGTAAATGACATTTCTTGCAGTATCTTTTTGATGCTCTGTTAAAATGTAACAATCCATTCTACATCTTCGGTTTAATATATATATTGATAATATGGAGTAACTGAAAAAGAATATGCAACAGGACTGTGTCAAGAAGACTAGAAAATGGGAACCACATATATATCTCCTTCATTTGGGGTGGTGGAGAGATAAACAATTAATGCTTCTCTACAGGATTTTAAGTGCTGGCATCTCTAGCTGACACCAATTATAAATGAACATTATGCTAATACAACACAAGATCATAACATCCATACATGTCTCTGAATAAAACTGGTGTGAGTTGGTGGTGGAATTAAATGGAGGTATGGCTAGATTAAAAGCTTGGAAGTTATTCTTGCATAATACTATAAAGGTAAAGAATATACATGTCTGGACCGCGTTATGTTATAAATTTAAAACACTAGCACATCAAAGAGATAAAGGCTTATGCAAATTGGGGGGGGGGGGAGAACGTTAGATCAACTCATCTCCCAACAAGGTAATTCCATCTACAAAGGAAAGCAAGAGAGAGAGAGTTGCTGTGAAGCATAATGTATGTAGCCAGCTCAACGGCAGCTTGCACAAATGGCACTCCAGATGTATATCTGCTCAAGTCAGCCCAAGGCAACTATTTTGATCAATTCTAATGTGATAAAATGCTGCGGGGAAGGAGTGCAGAAATGTGTTTACGTCAGACTTTAATTAAACTGTTGTTTGCTTCCAAAGAACCTTAGGAAACACTAATGAGACATGAGTTTCAGCAATTTCCTCATCAAAAGCACAGACCCTCTGCCTCTGCACGGAGCTGTCTGCCATCCCAGGAGCTCCCTCGATAAATGTCACATGGCACCCCAATCAGTGAGCCACCTGTTAATGGAACATTCCTGGAGTCAACTTGTGAGAGAGGCAGAGTTCAAGGATCCACCTGCCTGCATTGGACACCTGCTCGGCTTTCACAGGCAGTAACACAACATGTTCACTTTCCCATGAATCTACAGGAGGAGAGCCACCAAGGAATAGGGGCACAGGCGCAGAATAAATAGTTTTGCATCTACTGCAGCCAGCCCGATTTAATTCCCAAATCCACCTCCATTTAGTCACAGCTTCAAGCTACTTAATTAAATGAAATCTTTCTCTGCAAGGAGCGCTATATTGAAGCCAAAGAACAATAAGCAGAAGGACTATAGATAGGAGTTATTCCACAAACATTTGTGCAAGAGTTCAAAGTGCTGTAATAAGCATGCCCTATCACGGTTCTTCTGTTTTCTCTTGCATAAAAGGATGTGCATGGTCTTATGCAATCAGAACATCATCTATCGATTTATTTTCACTTTTTTGTGCAATTCTCAAGTAGTGCAAAAGTAATACTTAAAAAACAACAACAACACAGGTTACACCTTCTGCAAATGGACTCAACTATTTCAGGCAATGCCAGCCTAACTGAAATATTTATTCCTTTTCGGTCTTCCCTAATTTAAGCAGGAAGGGAGCAATCATTTTTACACCTAAGAAAACTCTTTAAAAGGGGGAAAAAGCAGATTAGTATCTGACTCTAAATACCCCTGGACGGCTAAGTCCAGTTAAAGGCTACTGCAGGGTTGTGGCGCTCATCTCGATTTCAGGCCAAGGGAGTCGGTGTTTGTCCACAGGTCATGTGGCCAGCATGACTAAACTGCTTCTGGCACAACAGAACACCGTGACGGAAGCCAGAGTGCATGGAAACACCATTTACATTCCCACCACAGCGTACCTATTTATCTACTTGCACTGGTGTGCTTTCAAACTGCTAGGTTGGCAGGAACTGGGACAGAGCAACGGGAGCTCACCACGTCATGGGGATTTGAACTGCCGACCTTCCAGTGAGCAAGCCCAAGAGGCTCAGTGGTTTAGACCACAGCACCACAAACTGCATACAGGTGTAATACAGTTCCAAGAGATCCTTGAATTACACAGGACTTCACTCGGGCAGCCTCCTCATCCTGTCTGTGATGATGATGAGCTCTTTCCTAATGTTCTCCAGAAATTAGAAGGATCAATATGCTGGAGAATATACATATAATACAACTGTACTAGCAAGAACACTGCAATGTTAAGAACACCCGATTACAAAATCCTACCTAAAACTAACAACAGGCTATTAGATTTATACACTACAGAAAAATGTTGTGGATTACATCATCTAGGTCATTTCTTCAGATAATTTCATAATCGACAGAGACAGAACTTTAAAAGCAAAAAGCAAAGCCTTGCTGGCTGTGAGGAAATGTAATTGTAAAAGCCAAACATATTGCACTTGATACTGGCTAATATGTTGTTTGTCCATTAAGAACTGGCGTATCACTGAGGTTCATAATGCCTCTAGGGTAAAAAAAAAAACTAAACAAAAAAGCTACTGAGTGCAGTGTATTAAGAATCTAAGAAATATTGGTCTACAGCACAAATCAATCAAGTAAGATCAGTATTTTTGAGTCCTGGTGTTAGCCAGTTTGAAAAACTACTAACAGCAGAATACAGCCCTATGGAGTTATATAGGACTTACTCCCAAGCAAATGTGTATTGGGTTGCTGTTGAATTTTCCATTTTAGGAGATCCCTTTGAGGAACTGAAATGAATTTTAAAGCAGCACATTTAGACGCAGCTTGAAATCCAATACAATTAAGGACATTTAAGGCTACTAAAAACTATGGGCTCGTATGTAGATTGGGGCCACAATGTTCTGTTAGCATAAAAAAAATCTTATATTCATAGGTTTTTTTTAAAAAAACAATCTGGGTCAACATGTTTGAATTGTTGGAAACTGTAGTAGTTCTTTATTATTTATTTATTTATTTATTTATTTATTTATTTATTAAAAAATGCATTTAAAAAAATAAAATAAAATAAAAAAAGGAAACTGTAGTAGTTCTGGATGATTACAGCGACAGACATAAAACAGGAGAGAGGGAAAAGGAGAAAAGACCAGATTTAAACTTAAACATGCTTATATTATTGCGATCAATTTTAATTTCATACATCAAGATAACATTTCCTTTGACTAAATCAGATTATAAATATTCCTTCCAAATCCCAAACTGCTTCCCCCTTGGGAATAAACATATGATTGTCCTGAGCAAGTCATGGCTCAATACCGTCTTCAGTGTCTGCGAATTGCCGTATTTACTCGAATATTTACTCACCACCAAATCTAACACGCACCTTAATTTTCGCGACGTTAATTAAGCCAAAAAAGATGTGCATTACATTTGAGTAATTACGGTAGTAAATATTACAATATGAAGATATAAATTTATGTTCAGAAACTGCGTGACAAATGTAGGGTGATTTTTTAATTATTATTTTTGCAGCAATTTCTTTACTTGCCTACAAATTAGCATCCCCCTATGGCTGCTTTGAAGTGATGTCGAGGGAGGGATATTTATCACTTTCCTCCCATGCTGTTTCCTGATCTAAGTCTACGACAGGAAATATGCAGTTGCCCCTAGTTTAAAAATCCCTAAAAATCACAGGATATTCTGATAACAGATCTCCCATGTCATATCTAGTTTGGTCCTCAGGTGACATAACGGACAAAGACCTCTGGCTGAGACCCTAGAAAGCCATTGTTGAACTGAGTATTAGGCTATTATCAGTGCTATTTTTCTATTAAAAAAAGGTCCGGAACTCTCCACGAACGCTTCCCTTATTCTTTTATAATGGCAATGGCGCCCACCTGAGAGGGGCCGGAACTGAGTTCCATCGAGTTCCGGCTGAAAAAAAGCCCTGGCTATTATTATTATAATTATTGCTGTTGTTGTTGTTAGTTAAATTTATATACTGCCCTTCATCAGAAGATTTCAGGGCGGTTGATTGTAGATTTGACTTTAAAGCAGCAGCTTTTGCGATCAGATAATTTGAGATATTGTATTTTGAGGAGGGGACGCGGGTGGGTTAAACCACAGAGCCTAGGATTTGCAGATCAGAAGGTCGGTGGTTTGAATTCCTGCGACGGGGTGAGCTCCCGTTGCTCGGTCCCTGCTCCTGCCAACCTAGCAGTTCGAAAGCACATCAAAGTGCAAATAGATAAATAGGTGGGAAGGTAAACAGCATTTCCATGCGCTGCTCTGGTTCGCCAGAAGAGGCTTAGTCATGCTGGCCACATGACCTGGAAGCAGTACGCCAGCTCCCTCGGCCAATAAAGCAGATGAGCGCTGCAACCCCAGAGTAAAGGAGAGACGGGGAAAGTATTTACAGTGTTTTGCATCTGAATCCAATGAACCAAGAGGCAGAGGAAAATTGCATTCCCAAAGCTATCCAGGGCAACAGACATTGCTGAGGATGATCAGAAGTGTCCATTGCCTTAAATTCAAAGCAGCAGGAAAACAGTTAATGTCTACCTGTGCCTTCCCCCCCGCCCCCAACTGAGGTTTATATCTGGATAACTAGCTACTGACCTGGCTATCTGATATGAACATATTTTCGAACTATATTCCAGCAACATGGAACCTCTTACATGGGTTTGTTGAAAGGATTTTACCCTTTTCTTTACTTGGGGGGGGTGAGGGGGAAGGCTCCCAGAACGGCTTACAAATATCTGTAATAAGACAATTCCTGTGCTCAGGCTTACCATTTAAAAAGACGCAACACAAAAGGAAAAGGGATTGGGATGGAAGAGGTTGGAAAGGTAACTCGGGCACCGGTTCTTACATACAGAGCTCTTGCAACAACTAGCCTCCCAGTATTGGGAGAACTGACCTTACAATAAAAGCAACGGCCAGAATATCTTACAGCCCTACCTGGTTGGTTGGTTAGTTGGTTGGTTTTTTTAGCAAGAGGTATACGGAAGGCATCCACCTGTCAGGTCATGATTACAAAGACTCTCATGTGCAAACTCTGCAATGGACAAACGATTTGGAATGCTTTGTATACAGTACTTATTATGGATCTCTTCCCTCTCTATCCCTTCTCCTATCCCCTGCTCTGTTTTGTTTTATGTTGCAAACAAAATAGAAAAAAACACACAATCAGGTTACAGGAAGATTTTTCTTAAAAAATAGACAACAACGCTACTTCCAGCCCTCCCAGCATATATCCGCTCCTTTGCAGGGATTTGTCTTAGGAAAGCAAGAACTGACGGTAAGAACTTGAAATAAAAACACAATAAAGGCTGGTGTATAATGCATGTATACATTTATTAGGATATATTGTAAGATGTTCAGTATTTACAACAGTACAACAAATTGCTAGTGGAATATAGATATATAACTCTCTTAAAAGAAGCTTTTGGTCATGCTTTCGTTAGGACAGAATACACAGTTAACACAATCAAAGGGGCATCCTGTAAAGGAACCCTTACTGAATAAATGCATTTTCCAGGTAAAGAATGTTTCTCCAGGGGAGAAAAATAGGGCTTAACCTTCGGTGTGTGCCTTAGGAGTTGCATTTTTCTGTCCTGTGTAGGTGAGCAGCTGGCCTAGCTGTCCAGTTATGGTTTTCAGCTCCTGAACAGCACTACGTACCTCCCCTTTTAATTCTCTAAGTTCTGAAATTAAGATTTCCATTTTAGAAAAACCGTGAGACGGGGGTCTAATAAGGAAAGGCCCATCAGGAGATGGCCCCATATTTAAAGGAATTCCAGGGAAAGCAAGTCCAGAAGATGGGGAGATAGCAAAAGATGGCAGAGGTCCAGGAGGAGGATATTCTGCAGAAGATACTTGTTCCTCATCACAAGGAAGTCCGGCAGGGGGAAGGTGAAGAACAGGCGAAGGGGATCCAAGCACTTCTGTTTTAATGGAAAGCTGGGGTTGTACTAGTTTGCTGTTGCTGAACGCAGGAGAACCATAGGAAAGTGAGCATGATGAAGAAACTGTAAAATTAAAATGTGTTTAATTGTACACCCTAATGTACAATTTCAAATAAGCCTTTATATCTGTATTCAATGCTCTAGGAACACACCATAACATCCTATTACTTTCCACGCCTGAGTAAATATGTTGTCTTAGTCTAACGTTAAGAATGAGTTTAACTGCTGTTGAGTCGTGCAAGAGAAACTGCTGCTGTTTTCCCAGGGACAAATTTTATTATTATATATATAGAGTATGGGGGCTTCTTCTTAACCCATGCCAGTTCTTTTCATAGAGTCCTTTCATGGCAAATGTTCTTGCATCCTGTTGCATTTTAAATTATCCTCTTTTCTAAGCAAGATCCTCTTCCCATCAAAGCGATTGTATTTTAGTTATTTTTTTAGAAAGAAAGAGGGGAGGGGAATGCATTCATTTCCCAAGGTAAGCAATATCAACTATCATTTCATTACTTCATAAAACTGGGTAAGGATGAAAAGGAAATGCCGTATTGCATACCAATTTCAACTATGGAATGACTATTCATTTTCATATCACCTCCTGGCTTTGAATAGTGCTTTCAAGAAACGCCATTTTGTATGTGTACAGGCAGGGACTTGCCTTTCCATTCTCTGTCTGCGGCTCCCTGCACTATATCAGTGTCCAACCCAAAAGGTGTCTTTTGGTTTCGGAATGCCTTGACAGTTCATTGCAATTGGAAATCAAGGTTGTCTGTCTAGGACCAAGCCCACCATCCCTGAGCAAACATGGTATAGATTTGTCACTCAAGGGACAAATTACTTAGCAAAGGCAGCCAGACCCTAGGGGGTTTATAGCACAACTTGTGTCACTTGACAAGAGTTAGGTTAGAAGTTGCAGAATTAGCAAATAGCCAGCTGCATCGGTGGCGTCTGAGCAGAGGAGAGAACATCTCCCTCTTTTCTGGCAAACCATTATGGTGATTCGGGAGTGATGTGCTTGGTTCTGGTTGCTAGGATTTCTAATCTGAAATTCCAGGCACCTTCAGGTACCCCACTACTCCCCAAGCAGCTTCTGGGATCCTGGCCAAAATGTGTGTCATGCTTTGACAGATTGCTTTAAGTGCCCTTTCATCTCCAAGAGATTCAGCTTGGCTCAAGCCAGGCAAGGCACCTCACGGGCAGAAACAGCACTGGATCAGAGTCTATTACTGTGAAATTATTGTGCTTTTGAACTTTTATTTTGTGTCAGTGCTTTGCACATTCCCTTCCAATTAAATGAACTGCAAAGTCCCCTTGCTAATTTTTGAGCACTTCGTGAAGAATGCGCGTGCACTGAGCTCTTGCGCTCCTGACATGTACTTGCATTTACTATTTCAAATTAATCTGCAAAGTAGTTAAATGAATTAATGGGGGGTATGTTAAAGTAATTAACATATCGGATGCCATCTTTATATGTGTATGAGAGAGAGTGTAAAAAAAGTAGTGTGGCTCAAGAGATAAAATAACATATTAACCACTGACTTTAACTTAATAATCTTTAATAAACGGTGAAACATAAACTCCATGAAATATATATTTTTAACCCACAAAATTCTCTTTTCTCACACTGTGATAAAATTGGCATCATTTTTTATTTTTTTGAAAAGAAGAATTACTTACCAGTAACTGTGGTTCTGCATATTCATACTTGTGGAGCAAAGATCTCAGGTGCTGCTGAGCTTCAGGAACCTTCTAGAAAAGCTGTGCCTGCCATTAGTGCATGACCGTACTCTAACGGCAACTGGATGTTGGGAACTGAGGTTACAAATAATCTCATCTTCTGCCACTAGCCTCAGAATCTTATGAAAGCAGCAATTTGGCCAATAGTGTTTCTTCTTTTGTCCTTTGTGACGTGACCCGAGTCCTCTCGTATGGAGACCCTGGGGATGAACTGTACCAGGTCCCTTGGTACTTACCAACTCTGAACATCAAAACCATAGTTCTCGGTGCTGAAGCTGCCACAAAACCAGACGTCAAATGTGCCAATTCATGGTAAGAAATACATCTGCCCCTGAATTTCAGGAGACCGGAAAAGTATTTTCTGATAACGCAACGTAACAATGTCTTGGGTGAAGAATGATGGACAACAGGTGAGTGTGATGGAATTCTGAGTGAAGCGAGCCCCAAATATAGAACGTCAGAGTTGACTTTGACAGATAAAAGGGGTGTAAAAAAGAGTGGAGCTGAGCAGAGAGTGAAGGGGGTGCCATGAGGGAGAGAATGAGTGTGTTGTGTTCTGGTAGGATTCTCAAACCACATGTCTTGTGTAAATGTATACAATAAAGAATCCTATTGCTCTCTAGAATTGAGTAGGTAATGACAGGTATTTTGACGACCACTACTGGAAGTCTGGGCTTAGTGGATTGAATGAACTAGTTAACTCCAAGGACCAGGGCCTCGGAGAGGAACCTAGAATGTGTCAAAGGTTTCCTCTTAAAGATTGATCATGCTGCCTTATCCCAAACCAACCTTATTCTAAGTTGGAAACACATTTGTGTTTGCACATTCAGGATATGCGAAACCTGGCAGTCTAGTTTACAATGGAAGGTCGTGCTTATCACTGAAGCACATCAACGAAAGTTGTAAGTATTTAAGTGTTTGAGAGGCAAAGTGACATGACAAACATCTCTTAAAACTAAAGAGACAGGATAGGAATCAATTCAGTAACCATTTAGAACGCCTAGCAAGGAATCGGCTAATAACACTCCAAACACATCCATGCAGCACTATTATTACTATAAACTAATATGAATTATCAGTCAAAGGTTAGACTGCAAAAAAGTGAAACAGTCCAGTCCCTATAATAAATCTGCATGGGAAAATTATTCCTGATACACCATAGTTCATGATAAAGGAGCTGCAAGAGGTTGGACAATGACCATTTTTGAAAATTGCCTCTGCAGACATAGGCACATGACGTTTACCCATTTTCTTTCCCATTTTAGCCTATTTCTTTTGTGTAATTCATGTGGCAATAGCCACAAGCAATGTCTTTCCTATCAACGTCTATTACAGGAGCAGGACTAAAGCAATGGAACTAAGATCCTAAACAAATAACATAGGTTGCTTTTTTCAATGCCTCGAGTACCACGAGAAAGGGGGAAAAGATTTATCGCCCAGGTATGTTTTCCTACACTTCAGTTAAAATTGTTGACTATACTTAAAACTGCCAAATAAAGAAGGGGGGGGGACACAGGAACTTATGCCACTCCATAACCCTGGCCCCTTAAATGACCGGTTTTTACCATGAATCCGTTTAGACACAATTTTTTTCCTCTTAACTGCAGGTCACCAAAGCTTAAGCACCACAGAACTCTGCACTCCACAACTAGAATTATGCAGAGACCACCATGCAAAGGAACTTAAAAGATTATTCTTCTTGATACAAGCATTCAAGTTTTAAGAATTGGGTGACTTTTCATGAAATCAGTACCAAAAATCAACGACAACAAAACAGAGCATCTGTTCAGATGGTGCTCCCATCACTCATTGCATTTCCCCTTCCTGTTCCCCTCATGGTGTACAGAAGTGCTCACACAAATGGGAGCACGGGATTGCATCTTATTCTGGGTATGGAAATCACTCTAAATATCAATAACTAGGGTAAACGAGAATCCTCCTTAAATAGTTGTGAAGGTTCCTAGTACAGACGACCATGTCTGCATGTGGTGAGGGTAACTGAGGAAAATGAAAAATAAATAATTGAGGATCACTTTTGATCTCATTCTTTGGGAGATGAATAAAGAGCAATGTCTGAGCACCCCAACAGATGTTAATAATAATAATAATAATAATAATAATAATAATAATAATACCAACCAATAGGCAAGTCTTTTTTTATTTTAAGCCCAATCCTATATCCCCATGTTTGCAAATATATGTACAAAAAGATACAAATAAAACTTGCATTATTTATAGAAAGTTGGGAGGGGGGAGTACATTCCAAATTGATATTTTGCAGTAAATGGGAAGAATGTAAAAACTGACCCAAATAAAATATTGTTTAAACATGCTGTAAAAAGATCATTTGGGGGAACGGGGGATACTGCCTGAGGTGCAAAGGGGCTGAGAGACATAAATATTTGGGGAATACTAAAATGGATCTTTTATGATTGGTACCACAACTGCTCCAAAGAGTTTGCACATTCCCTTGAAGTAAAAACCCTGCACAAAAACCATCTTCTTAATGCTATGTTAAAAAAAAACGAGGCAAAAAAACTATGATCAATATAAATCTGAAACAAAGACTATTGCATACCATATACAATATGTAATTCATTTTTATGTGTAAGCTAGAAATAGTTATTAATTGCAACTGGGAAACTGGATAACATCATGAGGTGATGAAATGAAAGATAAGGATCTTCTGAGAATGGGTAGCTTTCACTGGCTCAGGAGAAGTTATATCCTTTCACCACAAAATACCTAATTCTAGTAACCCGTGCACTTTTCTGTATAATATCGCTGGTCTTTCAAATAGCAAACAAGGGCATGAAATCCTGGCAGAGACAACTGGCCAGAACTAAGGAAGTTTGATTTTTGCTGATCAGATATGCTTCGCTTTCCTCCGTTATGTGCTAGGCGAGTTTCAGCTCCTCAACCCCACTTCCATGCACTGATGTCAGAGGACATCAGTGAAAGACTTGGCACCAACATAGGCAACAGCTCTCGCTGATGTCGTCTAAGACAAGGCATTGGTGCTCAGCAGTTTGATCTCGCTCAGCCCATGGTTCAGGAAAGCCCTCCCTTGCTGGCAGTTGCAAGAAAACAGCTGCCACTGATGTCCTCTAAGGCAAGACAGTGGGGCTGAGGAGGTGGAATTCAATCAGGCCTTATTACTATTGCCACTTAGCTAGGAATATGGCATATCACTTGTATCAACAGAAAGTTAAATGTAAAGAACTGTTTTATTCAAGGCTAAGCCTTTGCCTGGATCTGTGCTGCTAAGCCAGGCATGTCCAAAGTCTGCTTCTGGGGCCTAATTCGGCCTGCCTATCAATTTAATCTGACCCCCCTGGGATAAAGTCCTAACTTCAATCCTAAAAAAAGCTCAACAAACAACTTTGCTTGGCGATCACGCAAAAAAGAATGCCACCAAGACTTCACAATTTGTCTGCTCTTAAAAGATACTCTAAATAACTGGCCATGTCAGGGGTGGCTGGCTATCAAGGCAGTGAGCTATTCCTCCTTACAACTGAACTATTAGAAGCCATTTATTTAGCATTGTGGAACTTCCTCCCAACTCATATTCGACAGGCACACTCCCTGCTGAACTTCAGGCGCATGACCAAGTGGGAATTTTATGGAAGCATTCAAGTTTCTATTTGGTCTTAAGGTTAATTTTTTATTTTATTTGCTGCCTGGTTTGTTTTTTTTATGCACGCTTTATATGAATGCCTTAAAGAAATAAAAATAATAAATGATAAACGGAAGGTGCACTTTGTTATGTTTGCTATGCGCAAGGATGGTGAGCAGAATGATTGCTGGCTAAATGTCTACAACTTTCAGGGTAGCAGTTACTGGGCAGTTGAGGGTAAACTAGTATGTTCATTGGCTTATATGTAAAGATAAACAGAAATAATTTAAGAACAAAGCAAAATGAAAATTTCAAGACATTAGGGAGCATACAATAGGAAGGCAAATCACCAGGGTTAAGGCTATTAGATCTTTTCTGGACCTGTTTCCGAACCTCTATTAGCAAACCAACATGGGGAAATAAAACACGTGAAGCCATTTCTTTTTCTTCATACCACCGGCAGCTTTACTTTCTTAATCCTTTCACATCAACTTGCTATTAAAGGCACAGAAACAAGGCCAGAAAAAAGGCAGGATGTTTATTCATTTTCTTATAAAATATATGGTGAAAGCTTAATAATTTATTCAATTATTTACCGGCGTTGCTAGATTCCGCTAGCCAAAGAGTCAGATGAATAAATTAATATCTATCCTGAGCCTCTAATTTGACAGGTTTAGTTTCCAGTGAAAACTGTTGTTTTAGTAAAAGAATTGGTATGCATATTCACAATATCTGGGTGTAAAAAAAAAAAAAAAGGAATGATGGTAAGGTTAATGATGACTAATGGACACTACTTTGTAAGTTTGAAAAGTCTAGGAACATACTTCAGCCTAGTAGTAGATTTAGATTTGAATCTCCATTTCAAACTGCAAAGCATGAATGTATTTATGAGGTAAAACAAAATTCCATAAATGAGTCTGAAGCACTATAAAGATATGGATTTACTCACCTTGATCTCTTTCATGCCATGTCCTGCTCCCAGCAGCTGGTGAATTGGGGGAAGGATAAAAATCCCCTGTTGGGCTTGGTTCCATATTCTCATCTATGGATATAGTTTTGGGTCTCTTACTGTGAATATATAAGAAGAAGCATTAATTTAACTGCCTTTATGTGTATTAAAAGTAACAACAGACAGCTCTTTTGATCCAGATGGCATGTGTCAAGCCCAAAACTATTCCTGGGTTAAACCAAACTCTGATCTCATGTTTCCAGATCCAAAAACCTATTGCTCACATGCTACATTGAGGCTGAGAATATGCATATAATATATATGTATATGTATATGTATATGTATATGTATATGTATGTGTGTGTGTGTGTGTGTGTACATATAGCAAGGATCTCACTAGATTTACAAGGAGCATCTCCACCTCCATTGTTCAGCCTGGATACTGAGGTCCAACTCCAAGGGCCTTCTGGCAGTTCCCTCACTGCGAAAGGGAACCAGGAAGAGGGCCTTTTCAGTGGTGGTGCCTGCCCTGTGGAATGCCCTCCCATCAGATGTCGAAGAAATAAACAACTATCTGATTTTAAACGACATCTGAAGGCAGCCCTGTATAGGGAAGTTTTTAATGACTGATGTTTTATCGTGCTTTTATTCTGTTGGGAGCTGCCCAGAGTGGCTGGAGAAACCCAGCCAGATTGGTGGGGTATGAATAAATTATTATGATTATTATTATTATTATTATTCACACTTCTTACATCAACAGTATTTGCTGTTGTTGCTGTTGCTATTGTTTAACAAAATGATCGCTTTGAAAGCTTCCACCCTATTTTGTTGACTTTCTTGATAATGTAAAATGTATCACCACACCTACTTGATTTTTCCATTTTAATAGAAAGCATTGGAAATATTTAACTGTTACTTGTCTACACATAATTAAGAAGTACAATATTGCACTTCATCGTCATTTTATTTACACGCCGCCTTTCCGCCGTTAAAAACTATGCTGAAGGAGGCTTACGACATGAAAAGAGTTGCATAATTACAAAAGATAACAATGGTAGTCTTAAACTGCAAATAAAACACATCAATAAGTACACTGCTGAATTGAACAATTTCCACATAAAGCATAAGATATAAAAATAAAAATACAAAAAAATAGCAGCAGCAACAACAACAACAACAAAAAACACCCTAACAATAGCTAGATCTTTTTTAAAATGATATGCTCACCTGGTTGGTGGAGAGGATAGTGACCTCTGTAAGTTTACACCCGAGTTCATGTCATGGTAGTATGGTTGACTTGGAAGTTCTCCAATTGGGAAGTTGACTCCAGCTCCCTGGGTTATAGGCGCTAAAAAACACAGCATTAAGATAGTCACACCAGTCTTTAAACAGCAATTTAATACTAACAAAAGCACACCCTTAAACGAAGTTCTCTCTATATTTTTGTCTAACGAGAAGCAAGAGGAAATTAATTTTCCTAGTTGCATAATTTGAGGAAAAATTAACCCATAACCAGGGAAAAGCTAGACAGTGATGTGATTAACTAGTTCCATGAGTTCTCCTGGTCCGTCAACATTTCATGAAAAGAGTGAAAATTACTGTCACAAGTACAATACTGCTGTTATATAATTTAAAATGTATTTATTCTGGACGCAACAACACAAAAATGGGATTATTTTAAATGCAGCATAAACACATGCTTGTTTCAGTTGGTGAAACAGAATATCTATTGGAAAATAAACTCTTATTTTACATACATTAATATGCTCCATGCATTATTTTCACTTTCATTAATACAAGCATGCATTACATTACTTATTTACAACAAATGTGTGTATTTATTATCTCTTGGTGCCCTTCAATCAAATTCTTGGGGTAGTTTACATACAATTTACTTGCTAATTGGAAGGGCCCAGAACGTTAAACTAATTGTTTCATGTCACAGTATAATAATCCCAAATACACCTGAAATTGGAAGTTTTCACTGTTGCTGCATATTTGTGAATGACTTTAATGCAATTTAGAATACTAAAGGCTGCAATTGTGTGCCTATTTACCTGAAAGTAAGTGCTAGGGAATACAGTGGAATTGACTCCTGAGTAAACATGCACAAGTGCTGTACATTAACACATTTTTCTATTCAACCAACAACTGCACTTTATCATGCAAGTATATTCAAAAGCCATGATGAATAATTTTAGCTCAGGCTATTCTCTAACTATAGGATGCTCACTGTATGTATTATTCTCATGACAGATGAAGAAATGTATTTATTAACTATTCTGAACTAAAATTAAGCTTCCTATTTATAACATTTCTTCCTTGCTGGCATAAGAAAGCTTATTCCTTGTTTAACTGATTTCCATGCTTATTAAAAAAAAAACTTCCTTGCAATCTTCAGTATAAACTAAACTTGGTATGCAAACCTTTGTAGAAAATAAAAATGTCTGAACAGATCAACCTGATACTTCATTAAAAGAAAGCTAATAGTATAGAACTGAAACTATTAATTTAACGACAATCTCACTCTGCTCTTTCAACCAAAGGCTTGCAGCCCAATCCTATGCAGGTTTATTCAGAAATTAATTTGATGGCACTTATTCCTAAGGAAGTGTCCATATGTTTACAGCCATAATCATAGATATGTGGTGGACCTCGTTGAATGGGATTAATTTATTAAATATACCGTATTTTTTGCCCTATAGGATGCACTTTTTCCCTTCCAAAAATGAGGGGGAAATGTGTGTGCATACTATGGGGCGAATGCAGGCTTTCGCTGAAGGCTTTCAGGAGAGCTCCACCAGCCCCACGAGCTCGGGGGACAGTGGGGAGATGGAACGCCGTCATCCCGCTGTCCCCCGACCTGGTTTGGAGGCTGGCGGTGGGGAGAAGCGTGCTTGTCCCTGCCGCCAGCCCCGCAACCTCGGGGGACAGCGGAGAGGCGCAGCACGCCATCCCGCTGTCTCCCAACGTGGTTTGGAGGCTGGCGGAGGGCTTCCCCCTCCCCCAGCCCCGCAAGCTCCCAGAGCGGGCTTCGCGCAGCTCTCCGCAAGCTGTGGGAGCCCAGCGTGACTTCGCGCTGGGCTCCCACGGCTTGCGGAGAGCTTCCTGTTCTGGGGGCTGGGGTTGGGGGAAGCTCGGGCTTCCCGCGCCCCAGCCCCGCACCTGGGGGGGGGGGAAATAAAAAAAATTCATTTATTTCCCCCCCAAAAATCTAGGTGCGTCCTATGGGCCGGTGCGTCCCATAGGGCGAAAAATACGGTACTCTGTAAACATGTAACTTATCTACAGGGCAAGTCAGAATGTTAGCAGCTTGCTCAAAGTCATTTAGTGAAGTTCACAGGGTTCACTAACTAGATATATAATCAGATCCTACTGTATAAACACTAAACAATGCATATAACCCCACAAAACTGCCTGTATTTTTAAAAGCAAATGGTTTGTCAGAATATGCCAATTCAACAATGGGAGGCCAAGGGAGAAGAAGATTTCACTATAGCATGTGTCTAGGGTTCCACGGACTTCAAATGTTAATGTTTCCTGTGGTCTGGAGTTCAGATTCTTAGCAAGAAACATTGTAATACACAAAACTATGGGTTAAAAGAAGAGAAACTTACTTCTCGACACCCGCACCAGTTCCGATACATTGAAGACTCCAGATTTTACAAAACTATCCTCAAGATACACTGGAAGGGAAAACATGAAAAGACAATTAGTTACATTGGGATGAAAAAGACATTCATAAATTCAAATCCCCACTCAAATGCTACAAAACTAAATTGTCAGAATGCACCAATTATTACGAGACTTTCTACATTGGTAGATTATTGCAAATAAATAGCATATAATTGCTTTCTTGATCAGTTTTCTATTTGTTTTGGAAAACTGTTCCCCCCCCCCATGGAACTGGGCAACACCAAACTTGCACACAAGCAAATGTTTCAAGTATGTTTCACGGTGGCTAAAATGGCAAACCTTTTACTCAAATAGATTTTTAAAAATTGTTCTTATTTTGTTATTATGTGGCGTATTTTTGTGTCTTGATGCTGTAAACTGCCCTGTGTTTCTCAGATGATGGGTAGTATATAATATAAAATAAAATAAAATAAAATAAAAATAAAAATAAACTTCAGGAAGAACTTTCTGACGGTACGAGCTGTTTGACTGTCGAATGGTCTGTTGTGGGCTCTCCTTCCTTGGAGGTTTTTAAGCAGAGGTCGGATAGCCATCTGCCATGCATGCTTTAGCTGAGATTCCTGCATTGCAGGGGGCCGAACGAGATGCCCCTTAAAATGTGTGTGCATGTTTTACCCAGCTGAGTGGCAATGGAGAGGTACCACCTGTTGTGTGTCGAGACCCCATAGCCACCCCCTCGTTGATGCATAAGACACAAGGACACAGATATTAGGTTAATGGTTATTGGGCAAATTGAGGCCACAACTTTATTGGTTACAGATTATGAGCGGTATTGGCTTAGGCATTGGAATTGACCTGACTATATCTGACTCCTGTCCATCACACAGGGAGTCCTATAAGGGTCCACCACCAGTAGGGGGAGCCCCGTCAATGCAAACCAACTCAAGCTCCCCCTGGGTTCCCGACGGGGTCGTGGCATGGCCCTAGCCCTGCCCTGGGCTTCGAACATGATCAACACCCCCGGATCCCTTTAACACAGCCTTTCTCAACCTGTGGATCCCCAGATGTTGTTGACCTACATCTCCCAACACCCCTAGCTAGCAAGGCCAGAGCTCAGGGATGATGGGAGTTGTAGTCCAACAACATCCAGGGACCCACAGGTTGAGAACCGCTGCTTTAACGGAACACCCTTAAGCTTGGAGGGGCAGGCGATGGCCACACCTCCCCTCCCCCATCATAAGATCAACCAATTCCTAACTGCCAAACCTTACAAAGTTGTGATGATTGGTCTGAGGTAGGCAAAAACCAAATGGTCCATGCCAATTTGCCAAGTGGAAAAATTCCCAGCAGACCCCTCAACGGTGACCAACTGAGGTCCATAGCAAGGCCAATATCGAAACCTGAAAATAGGGTGGGCAGGCGGGAGATTGAGGAAGCGAGCCAGAAGGAAGCTCTCTGGCTCACACCACCATTTAAATGGGGCCCGGCCACGCCCCCCCAGCCAGTGGATTGGCTGGTTGGAACAATGATGTGGGCGGGGACCTCTGGGAGACGTGTGACTCTGCCCCCCGCCCCTCGACGGGAATGGATGGCCATGTGGTTCACCGCAACTCCTCCCCACAGGGAAGTGGAGTGAATATCTATTTCCCCTTATTGGCAGCAGAGCACCCAGCCAGGTGAGATTTGAGATTTAGCAGCCCACCAAAAAGCACTGCAATACAGCAAGAAATGGTCATGCAGGATACAAGGTCCTATAATCTCCAGGCCCTCCTGCTGATGCACAAAACAGAGGTGCAACTCGGCTTGTAAATACGTTCAAATGCATTGCAAATAAAATTGATGAGGCATGTGGCCATTGCAGGATAGGGAAAGCGATTTGAGGGGAGGAGTGTTTAAAGAGCGGACAAGCGCTGCTATTTTTCTTTTCCATTTTCCTTCTTATCTCCTGTACCTGCTGATTCCCCCCCCCCCCCGGAACGGCCAGTTTTTTATTTTTTTTAATACAGCGATTTTGCAGTGAAGAAGTTTCGCATGGAACAGCTGTTTAAAACATTTAAGAAACTGCGCCACGGAGTTGCCTTTGGCAACAAGCAGTGAAAATAAACACACTGCATGCTTTCCTTTGGGCTGAGGAAACAAAATGGCTAGGTTGTGCTCAAGAAAGCAGAAGTAAGGTGATAGACAGCACTCGAGGAAACGTCACCACAAACATAAAGCCCTGCCCAAACAATGCACCTTAGTGTGTTCAGAGTTGTGTAATGTGCAATTTGAAATTAGATTCTCTTCCTTTATAGGGTTATCTGTGGGTTGGAAAAATCCCAGTCAACTGGCAGAAAAAGGGGAAGCTACCCCTTGAATGAGGACATCATATGTACACCATCAGAGAGAGAGAGAGAGCTTTTAATCCACTTTAAACTCACATGTGGAACCCTAAACTAGAAAAAATAGCTGAGCTTAGAGAACAGGAGTATTAAACGTTGTTTAGCATCCATTTTCCGTGCTTCAGCAGCCCCCACCAGAAAACAAAATTGCATCTGTTGGGCAGTGGATTTAGTAGATAAGGGCAAGATGTTGCTGGAAGATACTTGCCTACATGTTTAGCTGCTGGAAGATACTTGCCTACATGCAATCTGGAGTAAGGTTACCAGATTTTTTTGCAATGAATCCGGGGACACTTTTCAACTTCAATGGATTTTGTATGGGGACTAATTTGTACATCCGGGAACTGTCCCCGGGAAACGGGGATATCTGGAGAACCAAGTTAGAAGAAGAGGGGATACTCTGCCCATCATTAAATAAATACAATTAACTTCATCTTAGCAATGAAAAGGAAATTGAAAACCTTTCTTCTTTTTGAGCAGCGTAAAAAAAAAGTTTCCCCCTTTTACATAGCTTTTGTATATTCCTTGACCTGGAAAAAGGAAGCAGCCTAAGCACCCCCTTTTTCATTACACAGACAAAGCGATACTGAGAGTAAAACCAGCTCTGAAAACGCAGCAGACCAACAGTTTCTATTTAAAATATTAAATGAGTGTTTAAAAGCTTAAATGAGAGTAACCACATAGCTGGCGCTGTGCTGCATTACGCATCATCCCCAAGCACTCTGCTCTGCAAGTTGCATTCCAAAGGTGCCTTTGAGTACAGGAAGGTAAACACAATATGTTCTAGCACCAAGAGGATTTGGTGAGGATATCTAGTTAGCAAATCCACTGTGGCTGGGTACTTGACTTCCAGCTGTGTGATAGAAAAATCATTTTATATTTGCAATCTGCTGTGATGGAAAATCACTCTATATTTGTAATCTGCTGTGATTTGGTTGCAGAGGCGTCAAAAGGTAAGCAGCAGAAAGTTCTTACCAAACTTTGAAGGGGGGGGGAGCTATTGTTGTTATGTATGCGTGCACAATGGCTAGATGCTAACCTCTGTTGAAAAGAACATTTCATTTTTCTATCATATCATCACAGTTTGTTCAAGGGAAAAGAAAGAATTTCCCTCCCACATTGCATGGTGCTTTAACTTCAAAAAGGCTGTGCTATGCGTGCCTACTCAGAAATAAACTGAGTTCAAAAGGCTCTATCACAGGACTGCAACCTAAGCAATTCCTGCATTAACTCATAATATACATTTAAATAGAACTTCTTGGCATATATTTCTCATTTACTCCCTGTCTGGTGGCCAGATTTCACAGCACTTAAAGCTAATATAAGGATCTAGTAGCATCACTGACTAAAGACCCATTTTGCCCAAGAGATAATGTCATGTGGAATAGTATAATTCACTAATTATTATTGCTGCTAACTTTTAAATCTGGTGGAGCAAAAATCTTCCTGCAAAAATCTGAACAATGCCATTTGTTATCATCAAAGGAGATGCCTCCGTATTTAAAGACCAAAGAGCTGGAGAGGTTAATTGCTTTCTTCTTTTTTAAGGAGATGTGAAAACCCCTACTTTAATACTACAATTATGAGGCTGGTGTCATTGTGAATACCGGGCAAAGACCCAAGTACTGTGTGCACCCATCTCTTAAAAGACAAGTTTGGAGCAAGTTGTCATAACACAGCATGTAAAAAAAAGAAGTACCTGAAGGCTATGTGGACTTTCAAAATGCAAGCTAGTGCTTAAAAATGGATTTTCCTCCATTCAAACACACCAAATTACTAGCTGTAAATCTTGAATGTTCATGAGATAAAATATTTCATCCTACCAAGAACTACCCCTTTCAGACCATTTAAATCACAACGGCAACTTGTGTTAAAGGGCTTTGTTCTACAGATACCATATTTTTTGCTCTATAAGACTCACTTTTTCCCTCCTAAAAAGTAAGGGGAAATGTGTGTGCGTCTTAAGGAGTGAATGCAGGCTGCAGAAGCCAGAAGCCAGAACAGCAAGAGGGATTGCTGCTTTCACTGTGCAGCAATCCCTCTTGCTGTTCTGGCTTCCGAGAATCAGAATATTTTTTTTCTTGTTTTCCTCCTCCAAAAACTAGCTGCGTCTTGTGGGCTGGTGTGTCTGCGTCTTGTGGGCTGGTGCATCTTATAGAGCGAAAAATGTGGTACTTAAAATGCCTGGTCTGGTATTTACAAATCTTCATTCAGTGTATTAAGGATCTTTCAGTTTAATTATAATTTTATGAATAAAGCTATACTGGTTTTTTTTTTATTATTTCAAAGACTAGAATTGCCTTCTGGGCTCATTGAACATTATTTACAGCACATCAGACTATGTCTTGATACTGGACAGATCACGAAGAAAGAAGTAATCAAATTGTGCTCAGAGACCACCTAATACGAGTTCAAGACCTGGGCATCCAACTAGTAAAAAGAAAAAAAAGAAAAAAAATCTGGCCAATTGACCAGTCAAATGTAATCAAGGAAAGTTCAATCATTTTTAACTTGATCAGAAGAAAACGATGCTTTAATTATCACAGGTTTGGCACATGCTGATTATGAAGGGATTCACACATTTTGATTGGGCTTTGTAGCCACCACAAAAAAGGCTACATTTATCAGGTCCCTTTTCCTCCCTCAACTAGCAGGGACTTGTTCCCAACATTGTGTTATGCCTCCAAAACTAAGCACAAGGTAATAATCCCCTGCTCCCTTTCCAACTGCAAGCTTTGGAGCTAGACGGACTGCTGGAAAATTGATGGAAGATCAAAGGTGTCCTGAGGAACCTCTGGAGCAATTCCTCATCTGGGAACATATGTCATGCTGTATTTCCGAGGTGTTCAGAGCCTGGCAGAAATACAATTGTCCAAGGCTGGGACTTGTAATCCTCTCAACAACAAGGTGAGACAGCACAGCAGGCGCTGAGAATGGACTTGGGAACTATAGAACAGATCTTTTTTAAATGGCAAATAATTGGTATAGTAGGGTGCAAGGTTTCTATAAATGTGAATTATTCAGTCACTACTGAATGGCTCTTCTCTTTGGCTTTTATTATAGAACAGTAGGGTCAGCCAACAGTTTTACTTACACACACACACACACACACAAATGAACTCAACTTAGAGATAAAGCCAAGAAACAGCTATTATTAAAAACAAAAATTATAAAGGCGGATGTGCAATGGGCAAATAGCGAATATCCCTAACATCAACTATCAGCATCCTTTGAACAATCCTTTCTATCAAGTTTAAACAAGGACATGCAGCAAGTACTCTTAGAAAATACTACACCATTAGGAGCTCCTTGCATCGTGAGATTTATCAGCACCATAGCAGATGTAACTTAAACATGATGTACATAACGTACTCCCTGTGAGATTGTATCACTTCAGAATCCAGGTGGGAATCACATCTCTGAAGCTTCATATCTCTGGAATCGCACCAAAGCTTGCGGCAAAAGGAATATTCAAACGTCATATAGAAGTGTTTTTCTTTTAGCCTTGTGTTAGCTTGCCATATGTACAGGTTTTGAATGTGGGTGGGAATCGGAGAGCACTTAAAATTGTGTTTCTGCTTATCTGAATTAATTCCGAGGAAGTTTTGTTTGAGGTGGCCTTAATAGCCAAGGTGAAGTATCGTTAGTCATTATACTGTCTATACATTGTAAATATATTTCACAAAGAATAAATGGTATTGGGGGAAGGAGGTGACAGTTGGCAACTGGTTGGTTATTCTGTTTGTTAACTCTCTGAGACCATGGGAGTGTAGAAACTTCAAGCAAATGCTGGCTGGAGGAGTTGCCAACCTGACAAGTAAGGATTTACCTTCAAGTCTTGTGTAAGGTGTCTATTTTATCACAAATAGCTAACAAGCACACCAATGCTTATTTTTCTTTGCTCTGTTTATTTTAGAAAAGAGAGAACTTCCAGCAACCTTGCATCTCAAAGGCAGGGACAGTGAAACCTCTTCCATTTGCCAATTAGTAAGGCCAACTGTGTTGCAGACAACATCTGCTGGCTACTTCAGATTTTATTATTAATGCTTTTGTGAAAAATAAAGCCAGAAATGTAAACATGGAAGAATAAAGACATTTCACTTTGGTTTTAGTAACTTCCTGCATGTCTCTTGCACATGGCACACTGCAAATGCAAACAAAAAAATCATTATATTTTAAGCGAAGGGAAGAACACTGTGATCTCTGCCAACATCCCTTCCCATTCAGAAAGAACACTACCCTGCTTTATATTCTGAAGAAATCTCAAAGTGGTTTACAACACATTAAATCATCAGTGTGGTGTAGTGTTTAGACTAGGACTTGGGAGGAGGAGGAGGAGGAGTAGGAGTTTGGATTTGATATCCCGCCTTTCACTCCCCTTCAGGAGTCTCAAAGCGGCTAACATTCTCCTTTCCCTTCCTCCCCCACAACAAACACTCTGTGAGATGAGTGGGGCTGAGAGACTTCAAAGAAGTGTGACTGGCCCAAGGTCACCCAGCAGCTGCATGTGGATCAGGGTTCAAATCCCCACTCAGTCCTGAAGCTCACTGGGTGACCCTGGGCCAGTCACAACCTCTTAACCTACCTCACAGAGTCGTTGTAGGGATTGACTGGGGGGGGGGATGAACTATGTACTCCTTGGAGGAAAAGGTGGGGCACAAATAAGCACTTCTACTTACCTGTTTTGGAAAGCTGGAGGGAGCTAGCCAGATGGAGATGTCTTTAACCAACCTGGCATCCAGAGATCTCCACCTGGCTGCAATTGGACCTGTGCCAGTCTAAAAATGTGCCTGGCACCTGGGGAATTCCTAACACTGATAAACAGATCTGGGAGGGTCGAGAAGGAAGTTAGTACAAGAATCTGGGGCAGATTTAATGGTTTGGGATACTTGAGCTGGTGGCAGTGTTAACTAGGAAAGCTTTTTGGATGTCTATGTGTTTTGATGAGAACTTGTTGAAGGTGCTAGGCAAGGAAATGGGCAAAAACCTCTGCTTGACCACTGGGCCTGTAATACTGTATGTGGATGCTGCAGCTGTACCACCGCAAAGTTGTGATGTTGCACAACTCGAGTGCTCCTTATACCCCCTTGCTATAGCCTCCCCGACTTGCACAGGCAATGAAATGATGTCATGTGATTCCTGCTGTGCTACAATAAGTTGGTGAAACTGGGTTCCCCAACTAATACATGTGTTATGTATAATCAATTCGCATGTAGGATCTTGTAAAATGTAGCACCTGCCTATCAACGGTAACTGAATAACAACAAATTCCTCATATGTTGCAATCATTCCAGGAAGGAACAGCTCAGTTTATAATTGAATATGGAACAGTGCCATCAGAGTTCTTGCCCTGCAGCCATACACACACACAAATATATCAAATGGAGATTTACCAACTGCAGCCAATATGTTTAAAAACAGGTCAATAGAAACTGGGAGCTTCTTGGTCCAAAAGGCATGCAACTTCCAATCAACGGGTTTCTCTGCCTACTGAAAGTGTTGGTCCATCTGTTAGTCAGGTGTCATGGCCAACAGCACCAAAGTCCATTTAATTAATTTATGAAAGCTTTAGGGATACCAATGGTTTGTGTGTGATGGCTGATATGGATTTCCACCTTCTTCATGGTGCTACAAAGATTATGAGATCGGCGAATGACATGTGTGACATTTCGTTTTCATGAAACATTGGTTCGTCTTTCTACTACTGGCTGAACCTTAAGAGTGAGCCAAGTAGCCCATTAAAATTTGTGGGACTGTTAAGATTTCAAGCTTCTCCCTACAACGAGAAAATCTGCTTTTAGACACTAAACACGGGCACAAAGAAGAACCTGAAACCACAGAAAATGGTATGCTGAGTGTTGCAAGAAAAAAAGTATTGTGTAGGATGGGAATAGCTTATGCAGGAACAGATTCTTTGCCTAGTACTACAGGAGTTGTGTAGATTTTGTGCTACTGAAGTTAGTAATTTTTTGAAGTTCATTAACAAACTATTGCAGGATCTCTAAACTTGTGTTCAATTTCCCCACACGAGAAACATCAGTTACTTCTTAGAAATGCAAAAAACAACAACCATTGAATAAGCAAGTAGTGATGTAGAAAAAACACATTTGAACACGCCACTGGAATTTTACAGATCGATCTGCCCAAGCAAACAGAGGAATTAACCACAGTTCATTTGTAATCTTGTAATTGTAACTTTTTTAAAAAAAATCTCCATATAAAATAGCCAGAATAACTGAAACACCAAGAATCACGAAAGGAAATTGTAAAAGTTTATTGTGGGGGGGGGGGGAGGGGACAACAAGGGTTGCTTGTAAAATAACAAAATGCCAGTGCCTTAACTGACACCATAATCCAACAGCACTATAAGTATGAGACACTTCTCTTAATTCAAGACTAACAGACTTGGAAGGAGCACCACTGCTCCAAGAATCCATACCAGAGGGAGCATGCAAGGGCAACACTGCAAGAAAATCTATACAAATAGATTCTGGTCCATTTGTTATTTACAAAAACAGTGTGCCCAAGTGTTTTCAGTATTATATCATTCAACACACTGAAGCTGCTTAAGCAGAAGAGAGGCAAGGGACTCTTAGGCCATAACTTTTCTACCTTTCTTGCCATACAGGTTAGTTCCCTGTCCACAAGAGGGTAAGTTATAGTGCAGTAAAATAATATAGCCATCCATGCTCAAAACACATGCAACTCAATGAAAAACTACTAATTATATTTTCAGAAGAGCTATAAAGATAAAGACCACCTATTACGACTAAAAGATTAATTCTGGAGCCATGTTAATGCTCGTCCTGCCCTAAACAGCTAACAGAAAACCATTGCACAGCATGTATAGCCAGGCCCAAGGGTACGTAGCTCTTCCAAGGCTGCTGACCACATCTATCAGGGTATTCTGATAGATCCCTGGGATCCCCAGCCAGAAGAGGCATTCTACTTCCTAGGCAAACACAAGCTATTTCGAGGAAGTGAATGTTTTTTCCTCCCCTCTGCTTAGTTTCAGCAAATGATTTAACATGCTGGACACCATGGGATGAATTTATTGGGGTCCATCTTGTAGCCACAATTAAGAGTTTGAGAGTGGGCCAGACCCTCCAAGCATCCACAAGGGCCAACATCGATGTTGAAATCCAGCGTTGCCTGAGCTCTGCGAGTGCAGCTTTCTCCTGTTTGAAGTGCAGAGTGTTTGAGGACCAGGAAATTCACGAGGAAAGCTAAATGCTTGTTTAAAAAGCTGTTGTACTACCAACCCTTACTGTATGCTTGTGAAACACGGACTACTTATAAACACCATCACCAACTCCTCAAAAGATTCTATCAATGGTACCTCCAAAAAAATTCACATATCACTTGGGGAAGACAGGCAAACTAATGTCAGTCTACTGGAAGAAGGAAAGATCACCAGTGTCAAAGCAATGATTCTTCAACATAAACTTTGTTAGACTGGTCATGTGGTTCAGATACCTCATTATCGTCTTCCAAAGCAACTACTCTATTCCAAACTTAATGGAAAGCACAATGCTGGTGGACAACAAAAGAGGTTTAAAGATGCTCTCAGGGCAAATCATAAAAAATGCAGTATAAGAACAGATAATTGGGAAACAGTGGCCTGAGAGAGCTTTAACTGGAGAATAAAGGTAAAGGGACCCCTGGCGGTTAAGGCCAATCGCAGACAACTCTGGGGTTGCGGCGCTCATCTCACTTTACTGGCCAAGGGAGCAGGCATTTGTCAGCAGACAGCTTCTGGGTCATGTGGCCAGCTTCTGGCGAACCAGAGCAGCGCATGGAAATGCCGTTTACCTTCCCGCCGAAGTGGTACCTATTTATCTATTTGCACTTTGACATGCTTTCGAACTGCTAGGTTGGCAGGAGCAGGGACCGAGCAACGGGAGCTCACCCCATCGCAGGGATTTGAACCACCGACCTTCTGATCGGCAAGCCGAAGGCTCAGTGGTTTAGACCACAGCACCACCCGCCTCCACCAAAATCATCACGAAGAAGCACAAATTCAGAATGAAAGGAAGAAATGAGTTAAGAGGAAGAGATGTTAGGCAAATCCACATCGTGATCAACTCCTGCCTGGAAACCTATGTCCCCACTGTGGAAGGACGTACGGATCCAGAATTGGCTTCCATGGTCACTTATGGACTCACTGTTAAAACTGTGTTCATGGAAGACATGAAGAGTGATCCCCAAAGAAGAAGCACATTATCTAACACTAAGGATTATCAGGTTTCCCTGTTTAACCAGAATTAACTAGCACTTGAAGCTGGTTAGCAAACTTCCATTTTTTTAAGAAACACTTCCAAAATGTGCTTGAAATCTAATTCAGCTTCAGCTTTCTGTAAGTCTTAAAGAAAAACAGGGGAATAGCTTTCTACTACATTTCCAGAACCTGGTGTTACATTCTCACTTTGTTACATGACCTACACTACTCTAGAACACTAATATCATCCAATATGTTAAGTCAGCCAGAGAATAGCTTTAAACGGAATAGATAAAAGCAAGGCATTTTCATAGGTTTCATAGGACCAGTCTGGATAGTTGGCCTTGGTGAAGATTTGATATTTTCTCCCCCCCAAACAGTTTTTGATCTGGGCTTCCACTGAAATGAGGCTGCATTTTAAGTTGTATTTTAATTCTGTTTTTAAGTTGTATTTTAATCAATTGTTTTTATACCTGGTGTTAGCCACCCCGAGCCCGGTCATGGCCAGGGAGGGCGGAGTATAAATAAAGTTTATTAATTTATTTATTATTATTAAATGCAGCCCTGTTTAGGGAAGCTTTTAATGTTTAATAGGTTATTGTATTTTAGTGTTTTGTTGGAAGCCACCCAGAGTGGCTGGGGGGACCCAGCCATATGGGTGGGAGTCAGGGGACTGCCATCGGAGCTAGAGGCAGAGGGAAGGCTCCAGAGGGATGCAGGAGAGGGTCCCAGTAGGGAGAGAGGCAGCCCGTCCGCTGGGGAAGGAAATCAGCATAACACCAGTACAGAAGGGGGGCAGATGGGGGAATTGGAGAGGAGGCTCCAAGACTCCTCGCCGGAGACCAGCGGAGAGAGTACGGGTCCTCCACTGCCCACACCCTCCCTGCGCAGAAGGCTTCCGCGCAGGGAGACTAGGCGGAGACTAGGCGTCAAAGAACTTTTGTGCTGGAAGAAGTTTAAGAAACGCCCACTGACGGATTCTGCCAGCGACTGAGACAGTCACGATGCTAGAGGCTGTTCAGTCAGAAAGGGTTTAACCAGGTAACCTAGCCAGGAGTGGCGGCAACTTACGCACGAGCAACCCCTAAATCCATTACAGTGGGGTATAAATAATATATTATTATTATTATTATTATTATTATTATTATTATTATTATTTTCCCAGCGTGGAAACATGGTTGCTCAGAACCTAGAAATTACAAGAAAGAAAGAAAGAAAGAAAGAAAGAAAGAAAGAAAGAAAGAGGCGAGTGGGGGGGGTAGAGAGAGAGCGAGCAGGAGTGCTTCTAAAGAGAAGGATTTTGCAGCAAGTATTGTTCCTAAGCAGCACTGATTGTTCCTAACCCCACCCCACCCCCGCCCATGCTATATGGCACCTCTATACTTGATGGGAAATTGGCCTTCTGCTTGTCCTTGGTGCTGATTTCCAGGATAAAGAAAAGTAGTTTAGAGTTCTTTTGTTCTTTTTTTCTTTATTGACTGCAAGCCAAGAAAGATTATTCTCATGGTGTTTTTGAAAAGCTACAGAACCTCAGTATTTATTTATTTTTTTAAAGAAAAAGATAACAACCACATGTTCAGCATTTACATAGCACCTCAAAATCGACATTTTCAGACATTACTGAGCATCAGTCACCAAGGTCCAGACTTAAAACGTCTTAGTGCAGTGGTTTTCAACCAGGGTGCCTTGAATGATGGTCAGGGGTGTCGCAGGGAACACTGGCCTCCATCCCTCTTTCCTCTGATGCCCTCTCATGTCTCTGCCTCCCAAAGGCTTGCAGAGCTGTTTGTTGCAGCAGCCCTGGCCACAAGCTCTTTGGGGCAGGGGTTGGGGGGAGGTTAGAGACCAGGGGCAGAAGCTGTGGCTACCCTGAGCACGCCTAAGGAGAGGGGAGAAGATAGGAGGCTGAGGGAACACCCCACAAGGGAGGGTGTTTGAGAAAGCGTGAGAAGCCGCCAGCTCTGCAATCAAGGGGGGGACATAACTGTTGGGATACTGCCAGGGAGACAAAGTCCATCATGGACCCCAAGCTGGCTGCCGGACGATCCATCGATCTCCCGTAGATACAGTATCAGCAATTAGCGAAACAAGTTTCCAGTAATAGCTTGCCACATTCCAGAGCTCATGCACACTCTATCAGCAGATAATTCACAGCGTAAGATGCACGCAGGAGAGCATTATTTACAAGTTTATTCAGCGTTGGTCAGAACAAAGAAAAACATGACTGCCTGCATCAGTGTCTCCAGACACAGAAAGAAAACGAAAGCAATAGGAAACATAAACATCCTGTGAACAGGAAATGCGCAGACTCTGACTCACAAAGCCTGCTCCCTTTTAAGGTGGAACGGAAATATCCTAACAATAACTGGGCTCCTGAGCCTCACAAGGGTGCCGCAGAAAGAATGTAGTTGGTTGGGGGGGCATGGATCCCAAAGGTTGGAAACCTCTGTCTTAGATGTATTGCATTTAGGGCTTGGCGATATATGGATATGCCATCCAAAACCGGTTTGAAGTCCATATTGTGATACCGGTTTAATAATTTTGGACCTGGTGCTATATATAAAGGAGAGATTAGATCCTAAACTGATTTCCAAATATGATGAGGGGAGAGTGATTGTGGTGCAAATTTCATTACAGGGTGAGAAGATAATTCTTGTGGGAATATATGCCCCTAATGGAAATAAAGCTGAATTTTTTGGAAAATTAGAGGAAAGATTGGTGGAATTTATAGATCAGAAAATAATTCTGATGGGGGACTGTAATGGGGTGGTCAGGCCAGAAATGGATAGATTGTCAAAAAGAAAAAATATAAATGAGGGTAAACTCCCCCCAAAATTTTTTGAATTGGTTGAAAACTTTGGCTTAATAGATACCTGGAGGTGGAAACACCCAATTACAAAACAGTTCACCTTTTTCTCGGAACCTCACCAAAGCTCGAGTCGGATAGACTATGTTTGGGTCTCTAAAGAACTGGTTTCCAGAGTAAATAAAATTGAGATCACTCCACGAACTCTATCGGACCACAATTCGATTTATCTGGAACTAAAATGAATGACACTTTATTTGAGAACCCAAAAATAGTAGCGAAAGCGAAAGAGACAATTAAGGATTATTTTGAATGGAATTTACATAAAGAAACCAGTCTGGACACTGTATGGGACGCGAGTAAGGCTGTCATGAGAGGCTTCCTAATCCAGCAAAATAGCCATAAAAATAAAGAAAGAAAAAGAAAAAAAGAAGAAATTCTGGTTCAACTCATGGAAAATGAGAAAAAATTGATAATAAAACCTAAAGATGAACAAATTAAACAGACTATCAAAATGCTACAAACTCAGTATTCCATGTTGGTGAATCAAGAAATGGAATGGAAAGTAAAGTTAATGAGACAAAAAATCTTTGAATCGGCAAATAAAACTGGGAAGCTTCTGGCATGGCAGCTGAGAAAACGTCAAAGTCAAAATTTAATTAATAAAATCAGGATAGGGGAACAGCTGACGGAAGATCCAAAAGAAATAAGAAGAGCCTTTCAAGGATTCTATAAGGAACTTTACAGGAAAGAAAAAGAAGATATAAAAAAGATGGAAAGATATCTGGAAATTTACAAAGGAAAACAGATATCATTGGAGGAAAGAGAACAATTAAACGCCCCAAAAACCAATTAAGAAATCCAAAAGTCAATAAAGAAGATGAAACAAGGTAAAGCCCCAGGTCCGGATGGGTTAACCTCTAAGTATTATAAATCACTTGGTGAGCAGCTAGTACCGGTTCTAGGGGAAGTAATGAATGCTATTTTACAAGGAAAAGGGAAAATACCAAACTCCTGGAAGGAGACTTACATAACGTTGATCCCCAAACAAGATACGGACCATCAGAGTGTTAAAAATTTCAGACAGATATCATTGTTAAACAATGACTATAAACTTTTTGCGGACATCTTGGCCAACAGATTGAAGACAATATTAAATGATTTAATTCATAAAGACCAGGGAGGTTTCTTGCCAGGTAGGCAATTGAAGAATAATGTGAGACATATTATTAATATATTGGAATACCTGGAAGTAAGAAATGATAAGCCAGCCATACTGATGTTCATTGATGCTGAAAAAGCATTTGATAATGTATCCTGGTCATTTATGAAGAAGAGTATAGAAAAGATGGGGATCTGTGGCATCTTTTTAAGAGGAATTGAGGGAATTTACTCAGAGCAGAAAGCAAAATTAATTGTGAACAACACCTTAACAGACTCATTTGACATTACAAAGGGTACCAGACAAGGCTGCCCACTATCTCCGCTGCTTTTTATCAGTGAATTAGAAGTACTAATAAATTGCCTGAGAGGAAGAACAGAGATAAAAGGGGTCAAAATAGGCACCAAAGAATTCAAACTTAAGGCCTACGCAGATGACTTGGTATTAACCTTAGAAGAACCTCAAGAAAGTGTAAAAACAGCATTGGAAGAAATGGGAAAATTTGGGCAACTGGCAGGATTTAAATTGAATAAGACAAAGATGAAAATGTTAGGCAAAAATTTAGAAAAATGTGAAGCAGAAAGGTTAGAACAAGAAACTGAAATCAAGGTGGTAAAAAAAGTTAAATATTTGGGAATTTGGATGTCGGCAAAGAACATAAACTTATTCAGTGACAATTACCAACCAGTCTGGAAGGAGATTAAAAGAGATTTAGAAATATGGGACAGACTAAAGCTGTCAATGACTGGAAGAATGTCAGCGATCAAAATGAACTTATTACTGAAAATGGTATTTTTGTTCCAGACAATCCCGATAATAAGAGGTTTAAGACAATTTAAAGAGTGGCGAAAGACTCTCTCGCGTTTTATATGGCAAGGGAGAAGACCAAGGATCAAATTTAAAATACTGACAGATAAGAAAGAAAGAGGGGGGTTCGCTGTACCTGATCTGAAACTCTATTATGAAGCAGCGTGTTTATGTTGGATAAAGGAGTGGAGAACCCAGGAGAACCCAGATTTGTTAGATTTGGAGGGGCACAACAATAGATTTGGATGGCACTCCTATCTTTGGTATGGTAAGGCAAAAGTGCATAAAGGGTTTACAAATCATGTGATAAGGGGTGCTCTATTTGAAGTCTGGAACAGAAACAAGAATTTGTTGGAAAGGAAAACACCGTGGTGGGTGTCACCAATTGATATGTTAACAGTTAAAAAACTGAACATAGAAGGGAGAGGGGCCACCTATGAGGAGATTCTGATGAAGGCCGAAAAAGGTTGGAAATTGAAGCCTTATGATTGTATTGCTGGAAAATTGACAGGAAGGTTGCAATACCATCAAGTCAATGATGTTTTTAAAGAGGACAAAAGATTAGGATTTGAAGACAAAAAAATCGAAATTTCAAATAGACATTATAGAAAGTAAGTCTAAACTACTTTCAAAAATGTATAATCTCCTATTAGAATGGAATACAAAAGACGAACTTATAAAAGAGGCTATGATAAAATGGGCTATTGATCTAGGACACAACATAGACTATGATGTATGGGCCAAACTCTGGAATGAGAGTATAAAATTCACCGCTTGTTCTGCCTTAAAAGAGAATGTTATGAAGATGGTCTATCATTGGTATCTTACTCCCACCAAATTGGCAAAAATGTACAGAACTAGTAGTAAAACTTGCTGGAAATGCAAGGAAAAGGATGGCGACTTCTTTCATATGTGGTGGTCATGTAATAAATTAAAAGAGTTCTGGGAATCGATTTATAACGAGTTAAAAAAGATATTTAAGTATAGCTTTCCGAAAAAGCCGGAAGAATTCTTGCTAGGTTTGGTGGGAGAAGATATTAAGAAGACTGATCAAAGATTATATTTGTACGCAACAACAGCAGCTAGAGTTCTGATAGCTCAAAAGTGGAAGCAACAGGAGATGCCGACAATAGGAGAATGGCAGATAAAGCTGGTTGAATACGCTGAGATGGCTAAATTGACACACAGAATTCGCAATCAGGAGGAGACAAAGTACCAAAAAGAATGGTGTAAATTTTTGATCTATGTAAGTGAGAACTGTACAAATTTGAAAACTTTGGCAGGATTGAAGTAAATCTTATGTCATGTTGTAATATCTAATCAAAGAAACTGTGAACTATAGAATAGAATAGGAAAACTGATGGAAGGGAAGGACGGAAGTCAACAGCTCTACGGAGCATAAAGTAGGATATATGTAATAAGATTTGATGTTTTACTGGTGTTGGTGGGTGTTGGTGGGTGATCTTAAATCTCAATAAAAATTATTTATATCAAAAAAATAACTAATTTTTGACCTGGCAATATTTATTTTATTTATTTATTGAATTCATATACCAGCCAATACCCAGAGGTCTCAGAGCGGTTTACAGAAAATATCACAATACGTATATAAAATCAAAATAAGAGCAATAGCTCAATAGCAAACCCCCCGCCAAAGGAATCACATTTTAAAAGGGTATAGGATGCCGATCCGGTCAACCAAAGGCCTGGTTAAAAAGGAACGTTTTTGCCTGGTGCCTAAAGGTGTATAATGAAAGCGCCAGGTGAACTTCCCTGGGGAGAGCATTCCACAGATGGGGAGCCACTGCAGAGAAGGCCCAATTCTCGTGTTGCCACCCTCTGGACCTCTCAAGGAGGAGGCACACGAAGGAGAAGAGCCTCCGAAGATTTGATATTGTGATTTGTGTGTGCTCTATGCAAAAATCACGATGCAGGAAAAACCACGAAGCTCCATCCTTATTTCAGACATTGTGATATATCAGTATATTGTTTAGCAGCTAATGTTTAGCTGGTAATATATCACAATGTTGAAAGCCAGATATCACCCAGCCCTAATCGCCTAATACTGAAGAAGTATTAGTACTAAAGACAAGGACCACATAGTAACAGACTCAGCCAGTTCCTATTGTGTGCAACTTCAACAAATGATTAAAAAGGAAGGGGGGGACTTGCAAATAAACTTTTGAGGAATAAACGTCATTCAATTCAATAACAACAGATGAAAAGCAGTGGGGAGTACTCTACCATAAAAGTATTACAATCACACCCACTGTCTGCTGTACTTTCTCAGTGCTATATTGGTATTACCAATACAAAACTGGGTAATTTCGGGAATACATTACAAGAGAATTTTAGCAGCTGTACCTAATGTTCTTTTGTTTGGCAAAGTCAGCTGCCCTCCCCTCCTTAGTTAAGAAGGCAAATTACCAGACATCCTAAAGAATGCAGAAGTCTAGCCAAACATAGAGAAACCAACTTTCAGTGCCAGCAGCCTTGCCAACAACTACACAGTTTCCAGGCTCTTTTCCCTCCCCTCCCCCTTGGCAAAGCCCTTGAGAAGGTGATGGCATCTAAAACTCAAGCAAAATTTTTCTGCCAACATACTGGCTCCTTCATAATCAGGATGCAGATCAAAGCATGGCACAGAAGTGGTCCTGCTGGGAGACGAGGTTGCCTGCCTACCATCAGAGATGGAGGGAGGTGGGGGAAATCCAAAACTTTCATCTAATAATCTCTGTGGCCTGTCAGACCAGTGGCCACATGGTGTTTAACATTCATGCATTCCTTGTTTGTATTTCCCTGTCTTAAGCAATAAATAATAAGGAACCCCATGCCCCCACAAGGAAATTATGGTCTGGTATGTACACCGTGTTGAGCCATGTTTTGTTTAGCTTAACCATGCTTTGTTCTACCTTGTGGGACCCAGCCCAATAGCTTAGCCATGCTTTGTTTATTTCCAGCTAACCATGATCATAAGCCACGGTTTGGTTTTGGCTTATGTAACTAGACTTGTTCTACAGATGGCTTGCCATTATGTGCAAACTCAGGGTGGTTTGTTAACTATCAGCTGTTTGCCTGCTCCACCTCAGATGCTCACCAAACTACAGACTCATGTTTTAAGTGTGGTACAAAAAAACAAATCTGATATCAATATGAAGTGGCTCTTGCTGGTGCTTTTCCTGAAGAACTGAATTCTAGCCCTGCTTGGCAACAGGCAGCTATCCCAATTCCATTCCTCCCTTATAACCTTCCCCTCACAAGACAGCCAGCCATTGCTGAAATTTGTTTAGAGAAATTTAAAGTGACTGCAGTTGAGCACTCTCTCATTTTTAAATGCCAGGAGGAATAGGAAAGCAGAATATTCGCGGCATCTCCTGATTGTTCTGTGGTGGTGGATAAGGAAGAAAATGCTTGGAATGACCACGTGAAGCAGCCCAAGATCAAACATGGACCGTGATGGGATGTAAATGCCAATGAAGAGACACTCTCAGACACCTCTGCCCTCAACACTTACCAAAGGCTGTTGCTACTCATTCAGGCAATAGCTGTTCCTCTTTTCTCACCAGGAGGACAACCAAGTCATGGTGGCAGCACTAGAACAATGTCAGCATCTTCTGCTGGACCAAGATGATCAGAGAGGCTCCTTTTAAGGTCAAATACCTGCCCTACGACTAGCTGGCTCTTGGGCCATTAGGATAGGAGCAGATCAAAAGGGGAGAGACCATCAGTACAGCTGATCTTACTCTCCAGTAGGGCTTCTGAAGAGCCTACAAGCTTTGAATGAATTGGCACCCTATTCTGGAGTGTATCCAATCTGGATAACTCTCTCAAGGCAAGGTGTTTTCTATCCTCCAAAGCACAACTCAAGATTTGTGCTTTCTCTTCCAGAACTTTGCAAATGCTCCTTGCAAAAATTCTAACGGCTAATTTCTCACTCATTTTTTAAATGGCAAACCTGAACAGCCTGGCAAAGTGGGAAAACAGGTTCCACCCTCAGCAGCAGCTGAGAACAATTTTTATCATTTTATGTCATTTTATGTAACTCATTACATTGTTATTCCACACCATTCCATTCAATGCAAAGGAAACACAATGTGGGCAATGTCCAGCTGAGGGTCTCCTCAAGACCCGGGCCCTGACTGGCCCATTTGAACCTGGCTTACTGGCAGGGAGGTAATGCCCTGGTGGTCATGATGGCTGAGGGGAATTCCCCATTGGCCGGTGACCACACGGGTCTGGCTACCGGTGGAGAGTGAGGGTCCGCAACAGATGCCCCCCGGGGAAGCGGTGAGCATCCATTATGAACATTTGCAGATGAAAACAACAGCAGTGAATACCAAAAATATGTGCTGGATTGGTTTTCATCCCAGAACATCTTTAGAAATGCATCAGCATACAAGTGAACAGATACAGCTTGTACATCTTTAAACTATAGTTCCTTCACCTCTTTGAGAGAATGTTGTTGCTTATTCTGATTAGAGAGTTCACAGCAACCAGACAGCTTTGGAAAACTGAGGCAACATGGAAAGAGTTGCTTTTTCTTAAATAGTGTATAAAAAGCACGATATCATGAACATGACCAGAAAAATTGCCAACCCAGTTCTCCCTCCATCATCTTTCCCAATCGCATGACCAAAACAGAAGCCCCTATTTCTTACTCACTATCTACCAACATCCAAAAACCATCAGTGTAACTCCAGCCCCCAATTGCTAACGCCACCATTTCTCCATACCAGGGGTCAGCAAACTTTTTCTGCAGTGGGCCAGACCTTGTGGGGGGCAGGACTATATTTTTTTTGGGGGGATGAACAAATTCCTATGCCCCACAAATAACCCAGAGATGCATTTTAAATAAAAGCACACATTCTACTCATGTAAAAACATGCTAACTCCCAGACCATCTGCGGGCCGGATTTAGAAGGCGATTGGGCCAGATCCGGCCCCCGGGCCTTAGTTTGCCTACCCATGCTCCATACCCAATCACTAAAATACTTATGTCCAAGCTCCCACCGCCATCTTTCTCACACACCCAATCTCTGAAAGCTCATCACACATTTCTTAATTACACCATCTTCCACCAACAACATTGGCACCAAACTCTCCCTCCTGCCTTGTCCCATTTAAAAATCTAACTGCAACGGTTACTGCTTTAAGCCCTTAAGATGGCCTTCAGAACAGCCCCAAAGTCTATCCAAGAGAGATTTTAAGCTCTCTGCCTTGCTTGCCACGCAAGGACCTCTCAGCATGCCAGCTCTGGAAGGCTAGGGATACACACACGAGATATTGCGGGAACTCAAGACAGCGCCATGAGATCTCATGAGAGCATCCCAAAACAAGCACACTAAGAAGACCTTGCCTCCAAATATAAAGAGGTCTTTTCAAGGTGGGTCCACTTCAGTTACCTGGCATGAAAAGAGTTGGAGGGTTAGGGATGGTCACACAGAAGTGGCTCCAAGGGACTCATGCGCCATCCCCAAAACGTAACCCCCACATAAGATGGGGCCATGCTGTACAGTGGTACCTTGGTAGTCAAATGCTTTAGTTGTTGAACAAATTGGCTCCTGAACGTTGCAAAACTGGAAGTGAGTGTTCCAGTTTGCAATCTTTTTTTTGAAGCCGAATGTCTGACAGGGCTTCCGCGGCTTCCGAAGCCATGCCTTGCCAATCAGAAGCCATGCCTTGGTTTTCGAACCATTTCAGGAGTCGAAAGGACTCCCGAAACGGATTAAATACAAGAACCAAGGTATGACTGTATAAGGTGAAACTGTTAGATGCCACAAGATTTTTGGTTCTCTTTGCAGAACAAGATAAACATCAACAAGATTTTGCTTTACTGCTTTAAGCTTTGCCTCTTCTGACTAGCCAAATACTTCCCTCTGTTTCTATAAGTTAATGAGGCATCTTGAGCAATGGCATTTTTCTGTGTTACAGCTTCATAACAGGAGGTCACATTTGCACACATGGGTACAGAAGGTAATTTTAATGGTACATGCAAGGTGGAAAAAATAGTAGACAACAACTTAAACTTAGCCAGTTTTGCAAGTTTTATTGTCTGAACCGTGGGCAGAAGGTGCACTGACCAAGAGACTCACACAAGCACGATTCTCTTTCCAATTTGTCGGAGTTCACACTTCAGCTTTACAAACCAAAAGGAAAAGGAAAAATGCTCTGAAGCCTACAAATTGATTTTTTTGCACAAACCTATCATTCTTGGTAGGTGGTTTATGTGAAATTAACTGAGTTCATTTCAAACTAAGTGCTATAGTTTGAAATGCCATTAAAACTTCTGCCTAACCACCCCACCCCCAGCAAAATAAAATAACAACATTCATTCAGTTCTGTGGTATGAGGGGGCGGAGGAACAAACTCACTGTACTGCACATAAGCACTAGGAATTAATGGATTGCATGTAAATCTAGATTCAGAGAGCCACTGCCAGTAGTTCCATAGATTGCACTACACTAGACAAAACAAATGTCTGACCCCCTGTAAAAGTGCTGATTATGTTTACTTCATATGTTCAAAACAGCAGTTTTCAAACCTGCCATAATTGCATTTAAGAAGCAAAGCCATTTTGCCTAAAGAACACAGGAAGGCTGGTTCTGACCCCTTTATTCTTCTTGTTTGACTAGAAACTTTTATTTTAAGGGAGAAAGGAAAATATGAATTTCAGAGCTTGTGGATTATTCTGCTCAACAAAAACTGAATGTGTGTAAATTTGGTTAATAGTGGACAAAATAAGGTTGGAGAGTCCTGGTCACAAATGGGAAAATAGCAATCTGGGGTAGTCAGCTAAATTACTGCGCAAGTGGAACAACCTTCCCTTCCATAATGGGGCTTTCTCCCTCTCTGTGCCCTGTGCCATTCTCAAATCTGCTACAAAGGGTATGGGGCAAGCCTTTCTTTCCAGCCGGAACTCAGTTCCAGCACCACTCAGAGAATTAGGGAGGCATTCATGGCGAGTTCCAGCACCTCTTTTTCTAGAAAAAAAGGACTGGTTAGGGGAACACCTAAAATACATTTAGGGAGGGTGCAGTGGTGGTGCAAAAGCAGTCCCTTGTGTGCAAGAATAAATATTTCACTGACGGAACAAACATTCACCTTAAGTGTTACCTCATGTTTCATTCTCATATGGCAAACAAAAATGGCAGAATCTAATACAAGTTTTCCAAAATAACAAACCCCTTTTCCAATAGCAAACAAGCTTCCATGAACCAGAATCTCGATGAAACTATGACTGAGGCATATGCTACTCCACAAGAACTCATTGAAACTGCAGCTTACCCTAATCACAACTGCGCTTGCCAGAACAAAATAGGTTACCAACCAATTATACACTCTTAACCATTAACAGTACGATCTTTGTTCTCAAACAATGTTCAATTGCAAAACGGCCTAGAACTCATTTTTACCTGGTGGATTCTTGGCAGGATCATTGTGGCTTGGACTTCCTGATTGTCCAGAATCTGAAAAGAAATTGAAGAAACATATCAGCAAGCTGCTACTGATTTGTCCTGGGTTAGTTTTCTTTGAACCAACATGATCTGTATGATTTGCATTTTAAAGGGCTCATTCACACTCTTTCCGCAAACAGCAATCTGTTGGCATGCTCTGTGATAACTCTGCATAGTTAGCCACATATGCATTCTACAAATCTTTAAAACACTTACAATGGGTTGGGTTGGTTTTTCGTTTTGGGGGGGTTTTTGGTGCACATCTCATTAAAGAAAATATTCTTATTGAAAACTCCCCAATAGAAAGAAAGAAAGAAAGAAAGAAAGAAAGAAAGAAAGAAAGAAAGAAAGATCCCAGCAACTTTGTTCAAGAGAGGAAGAAAAGAAACCACAGCATTTGATAGAGTTTAGAACTATTGTTCACATTCCAGATATTTTCAGGCTGCAATCCTATACATGCTGGTCTTGAAGCTAGCACCATTAATCTAAATGAAAGTAACTTTCCGAAGAGATATGCATAGGATTGTGGTGTAAGAAACCAAATATTGGAACAAGAATTTTATTTATCACATTTATATCCCACCTTTCCTCTTTTAAATTTTTTTATTCTCACAACAACAACAACCCTGTGAGATAAGCGAAGCTGAGAGATAGCTGAGAGATTGCCCAAGGTCACCCAGTGAACTTCACTGCTGAACAGATATCTGAACCTGGATCTTCTCAGTCCATGTCTGGCTACATCACATTGGTTCAGTTCACATATCAAACAATACTTTGAAACGAGCCATGGTTTAAGAAGTGTGGTGGTGCACATTGCTCAAACGTTCTTACGGCACTGCTCGCCCACTCCTGCCACACTGCAGAGAAACAAGCAAGAATCTGCTTTGTTGTGCCATTCAAACCCTGTCGACGGGTTTGTTTCCTCCAAACAAACAAAACAAACCAAGCCTTAAGCCAAGAACAACCCATGCCTTGTTTGAAGAAAACAAATCACAAGTCCAGGTTCTGGTGACCTGAGAAGTCAGGCCCTAGATTGTTTCGTCCGCAACACAGCAGGAGAGAGAAAGAAGCGCCAAAGGAGTTGCATACTTCTGGTTTCAAATCAACTATGGTTTGCATAAGAACTATGATTTAATGGGATATGAGCATCAGGCAACTGACTGTGGAGATGTTTCTGGAATGGCAAACACCAGCATTGGAGAATGGATTTTGTCAGAACCATGGCAGGAAGAGAAATAATTCAACTTTCCTTACCCACCTCCCACCCCATGGCTCCAAGGCTGCCCAGTCTTCCCTTACACTGCTATTTACACAAGAAAAGCATGCATATTAATTGCATGCAGGAAAACCTTGCATCTAGTTTGGGCCCATCTAGAGGCTTCCGGCCAAGTATGACCCCTTGTATTTGCCACTCGCAACAGCCATCCGAGAGATACTTGCGGCTGTGACAGAGGGACCTGTTGGCAGTCTGAGAAAAGGACAGGACAATCTCTCAAAGTTACCCTCCACTAAAATATGTTTCCAACTGATATCTAAAGACAGCCCAGTAACAGACTGACCTGCCCAAATTAATAATAATAAATCAACTATAGATTTCAATTTCCAACTACTGTATCAGGCATATCACTGTATCACTACATACTAAATTTATAAAGTAACCAAAAATATGCCAGTGCAACTCCCCTTCCACTGTATGAATCTAGAAATCAACAAACCAGTGAGCTTTCACCCAATTTTGTACTTTTGTACAATGAGTTAAACCACACTACATCCAAGGTAGAAGGATGTTGCGGGGACCTGCTTAGTTATAAAAGGAGGCAACTCAAATGCTAGGTAATTAAAAACACAAAGGAAATCTGTATTTAAATTTGACCTAATTATAATGCAAAACTGAGAAAATTGTCAAAAGCTACATTAAGCATTATCTGCAATCTCATCATGGGCAACACATTTAATGTCTTAATGTGCGATCAAGCCTCATGATACAGATTTACTATGGAAGGTATCAAATTTTACAATCCAAGGATACAGCCCAGCATGTGTTCATTGCAAATTACCATACAAGGTTGGTTATTTTTTGCTAGTAATCATGCTACCAGATTATCTTGACCAATTTCCGTCTGAGTTCAGGTCTGGTTACGGAACTGAATCAGTCTTGGACATGGATGATCTTCATCAGGAGGAGGACAGAAGGAGTGTTCTCAAAAGTGGCTTTTGATACAATTGAGAGGGTGAATACTAAAGTTAGGAAGTCACTTTGGATCTTAATTCAAGGAGCAATGGGTGCTCATGATTATTTCAACTGCATTAGATTCCATCTGTTACCTTACTCAAAACACTTCTACACTTAAACATAACTACATATATAAGCTGAACCCAAATAATTCACATTTAATGTCAATTCTCTATACTAGCCATCCGAACTGGTATAGGACTTTAGCAGGTTTTTATATATTAGCTCACCATGGTCTGTCAAAGGTCTGTGAATGCATTAGCCAATTTTTTTCTTGTAGCCAGGTGAAATCCAGAGCATGCCAAGTTTTTGGCTTCTTGGCTGAAGCTAGACATGACTATAGACCCATCTGCTTAAACCTGGGGCTCCCTTGATCATATATCAAGTAGAGGAAAGGTGTTCCAACTGAGAAAACCAAAAGGATGCACAGATTAGGGAGAAAGAGCTTGTTCCTTCCCGTTGCTTACCTCTCCACACTTTGCCATTACAGGCTCTTTTCCCCAGTTGGGTTTTCATCCAACACTTAAGCCCAGCTGGGGGGGCAAAGGAGTTCAGAGACTGAACTTACAGAAAGCTCTCAGAATCCAACTCCAACTGACCCAGAAATAGGAACCTCATCATTTTTATTCAGCAGCAGGTCTGTACTTATAGAAGTAAGACCATTCACCATTGTTCAGTTATGTTTCAAGTGGGAACCAACCCGTCTGCAACACTACACAAATGTGTTTCAGTTGCCCACACTGTATGCCAAACATTGCTGTTGCCTTCTGAAACACCTTCATAGATTTATTTATTAAATTTATACCCTCCCCTCCAGCGGAACCCAGGGTGGAAACACCTTTTTTTTTTTTCAGTTTTCAATTTAACAACAATAATCATCCCTAATTTCGACTTCCCTCCTCTCCTTCTCCTTTTCTGGTTTTATAATGAAATTTGTTTAATTAAACTGCAACACCACCTTAACTACTCTTTTTTTGGTTCTACTCCCCCCCCCCCAAGATAACCTTTTAGCTCTTGATTTCAAAGTAATCCTCCCAATGTTTTTAGTTGTTTACAATGATTCTTTAAATAATCTACTTGATTTCTTATTCTTCCTGTAAGTTTTGCCATTTCTGCGTATTCTATTAGTCTGGCTTGCCACTCTTCCTTGGTTGGGACGGTATCTTCCTTCCATCTCCCAGGGTGGCAACACCTAATGCGATCTCACTGCTGTGAGTTGTATCACATGCAAATCTTCCCAGGCCCCAAAATCCAGGCACCATCCTTTGGGAAAATTTGATCTTATAGTGCCAAGAAGGTATGTCATTTATGACACAGTCTGAAGACACATCATTTCGACTAGACCTTTGGGGAGAACTGAAAATGCCTAGGTAAAACTGAATTTCCTCTAGCATACAAAAATACTGAGATATGCTGGCTACCTGTCTCCCTTATTGGATTCTTCAAAATACTTAGGACCAGTGTTATTATTTGAGAGAAAGAGGTGCCAGAGCTCACCTTGTTCTCTTAGATGACAATGGCACCCACCTGAAAGGTGCCAGAACTGAGCTCCGGTAAGTTCCAGCAAAGGTCCATATAGTTAAAGCTATGGTTTTCCCAGTAGTGATGTATGGAAGCGAGAGCTGGACCATAAAGCAGGCTGATTGCCAAAGAATTGATGCTTTTGAATTACGGTGCTGGAGGAGACTCTTGAGAGTCCCATGGACTGCAAGAAGATCAAACCTATCCATTCTTAAGGAAATCAGCCCTGAGTCTCACTGGAATGACAGATCGTGAAGCTGAGGCTCCAATACATTGGCCACCTCATGAGAAGAGAGGAGTCCCTGGTGGGACTCTGATGTTGGGAAAGATTGGGGGCACAAGGAGAAGGGGACGACAGAGGACGAGATGGTTGGACAGTGTTCTCAAAGCTACTAACATGAGTTTGACCAAACTGCAGGAGGCAGTGGAAGACAGGAGTGCCTGGCGTGCTCTGGTCCATGGGGTCATGAAGAGCCGGACATGAATAAACGACAACGAGTTCCAGCAAAAAGCCATGCTTAGGACTTATTTTATTCCAGGTATTTTTAATTTAAACAGTGTCGAGCTTTAGAGAAGGGATTCCAGATGTTCTCTCTCTCTCATTTTAATCTCCCATCATAAACCCTCCTGATGGAAGTCCATTTGACAGAAGCCACCAAGCATCTAACCATGCTTGTGTCAAGTCACTGTGTTGCTGCCTACCCTTCTCAGAGCTGCAACCTCAAAAGAGTAACCTGGATCTTATGCTATTCACTGAAACCAAAGTGACTCTGGGGTTTTTTTGTGTGTATTTGAAGCTCAATGGTTTTAAAACACTTCTGGCCACATCTCTCCTGCAGTTCCACCAACAGCTTCTACAGCGGCAGCTTATTCTCCTTCTGCCATTTGCCAAGCTAGCCATTGTCAAAACTGTTCACTTTTCTACAGAGTGCTTTTAATTAAGTAAATAAAAGTGGCAATTAAATCAACATTATGTAATGTGTTTTTGATTTGTAATCTCATTTAAATTAATTAACTGACTCAGCCCTTGCTTAGTTTTTTAACTGCCCTACTTAAGGAGAAGCAGAGCAGTGGGAGTAAATTCAGTTTTCATATACATGAAAAGAAATTAATGGAACTACAAAAGCTTATTAGAATTCATACCCCACAAAGCAAACTTTTCAGTGTTGAGCACCATTTATGGGGTTTGTTGAAGTGTTAATCCTTGCTTGTTAATTTTAAAATAGTGTCTGTGCTACGTTGTGTTGTTGGGTTTTAATGGGATACATTTTGACTAAGATACGTTTTGTTTTTTTAAGATCATAAAAATAGCCTGGTAGAAATCGTCCACTCAGTCCAGTAACCTGTTCTTACACTAGCAAGCAGAATCTAAGCACGATAACTCTTCCCTCACCATGGTTTCTTGCAACTGGTAAAACTCTGAACTTAAGGAAATGTATACGTTTTTCTTGGGTCTGAAATAAACTTCAAATCTCATGTAACATTAGATGATCTCTTCTCTGACATGGGGCTTAAGGAAAGATTTACACAGGTCTCTTGCTACATGTGAAAAGATGTGAAAGAATAAAGTTTGTTTGCAAAACTTGCTAGAATCCGAAGGAAAATGGGTGATTGATGTTTAATCTTGCCCATCTGAGAAATATCACATAGTTTCTACTATGGCCTGATCTATGGCCTCTTGGAAAGTAAGCAATCTTTTCTATTCAGGGATATAACAAATTTGTGAAATGTTTTTTAGAAAGGGAGACCTGGAATGCTATCGTACTGAAAGATTTAATTAGGAGAGAGGAAGTAAATGGCTAGAAACCCAAAGAGCACATAAATTTATCAGATATAGAATCGAGAAATGGAGCTGAACCAAAATAACGTCTGGAATTTAATTGCAAATTGTTCCATCAAAAACAAGTCCATGCATATTGTTGGAAACAAGAATCTGGATTCAAAAGGGCACTTTCCCATACAAGAAGATCTCTTCACTCACAGAAGAATGGCGTTACATATTCTTATTTGGGCAACAGAGCGGAAAAGCAAAATCTTATGCCCAAAACTTTCTCCCACTTGTGCATAAGAGCGAATTGCTATAGAACCACTACATCATTAGAGGGCGTATTGTTACTTGTGTTGGTTGAACAATTACACTTTAATTCATTGAGCTAGATCTAAAGATCCATGAGTAGAAGATTCCAGGATCTAGTCTGGAGGCAAGTAAGGACACTGCCTTGCAGAAGCTAAGCAGGTCTAGGTCTGGTTAGTACCTGGGTGGGAATCATATGAATGCTGCCTTGGGTTCCATGATGACAGAAAGGAAGGGCATAAGTGGAACAAATAATGTTAACAATTATGAATAAGTAAGCAAATCAAATGCAGTAGTACCTTGGTTCTCAAACGCCTTGGTACTCAAGCAACCTGGAACCCAAACACTGCAAACCTGGAAGTAAGTGTTCCTGTTTGCGAACTTTTTTTGGAAGCCGAACACGTTCCGTATTGAATGCCACACTTCCATTTTGAGTGTTACACTGAGGTCTGTCTATTTTTGCTATTTATTTTGCGTTTTTGTTTTTGCAACTCTTTTGTTTTTGCGACTGCATGGAACCCAGTTCAGCTACTGGTTGATTGATTGTGCGACTGCTTTACATTGATTATTGCTTTAATTTTATGGATCAATGGTCTTGTTACATAGTAAAATTCATGTTAAACTGCTGTTTTAGGGGTTGTTTTTAAAATTCTGGAATGGATTAAACCACTTTGCATTACTTTCTATGGGAAAGCGTGCCTTGCTTTTGGAACGCTTTGGTTTTGGAACAAGACTTCCAGAACGGATTAAGTTTGAGAACCAAGGTACCACTGTAGCACTGTTGTGAAAACACATACAATACTGCTTGCGGAAGCATATAGGCAAGTTTCTTGGATTCTCACTACATCCCCCATGACACATCCCATTCCTTTCCTGAACACAGGGACACAAGACAAATCAGCCCAGTTGACCACTTAGCTCAATACTGGCCGCACTGACTAACAGATTCCAGGGATTCAACCAGGGGACATTCACAGCCCTACCTTGAAATGCTTCCAATCCCCTTTTAGACCATGCCATTCAACATGGAAAAATCAGGGGTGGAGAAGGCAGGGGGAACATGCAGGGCCCCAGTGTTGCACTATGCGTGCTATTTAGGAACTGCTGAGCAGAACTCAAGTGCCCCACAGTGGATGAAGCTGCAGTCATAAGCACACTGCCTGTGAGTGTGATGGAGAACCTTTGGCCCTCCAGATTTCATTGGGTGACAAGTCCCATCATGCCTGGACATTGGCCATGCTGGCTGGGGCTGATGGCAGCTGGATTTCAACTGGAGGACCACAGATTGCTATTCCCTGACCTACAATAGGGTATCAGCCCTATTGTACTAAGTAAGGTCTACTTCTGAGTAATGCATGTTTACAATTGCACTGCAGTTCTATGAACTGCCCTGAGACCTCCAGGTATAGGGTTTCCCCAGCCACTCTGGGTGGCTCCCAACAGAACACTAAAAACAGAATAAAACATTAAAAACTTCCCTAAACAGAGCTGCCTTCAGATGTCTTCTAAATGTCAGATAGTTGTTTATTTCCTTTATATCTGATGGGAGGCTGTTCCACAGGTCGGGTGCTGCAACTGAGAAGGCCCTCTGCCTGGTTCCCTGTAACCTCACTTATTGCAGAGAGAGAACTACCAGAACGCCCTCGGATCTGGACCTCAGTGTCCAGGCTGAACGATGGGGGTGGAGACGCTCCTTCAGCTATACTGGGCTGAGTCCGTTTCCGGCTTTCAAGGTCAGCACCAGCACTTTGAATTGTGCTCGGGAACGCACTGGGAGCCAATGTAGGTCTTTCAAGACCCATGTTATGTGGTCTCAGCAGCCGCTCCCAGTCACCAGTCTAGCTGCCACATTCTGGATTAATTGCAGTTTCCAAGTCACCTTCAAAGGTAGCCCCACGTAGAGCGCATTGCAGTAATCCTAGCAGAAGATAAATAGAGCATGTACCATTCTGGCGAGACACCTTCTGTACCAGTGAGTTATGACCACTCCCCTAAGTTTCTCTGACCCTTAGGAGCAGATTTCAGGGTGCAAAGGGCATCTCAGAGCAGAGGAGGAAGACAAGGGAGCCCTGTTGCACAAGCGGCTCGTGTACATGCAAACTCCAGATCCATGCCTTTCTTTATAATGATTAAGCATGTTTTCTTGCAACAGTCTGTACCCTGTCAGAAAGGAAGTGAAATTATGTGTAGGAAATTGTATTTTCTACCAAAGGACCTTTGTAAAAGATCTGCAAAAATCCATTTACTTTAGCTGTATTAGTCTGATGCAACAAAACCCACAAGCCTTGTGGTAGCACTACCAGCTATTGTTTGGGGACTAAACTTGACACATATCTGCTTATTACTGTTCAACAGTATATGGGTCTACTCAGAAGTAAGCCCTATTCAGTTCAATGGGACAGACTCCCTCTGGCACTGGGGGAATGGCTGGTGGGGAGAATTCTGAAAGCAACAGAGACTGTGGGGTCTGGAAGGGGAGGACACAAGTTCATCTCCCAACCCCCCATATGCCCTTTTTAGCATTAAAAGGTAATTATTAAAAGCAAGCCCATGATTAATATGTGTGTAGTTTGGCCTTTAGTCTACAAAGGCATGTGTCACAATACATTTTCACACTGCCACGAGCTTTTTCCGTGGTTATCTTTTTCAAATAATAATTGAAAGTATTTTGCAATGTCGCCATGTATTGAAAATGAGATAAACTTCTATCGCTAAAAGATTGCATGTATGGAATATAGTTGATGGGTAAATGGTGAGACACAGTCTCCTCCCCCCCCCCAGTGTCAGCTTACTCCTTTAGTTTGTAGCTCTTTTATATGTCTCTTCACTCCCATAGTTCAGATTAATGTACTTTGGGGGGTGGGGGACAACAAGTGGACTATATTGGATTTTTAAGAACAAAACAAAAAAATTCACTAGATAATTGCGTTAGTGAAGTTGTTCGGTTGATTTGATGGCACCCCACACGGGGTTTTCTCTACCTTTTTGTAGAAATTGTAATACATTGTGCTAGATGCTGAATGGTTTTTCATTATATTTTATTGCTTCTTTTAATTCTCATATTGTACTACAATTTGAATTGTAATGATTAATCTGCATCCTCCTAAACTAGAATTCAGATCGTGGCCTCAGTTTCATTTAGCCTCACACTGCTTTCTTCCCTTAACACATTATATATTAATTCCTTTCTTTATTGTCCCTATTATGAAAGGCACAGGATCCCAGACATGGATTCTCAAATACCTGACCAAATGAATTTTAGTAGTGATTTGTTACGAATATTTCAAATTGTTAATATTTTGTTTCATATTTGTTGTGAACTGCCTTCAGTTCTTTGCTTAAATAAATACATAAATACAAGATGACCACCCAACAATTTAAAATCTAAGCTGCTTAGGATAGCAACCCTCTCTCATTTCTTTCTCTTTCTCCATGACATTACTTCCTGTTTCCTGAAACTGCTTTCGACCTTAGCATAACCTTATTTCCTTTGGCTAGACAAGTACAGAAACTGCTTGTAGAAAAAGGGTGGCAATGTTACTAGATCTTTATGCAACAGGAGAGACAGGAGAAGAAGTGCCAAGAGGCTTCAAAATCAAGATAGAAAGAGGGGTCACATAGATATCTGTGTTGTTTTCACACTTTCCACTTGACATCTGCACGTATGGTGTGGTAAAATCCTCTTTTCAATTGAGACAGGTGGCCAACCTATACCAGGCTATACTGTTGGGCTAACTGCAAGGTTCTTGTGTTGATATACAAAGCTCTGAACAACATGGGTCCGGAATATCTTTGTTGGTTCAAGGGGAAAAAATGGTATAAAAAGAGAATTCCCTGGATACCAAGATCCAGGTTGGGGGCAAGTACTCTTTGGTGAGAAAAAACAAGCAGAGATTTTAAAGTCACAAAATATGCAGCAATGAAAGCATGTAGATATAAGCTGTAAAACCTTAAAACGTGCCTTTTAAAATTCCTTCCCACTTCCCCTAGCATAGAAAAAAAGACCACAAGTTTGGTTAATTTAAAAACACACATTATGAACCACCCTGCAGTTTACTTACAAACTCTCCAAAGGTCAGATTCATGTGTTTTCCCATACATCAGTCAGAAAAGTTGCACAGGCAATAATCCTTAGCTTAGTTACAAGGTAAAAAGTTCCTAGATTATGTGGGAGATTGCAGTCAAACATAACTACGCACAACCGCTAGTTCACGCATGAAGGGGATAAGCACCAGAGGGTTGTATTGCTAAATGGACTCAGCTAGGCCATGCCCCCTCACCAAGTATGAGTAAAATATGAGTAAAATTCTTCTTGCTCTCACCTGAAAAACATCCCCTCATGCTGCCACCAGTAGGGTTTTTAATCCCTGGTGAACTTTAGCAAGGGCATCTCCCTCTGCAGAACTCTTTGAAGTGCAAAAAAGAATAATACAAAGAATTGCTGGTTCCAGCAAGACAGAACCCATCATAGTTGAGCTTTTTCCTTTAAAGTCCCTTCAAGTTAACCACACAGCACTTTGTATGCAATTATAATAAACCAAAGAGAGTTTGTTAAATACGGCAAGGACAGCTGGATTGGGGGAGGAAGAAACGGAATAATTGCATGGCAAAAACAAAATAGCCATACAGTCTTCCTAGCCTACGTAGGAAAACTAGTCTAAAGATGCAATTACTTTTGAATCCACTTGTGTATATTTGGGAATATGTTATTGCTACCCTCTAATGTGTCATTTTATAAAGTTGGGGTCTCTCTTTCACGGAATATACTAGAATACTGACACTGGAGTGTGGCCCAGCTTTTTTCCCCTTCAAAAGCTCTCCCATCCCACCTACTAGATTTTGTTCCTCTCCACTGAGGCAAAATACAAAAGGAGAAATTAAGAAGCTGGTTTTTCTCGTGTGGTTCTAAGTATCAGCTAGCAGAAGAAATATAAGAATAAGATAGTCACTGGTTCACAGGGCAAGATTCCTGTACATTTAAGAACATAAAAACAGCCCTGCTCAATCAGACCACGATATCTTCCAGGCCAGCATTTTGTTCTCACAAGGGCCAACTAAATGCCTATGGGAAGCCCACAAACAAGACCTGAGTACAACAACACTTTTCTACGTGGGGCTACCTTTGAAGGTGACCCAGAAACTGCAATTAATCCAGAATGCGGCAGCTACTGGTGGCTGGGAGTGGCCGCCGGGACCACATAACACCGGTCCAGAGAGATCTGCACTGGCTCCCAGTATGTTTCTGAGAACAATTCAAAGTGTTGACCTTTAAAGCCCTAAACAGCCTCGGTTATGTATACCTGAAGGAGCGTCTCCACTCCCATCGTTCAGCCCAGACACTGAGATCCAGCACCGAGGGCCTTCTGGTAGTTCTCTCCCTGCAATAAGTGAGGTTACAGGGAACCAGGCAGAGGGCCTTCTCGGTAGTGGCCCCTGCCCTGTGGAATGCCCTCCCTTCAGATGTGAAGGAAATAAGCAGCTACCTTCTCTTTAAAAGACATCTGAAGGCAGCCCTGTTTAGGGAAGCTTTTAATATTTAATGCTGTATTGTTTTTAACACTTGATCGGAAGCCGCCCAGAGTGGCTGGGGAAACTCAGCCAGATGGGCGGGGTATAAATAAATTCTTCTTCTTCTTCTTCTTCTTCTTCTTCTTCTTCTTCTTCTTCTTCTTCTTCTCCAGTGTGGAAGGGCCATAGCTCATTGGTAGAGCTTTCCATGCAGAAGATCCCAAATTCAATCCCTGGAATCTCCAGGTAGGACTTGGAAACAACACTTTCTGAAACCCCAGAAAGTCACTGATGGTCAGCATGGACAATACTAAGCCAGCTGAACCTGATGGTCTGATTCTGTAGCTTCCTATGTTCCTATGACTACCAGCAACTAAGATACAGAGGCGTATGTGTCTGCAATTGGACTTAGTAGTAATTCTGCCACACCCTTTTTTTTATGGCAGAACTCGTACCAGGTGACAGTTCGGCTTCAGTTACAAGCCTTCACATCCCCTCCCTTATGACACATGCATTCTACTTCTAATTCATCCTGTTCTCACGGAAGGAATCTCAGGCTTTTGCTTCCTTTCACAGCGGCTGCATATTTGTTGTCCTGAGACAGACTTATTTCTGCCTCCCTAAACAACTTCTCCAACCTAGGGATACTTCTCAGTTTGCTGGAACAGTCACTGATATGCAGGCTAGGAACCCAGGGCAGTTGTACTTCCAGCAGTCTCTCAAACAGTGCATGATCTGATCCAAGTAGAATCTCTCTTGCTGAAAGTTACTGATATCAACTGAGACGAATGATGTTAGATAATAGGGAAACACATGTGAAACAATAGCCTCTTGTGTTTATTAACCAGGGGTGGGGAATGGAAGGTAGGCCAATTTGACAGATGTAGGGCCTGACGACATGTGACATCAGGTGATTAAAATGTAAACCCTTCCTTCCTGTTTTGCTGTCTTAGCTTTAACTCAAGCCACAGCTGCAAAGGAAGAATTGGGACTGTACTCTTAAGTGTGGTCCCAGCTCATCATTTCTGGCTTGAATTGGGTGCTTTTTGAATCTGTCACCTTCTTTTGTCACCCACTGTTATAAAATTAAGGTGTGCACACATAGGAGACACACACTCTGCAGGAAACCAATCCTTTGCCCTTCAAAATTTAGGAAATATTCCCTGTGAAAATTACACTTTATACTAGCACACAGAACAATCCCCCAAGCCATCTTGGCTCTCCTAATGACTCTAAATATTTCCTCTGCAGAAGGAAATATCTTGGAGAAACCTTTCCCAATAGTTCTTTCACTTACAAATCCTTTAAATCCTGTCTTAAGGGCGTATTTTTGGTATGAATCGGGTATGCTAGTGACCTGGATTCAAGAACTAAAGTATTTACCATCTCAAAATAATGGCCAGACTGCCCAGGTAATGTGATCAGTGACCATTATTTGGTATCTTGTCAGCCTGGAAGCAAGCCACACTCTCAAATTTCTGTTGTATGTATGATGCTTTTGAGGTGGCCTTTGGCTAAGGAGTTGGGCAATTTCTGAAATCTTTGCTCTGGGTTCTCACCCCTTTGCAATGGGGGGGAACCCTGTTGCAATCAAAAAATAAAGATCCTCCTTTCTTGCTCTGGATCCTGCCTCCATCTACAGTGAGGGGGGAAAGTATTTGATCCCCTGCTAAATTTGCCCGTTTGCCCAATGATGAAGAAATGACCAGTCCATAATTTTAATGGTAGGTTTACTGTAGCTGTGAGAGACAGAATATCAACAGGAAAAACCCCAGAAACCCAGAAGACAAAAGTCAGAGATTGATGTGCATTATAACGAGTGAAATAAGTATTTGATCCCCTATCAACCAGCCAGATGTCAGGCTATCTGGTATCTTCACTGTATGTAACGAGCTGAGATTAGGAGCACCTGATGCAAGGGAGAGGTCTTACCTGTAATCCCAGCTCGTTACAGTTCCTGTATAAAAGACACCTGTTGACAGAAGCAATCAATCCAGCCGATTCCAAAGTAGCCACCATGACTATGACCAAGACCAAAGAGCTGTCCAAGGATGTCAGGGACAAGATTGTAGACCTGCACAAGGCTGGACTGGACTACAGGACTATTGCCAAGCAGCTTGGTGAGAAGGTGACAACAGTTGGTGCAATAATTCACAAATGGAAGAAACACAAAATAACTGTCAATCTCCCTCGGTCTGGGGCTCCATGCAAGATCTCATCTTGTGGAGTTGCAATGATCATGAGAACGGTGATGAAGCAGCCCAGAACTGCACGGGGGGGGGGGGGGACTTTTCAATGATCTTAGGGCAGCTGGGACCATAGTCACCATGAAAACAGTTGGTAACACACTACGCTGTGAAGGACTGAGATCTTGCAGAGCCCGCAAGGTCCCCTTGCTCAAGACAGCACATGTACAGGCCTGTCTGCAGTTTGTCAATGCACATCTGAATTACCCAGAGGAGAACTGGGTGAAAGTGTTGTGGTCAAATGAGACCAAAATTGAGCTCTTTGGCATCAACTCAACTCGCCGTGTTTGAAGGAGGAGGAATGCTGCCCACAACCCCAAGAACACCATCCCCACCATCAAACATGGAGGGGGGCATATTTTACTTTCCCCCCCTTCACTGTATTCTTCTCTGCCTGACAATGGACTTTACCAATTTCTTACTTTACCAAGTCCTTAAAGTGAAAAAGAAGTGGCAAATCTGTTTAAAATTTTCAACCTCCTAGCCATTGACATGATAGAGAACCTCCCGGCGCCTTAAATAGAGATCCTGTATTTACAATTTTATTTTGAAAATGTAATGTTGGGTTTTGAGCATCAGCAGCTGGAAATCTGCTACAGGAAGAAAACGAACTAAGAAAATAATCCAGAAATTAGGGGTGGGGGGAGGGAAGCAGATGAGAACAACAACTTTGACAGGTTGGTAGCTTAGAGCAATGTTTCTCAATCCAATGGGTGTGACCCACAATAGAGATTCTTTTAGACACACCCCACAGGTGGAAGGAACAAAATACTCCAGACTTAAGAACCCTGGAGGGAGAAAAAGAAACCTCATTCCCGACATCGCACCCTGCCCTCATCCTCTGTGATGAAGCCTCCCCTTGCTTCTTTCAGTAATATGCTGCTTTAAAACTCTGCTGTGTGGTGGTGGGGACAGGGAAATCCCAGCAAACCTCGATTCCAGGTCATTAAGAAGGAAATGGATTGGCTGCTATTATTGAACTGTAAGAAAGAACTGAAGATGGTCTAGCTGTACAATGTGAACAATGGAGAACTTGTGCAAAGCATTCCAGCAGTCTGCCCTGCTCTGGGAGCAGATCATGCATTCCCAACATGGAGAACACTAATATGTTGCTATACTCATCACAAGTTTTTGGGTGGCTATACAGTGGTACCTTGGTTCTCAAATTCCTTGGTACTCAAACAACTTGGAACCCAAACACTGCAAACCCGGAAGTAAGGGTTCCGGTTTGTGAACTTTTTTTGGAAGCCGAACGTGCTCCATTTTGAATGTTACGCTTCCGTTTCGAGTGTTACACTGAGGTCTGTCTGGTTTTGCTATTTACTTATCAATGGTCTCATTAGATAGTAAAATTCATGTTCAATTGCTGTTTGTTTTTAAAAATATGGAACGGATTAATTCATTTTGCATTACTTTCTACAGGAAAGCATGCCTTGCTTTTGGAACGCTTTGGTTTTGGAACAGACTTCCGGAACAGATTAAGTTTGAGAACCAAGGTACCACCATAATGAAGAATATGGTTCTGTAAAACTACAGGTATTCATGGCCACTGGGACAAAGGCTAAAAATGTAAAGCTCTTTGTCTTTATCAATCTTACATTCTCTGGGAGAATGTTCATGTTGTTTTCAAACATCAGATTATCAGGCATGGAAGTGAATATTCACATGTCCATATTTTGTAACATAAGAAGCATTTCAACACTAACAAAGCAGGTGCCTACTAGTTGTTTGTGAATGTGCACAGCAATGAGTTCTTGCAAAGAAAAACCACACACACCAAAAAACACTATTCTAGGCTGCATCAACAGAAGTATACTGTCCAGGTCAAGGGAAGTAAGAGTACCATTCTATTCTGCCTTGGTTAGACCCCACCTGCAGCACTGTGTCCAATTCTGGGCACCACAATTTAAGAAGGTTTTTGACAAGCTGGAACGTGTGCAGAGGAGGGCAGCCAAAATAATCAAAGGTCTGGAAACCAAGCCTGATGAGAAACGGTTGAAGGAGCTGGGTATGTTTAGCCTGGAAAAGAGGAGACTGAAAGCATATGATAGCCCTCTTCAAATATCTCAAGTGCTGTCACATGGAAGAGGGAACAAACTTGTTTTCTCCTGCTCTGGAGGGGAGGACTTGACCCAATGCCTTCAAGTTACAAGAAAGGAGATTCTGGCTAAAAACCAGGAAGCATTTTCTGACAGTAAAGAGCTGTTTCACAATGTAGCGTTGTCCTTCATGAGGTTGTGGACTTTCCTTCCTTGGAAGTTTTTAAACAGAGGTTGGGTTTCCATCTGTCATGGATGCTTTAGCTGAGATTCCTACAGTGCAGGGGGTTGGACTTCATGACCATTTGGCTCCTTCCAACTCTACAATTCTATGATATGCAATGCATTCGTACTGGGGTAGAATTTGGGTCAAGATCGCAACTCTCTCAATTCTCTTGGCTATGTAATTGCTGCAAAAATGATGGACCAGCCCCTCTTCGAACCCATTCCTACTGTGCGGAGCTATGAGGGCACATTACCACATGCAACTGCTGCCCCTCACAAGTGCTGCACTGTACCCCTAAATCGGCTGGAGAGCAAATTCTGCGCAAAGTATTTCTAATAATTTCCCTGACAAACGAAAGCAACAATGTACAGCGAAATGAACACGCATGAAGAAGATAGGACCTAGCTTTAGCAGCAAAACATGCTATTTTCTAGGTCAAAGTGTTCAAGTCCCATCCTTTAAAAGGGGAACATTTTAAGAGATGTGCTAGATTCCCAGGCAAGATAAGTCAGCTGTTGGGGGTCTATCAGAGAATACGGTGAATTTCTATCTTATGAATCACATTTTATTGCATAATATGTCTTAACTCTAGAACATTAGTATCAATCTTCAGATAAATTTCCATTTGTTTGTTCAAAACACAATATTTACGGGAATAAAATGTAGAAACTAAGTGCAGAGATTTCGTCCAGCTGGCCCCGCCATGTATCACTTGTTTGGATGCAGAGACTACAGACACACTTTTTGTTTCCTCCTGGAAAGAGGGATATTTGTCATGCCATTTTCCTCCCACCCTGTCAGTAAATCAAGTATCATCCTCATATAAATATAAACACAGAGTGTCAGGGATCAAGAAATGAAGACAATAAAAACAGTAAGTGAAAGCCATGAAGCACATCCCCAGAGGAACTGTATATCAGCAAATAGAGTGTCCCTTTAGTCCATGAGCCCACCTAGCAGTTCGAAAGCATCTTTAAGTGCAAGTAGCGGGAAGGTAACGGCGTTTCCGTGTGCTGCGCTGGTGCTGGCTCACCAGCTGCAGCTTCGTCACGCTGACCACGTGACCCAGAAGTGTCTTCGGATGGCGCCGGCTCACGGCCTCTTGAGCGAGATGAGCACGCAACCCTAGAGTCGGACACGACTGGCCTGTACGGGCAGGGGTACCTTTACCTTTACCTTTAGGTAAACTAAGGCCCGGGGGCCAGATCTGGCCCAATTGCCTTCTAAATCCGGCCTGCAGACGGTCCGGGAATCAGCGTGTTTTTACATGAGTAGAATGTGTCCTTTTATTTAAAATACACCTCTGGGTTATTTGTGGGGCCTGCCTGGTGTTTTTACATGAGTAGAATGTGTGCTTTTATTCAAAATGCATCTCTGGGTTATTTGTGGGGCATAGGAATTTGTTCATTTTTATTTTTATTTTCAAAATATAGCCCAGCCCCCCACAAGGTCTGAGGGACAATGGACTGGCCCCCTGGTGAAAAAGTTCGCTGATCCCTGCTTTAGTGGATATGAAAACTACAATGTGGGATTGTCAAGCCGGCAAGTGTAATTCGAGGACGAATTCACAGTAGCACTTTGGGGACTTTTCCCTTTTTACCCACGTAGGTGACATTTATTGTCCAGATTCAAGGTAACACATGCACAAACGGCTATTGTGAGGAACGTTTCATAACTATTCTCATTGTTGGTAACATCAGGTAAACTGCAGGTAAACATCAGTATAAAATGCTTTTCAATGGCATTTAAGGATGGTGGTTCGTTCATACATGCAGGCAACCAGTTGATACGCTGGGCCTGGATCAATTGCTGTGAAAAGGAAGATCAAGGATACAGATCTTCATTTGTAGACTTACAAATCATCAAATGTGTCAATACAAATAGAAGCTATAAATATTGCAGCTGTTGTATAAGGGATTACTATTATGACAGGAATGCAACTGAAATCAGTACAATTTTGGAATGCAGAAATAAAGTAAATCACCGAACCATCAATTCTAGCATGTGTGGGGCCACCTAAATTATGTAATTGGGTATCTGAATGATTGATATTGGGAATTGTATTGCAATTTGGCATTGATATAATGAGGCTATTATTGGATTATTATAATTGAAAACTAATACCAATTGTTATCAGAGAGAGAGAGAGAGAGAGAGAGAGAGAGAGAGAGAGGGAGGGAGAGAGATGGGGGGGGATTGCTGTGAAAAAAGCTCTGGCACCTCTCAGCTGGGCACCATTGAGAGCAGGTCTACTGACAATGATTCTGCTGCTTGTCCGCAAAAACCACGGTCAGTCTCCAAGCGGTCAGCAGGAGCCAAGGAACAACGCATGCTGGTCACCCCAGTTGCACTGTGATGCAGAGAGCTAACAGCTGAGGCTTGCCCTTCCGGGGGTGCCTGCGCAGGGCGGGCCAGGATGACACAGGGGTGCATGCTCAGAGGCTGGAGGAGGTCATGGCCAGCTGCTGCCATGGCCATGTGCAATCTGGGGGGTCTGCACTGGATGGCTGTGACCACCAAGTACCTCTGCTTCAAAGGCTTTGCACTGTAAGTCGGCCGCAAAGGAACAAGGGTATAAAACAACAGGATTTCAAGTTGCAGCCTAGAAGAGTACATGTGCGCCTTGCTCCCCGTTAATGAGCAAAGGCGCTGGGGGAGGGACAATCTGAATCTCCCTGTAAGATGTAGCCAGTGGCGGAGGAAGAGGAGTGGGGGGGGGAGCGCACCGTCCCCGACAGCACGATCCTGGTAGGGTGCCATCATGGCTACCCCCTGCCCATGCTGGGTGCCACACCCCTGCGGGCGGCGCACACCAGCCCCGCCCCCACCTGCTCTCCGCCACTGGATGTAGCCTGGCATTTGGTCACGTGATTTTGGTTTCAAGATGGCGCCTGCATTGGCGACTGAGACAATGAGTTCTGGCACTTTTTTTCCTAGGGAAAAAAACCCACTGGGGGAAAGTATCACAGTTGTGTGCCTCTTGAACAACTAAAGTGCATGGATCCTTTGCAGAGAGCATGCCAACATGCATGCCAACAGATTGTAACAACCAACCCATACGTTCTATTAACTGTGTTCGCCTTTAACACGTTTAAGAGACAGGGGAGGTGGGCAAAAAGAAGCTTTAAAAAGTGCTAGTACGAATTGGCAATTGCTTGTTCTCTAGCAGGCTCAACAACCTCAGCCAGAGATTAAATCTGGACGAAGATCACAAGGCACCGCACAAGAAGTCCACCCTAAATATTTCAAAATAATAAAACACATATGGTACTTTAAAAAACAGATCTTCTTGGTTATTCCACCCCCCCCAAAAAAAAAACCACAGCTCAAACTTTATACCAATGCCAAGTGAAGCTGCACATCTACTTATGTGCCAAAGCTGCAACATAACATACTGACCAGCCGTTCATCTCATTTCTTATGAGAATTCATCTCGCTCTTTAAGAGAAGAGATGCAACGAATATGGTCAATGATGGGACATGGAAAGAGATATGTTTATTAAATAAAAAAATAAAAAAACAGGCTTCATCATCCCATGGGAGTGGTGCAATCAAAGCAGGATTAACATCAGAACCCAGCTTTCTCGACTGCTAAAAATGTCACCCACAACCATCTTTTCAGCCCCTCCATGATGGCTGACATGGCAATGTGAAACAGAGTCTATCAACGTTCTGGGCCCAAGGTCTAGCTCCATGAGCAAAACAGCGCTGTGGGGGTGATCATCAACCTGTGGGTACCCTGAAAAGAAACTAAGCACTCTCGTTAGTCAGGCATCTATGTAGACATATGCAATCCACACTGCTTAAAAATTTATTACTAAATCTTCCATGAAATTACTGGCTGGAGGAAAAAGTGATCTTGCACTGAGTTATGTTCTTCTCACACTTTCAACTTCTGCAAGTCAGTTAACACTTGCAGGCAGGATTAGTCAGATGAGTCAGTAGCACAGTAATAAAGAAAAAACTATAATCAAGATGAGAGCACATGTTCCCAGAAAGATATTTCCTCAAGTATGCAATAAAATGAGTTTGGCATCTTGTGAAATCTAAAACACATGGCACAGCTCTTATGAATCTCACACTGTAACAGAGACTGCATTTCCACAAATTCAGTCTGCCCACATGGTATATTGGAAGTAATAATATGTACAGGAATTAAAGGGGTGAACATATATGTCTGACTCAGCCATGGCAGTTAGCCACTTTTGTCCATATATTAAGACTGCAAAATGCACAAGCAATATCAGCATCAATTTTGTGCCTTGCAAACAAATGTCCTCTTGCAAAAGATTTATCAACACACTACCCTCTGTTTCCCTCTCCCCCAACAAATTTCATGCAGTGCTACCTTGGTTTGCATGTGTCTTGGTTTGCATACGTTTTGGATTACAAACACGTCAAACTCAGAAGTGTGTGTCCTGGTTTGCAACCTTCTTGGGGGGATTACAACCCATTTTTATTTTATTTTTTGGATTACGAACAATTTTTGAGGGGATGCCCCATTGGCGAAAGTGTGCCTTGTGTTACAACCTGTTTTGGTTTACAAACGGACCTCCGGAACGGATTATGGTTGTAACCAAGGTACCACTGTATATGTTTATCTCTCACTTCTCTTTCTGTTGAATCACTGGACTTGGCACTGGTTCCAACTGACATTTCAGAAGTTACAATCGCCACAACATTGGAATGGCCTTGCCAGATCAGACCAATAGTCCAACTAATCCAGAATTCTGCTTCTAATTGAGGCCGGTCTAATTCCTTTGAGGAGGCATCTGTCAAAAGATGAGGGTAATGGCAACTTCCGGCAACTCCTGCAGCTAAGCTGGTGCCAAATGTACTGCTTTCCTTTCCTTTGGACCACATCAGCAAGGCTGAGAGGGGATCCTGTCATCTGGGCAGCCCAGGAACTTCATACACACCGCCCAGGCTTGGCTTGCTAATGCTTAGAATTAGGATTTTTTAAAAATGCATTTTAAAACTATTTTCACACAAGAAAACCCCACAGAATTTATGTGCATGCTTTCCTCCTCAGTCTCCCATTTGAACTTTCTCCGAGGGCACTCTGGTCAGCATCAGGAGTTTCCAACACTTCCCCCTCCTGGTTAGTCCTGGGGTTTTAGTCTTTCATCCCACCTCAAGATGGCGCCAATACAAGCTCCCTGTCCAATGTAGGCTATCCATCTTTCGCCATCCCCACTCCTTCACTGTGGGCTTATAAATGGCTACATGACTGGAACATTCTTCTGGCTGAAGCAATGGTTCTGCTGGCAATATTTTAGGCTTTGCTTTTGGATTTTCTGTATCAGGGAGAAAGACGCTATCATCAGAAAAGCCCAGAAGTTCCTTACAGGCACCCATAAATATTTTGTGTGTGCTTGCTTGGAGCATGCTAAAAAAAAATAAAAATTCTTTGTTTGGACATGCTTTGATTGCATACCAAGGCTGAAGACCCTTTCAGGACAAATGCACAGAACAGCATGCATTCATAGCCATTACAGATGACTGTCCATAATCATACGCAACCATTCCACTATAAACAATAATCTAGAATGAACATAACTCAGGTGTTTAAAATGAGAGCATCAGCATGGAAGCATTCCAGTCTTAAAATCTGAAACCAACAAGGCTGAGTCCCAACAAATCACAAAAATATAGACACAACACGACACGTAGGCTAATAACTGTTAAAGTATATATAACAGAATAATAATATCATTCAAAAGGTAGAAATAAATCTGTTAGAGTTAATATATACAATGTAACAGACTAATGGCACAGAACATCAAGCCATGTGTTCAAGATAGGCGTCAAAGGTCAGTCTCACAATGGTTATGCAACAGTTTCAACAGAAGACGTCTCAAAAGTCTCAAAAGTAAAGTTTTCTAAATAGTTTTTCAAAAGTTTCAACGGAAGATGTCCCAAAGTCTCAAGGACAGTGTCTTTTGAAAAACTTTTGAAAAACTATTTGAAATGTTAAAATGATTGTAAAACGAGTGAAATGTATAAAATTAGTGAAATGTATAAACTTGAAAAATATAAATAAAATTTGAAAAAGAAAAGAAAAGAAAGCAGGAACATAAGGAGAACCTCCCTGGATCAGGCCAGTGGCTCATTTAGCTCAGCATTCTTTTCTCAGATGCCCATGGGAAGTCTAAAAGCAGGGCCTAATAAATTAAAAAATTGTCCAGTAGCACCTTAGAGACCAACTAAGTTTGTTCTGGGTATAAGCTTTCGTGTGCACGCACACTAAATGCAAAAGCATTCTCCCCTCCTGTGATTTTTCAGCAACTGGTATTCAGAAGAACACTGCCTTCTTAAAATGTCGTAGATTATCCTGGTTTGAGCATAGGTATCTCTTGAAGGAAGAGTTGAACAGTTTCACCTTGAATCGTATCTGAAGAAGTGTGCACACACACAAAAGCTTATACCAAGAACAAACTTAGTTGGTGTCTAAGGTGCTACTGGACAATTTCTTATATATATATATATATATAGACTGCGTCAGGCCAACACGGCTACCTACCTGAATCTTGAACTGTACAGTTCAACTTGGTACAGTTCAACAAAAACAATGCATGTCTGTCAATCTATATCCCTTTCTAAATATAAAATTTAACCTCAGTACATCAAGCATATGATAGCCTCAAGAACACTACTCCCTATTAATGTGACTCCTACTTAGTTATGACAACGTATCTGCACACACCAGAACTTTTGTTACATTTTACTGTAGCCTATTGGGGAGGGGCAGACATTTTTTGCATCACTTTACTATTTCAGCAAACCTCTGCCACGACTCTGCATAATGAAGACTAAAAGTTTTTTCTGCATCTGGCACTGTTTTAAGTAGAAGTCTAACTTCAAACACCTTATGCTGACTAACCCTAAATAGTTGGCAATGGTGCAGCACACAAACACTATCCAAAAAGTCCTAGATACTCTTCTGGCAACTGTTTTGTACTTTTTTCATTACATTAAACATAAAAAAGATAAAAAAGAACTGCAAATATTGGCACAGGTGATTCCAAACTAGTAGTTTGACCTTTCTGCAAGAAGCTTTTTGGCATTTATGACTTGGCAGTTTCAGCAAAGGCGAGGCCAGGACAAAGAGGAAGACAGGAAGTAGAGAGCTGGCCACGTCTCCTTGGCAGGCAATTCTGCAACAGGGTGAACCAGCTATCTCACTGCCAAACCAAAAACTGTGGGGGAAGCCCATATAATTGCCAAGAAAAAGACTGATGAATTGTACATCCGAAATTCTAAATGCCTGATAAACCTGAATGCTATGCCAAACCCTAATCTGTTTAAACCATATACTACTGTACCATGGAGTACTTAATTCATCCTTACTTATTATGTGTTTTCAAAAGGAAGAACACAGCAGCATTTTTAGCATTAGATACAAGGAAGAAGGAAAACTAATTTGCACCAAACCATGCCACACTCTCAGAATACGGGCCAGACTTTCAGTTTCAAATGCTGCATATTCCCCAACAAATTATTATTATTATTATAATTAGTCATTAAATTTGTATACTGCCCTTCATCTGAAGATCTGTCTACTAAAAATGAGTATACAACATGTATAATAAAACAAAAACGAACCAATAACGCCCTCTCCAACAAACACATTTAAACAGCTACAGAATGGTAATCAGCCAAAGACTTGAGTACAGAGAAATGATATGTAATGAAGGCACCAGGCAGGCCTGACTGGGAAGAGCAGTCCATAAACAAGAGAGCCACCGCTTGAGGTTACCAGAGCATACAGGACATAAGTTAGACTATCCCTATCCAGATAGTGGGGCAGCTGAGCCACCAGCCAAAGCTGATGGAAGACACTCTGTGCTACTGAGGCCACCTGAGCCTCTAGTGACAGCAGGAGCTTCCTGCAGCCAATCAGAAGCCACAACTTGGTTTTCGAACGTTTTGGAAGTCGACCTCCAAGGTACGACTGTATCCCCAAGTTACATGGCCACTCCTTCAGAGGCAGTGTAACCCCCCTCAAGAGCAGGCAGCCTCCAATCCATTCACTCTAGGGAACCATCAGCTAACAGTTCCTCAGTCTTATCTGGACTGAGTTTCCTCTTGTTGGCTCTCATCCAGTCCATTGGTGAGGCAAGACAATGGTACAGCACATCCACCACCAAACTAGCAGATGTAAAGGAGAAGCAGAGCAGCATATTGCTGACAACATGCTCCAAAACTCTGGATAACTCCACTCAGCAGTTTCATGTGGGTGTTAAAGGAGCATAGGGGATAAAATTCAACCCTGAGGAACCCTACATTGAAGGCTTCACAGGGCTAAAGAACACTCCCCAAACATGGGGAAATGACCGTCCAAGTAGGACCGGAACCACTGCAAAGTGGTGGCAACTACCCCTAACTCAGACAACCACTCCAGAAGGATACCATGGTTGGTGGTATCAAAAACCGCTGAGAGGTCAAGGAGAAATAACAGGGACACATTTCCCCTGTCTCTCTCATCATACAGGGTGACCAAAACGATGTCTAAACCCCAATTGAAACAGATGTAGAAAATCAGTTTCCTCCAAGAGCACCTGGATCTGGTCTTCGACTCAAGAACCCTGTCCAAGAGGAGACTGGCGACTGGCGAGTAGTTACTGAGATTTTTGGAATCTAGGGGAGGGTTTCTTGAGGAGCAGTTTTACCATTGCCTCCTTCAAGCAGGATGGGAGCACATCTTCTGGGAGGGAGGCATTAATCACCTCCCTGGCCCAGCCCACCATACCCTCCCTGCTAGTTTTTATCAACCAAGAGGGGTCCAAAGCAGAAGGGGTCACCCTGACTGATCCAAGCGCCTTATCCACACCTTTAAGCCTTACGAAATGAAACTCATCCAACACAGCAAGACTAGACAGTGCTGTGGGCACCCTTAGAGATCCATCTGCTGTAATAATGGAGTCAAGAGCCCAGTGCATGTAAGCGACTTTATTCTCAAAATGCTTTGCAAGTAGATCACAGCAAGCTTACACCTCTTTAAGGTCAGACTAGAAGAGGCCTCGTGCTACCCAGAAAAGCTCTGCCAGAGGGCACAATGAGGGCGCAATGGAGGCAGCAAAGTATGCCTTCTTTGCTACCTTCATTGTCATTAGGTAGTGTTGATGGTGACTGCATTCCACCAGAGTTTTCCTCCACTCGCATTCAAGCTGTCTCCCTAAACTCTGGAATATGCCAGGATGCCAAATGGGCTCCATGAAGCAGAAGAGGGTGTTTGGGGTGATTGTGTCAACACACCAAGCCTAGCTGGATGTTCCAGAGGTTGGCCAGGAGTTGAACAGAAGCACCAGTCATATCAATCAGGAAAAAACCCCAGAGCAGTCTGGAAACCCATTAGATCCATCAGCTTCCGAGGATGCTGAATTTTGGAGACCAAAAGGCGAGATCTTCAAGGTAAGACTTGATCTGCTTAAAGCCCAATTACAGTTCCTACTACAAGGACATTGTATTTTTATTGGTGTGATCACTCATACACGGGTCCAAATTACATGCATGTATTATTTTTGTTTCAACAGCTGACGCTTGCTGGCATCCTTTAATCGAAATCTGGTATCAAATCTCATTTTTTTAAACACAAAACAATGAACTAAATGAAAAGAACTAGGGTAGTTATATTGTTTCAGCAAGCATTGTTGGTGTTACTTTTTCCTTTTTTTTAATCCAATACTCTCATCATCCTTATGCACCTATGAAATAATTGGGCATTTTGGTGGTAGGTATCAACCAACAATACTGGTTTATCCAGGTCTACAAAGTGCAGAATAATTCTTTTACTTCAACTTGACTAAAATGACAAACTCTGCAATCCCTAAAGCATATGCAGTGTGTGTGTGCATTTGTGTGTGTGTGTGGAGGGAGGTACACACAGAAATACAGATATAAACCTTTTGCAACATGAAATTACAGGGAGTTTCCAAAAGCTAAGGCCGGTATTGCTGGCTGATCGCCGAAGAATTGATGCTTTTGAATTATGGTGCTGGAGGAAAGTCCCATGGACTTCAAGAAGATCAAACCTATCCATTCTTAAGGAAATCAGCCCTGAGTGCTCACTGGAAGGACAGATTGTGAAGCTGAGGCTCCAATACTTTGGCCACCTCATGAGAAGAGAAGACTCCCTGGAAAAGACCATGATGTTGGGAAATATGGAGGGCACAAGGAGAAGGGGACGACAGAGGACGAGATGGTTGGATAGTGTCTTCAAAGCTACAAACATGAGTCTGACCAAACTGTGGGAGGCAGTGGAAGACAGAAGTGCCTGGCGTGCTCTGGTCCATGGGGTCACGAAGAGTCGGACACGACTAAACGACTAAACAACAACAAAGGCCAGTATTCCGCCTCAATTCTGAAATCCATAGTAATTTTTTGCAAAATGTACACAACCAGATTCTTGGATGATCTCCCCAAAATTACTGCCCATGTGAAATTTCAAAACAGCTGTCTACTCTGAATGACACCCGTTTCCTTAAAATGGCCACATTTAACTTTCCTCATCTATTCTTTTCTAAAGTTGAGTAGCCTTACAGAACAGAGCTATCATTTTGAATCTGGCATGAATCATAGCAAATAGAGGTGTTTGTTCCGAAGCGCGGATCAAGTTTCATCACATGCTAAGAAGCTTTCACATTCAAATAAATTGCATTAATTCATACATGTATAGAAATAAACCTATTGAAACGGGAGGAGACTTCTGTTGACGCCTTGCTATCTAGTTTGACTATCGTGACTTCTGTGGGTCAAGGAAGGAAAAGGCATGTTGTAGCATCAACAGCATGTTTAAGATTTACATCGCTGAAGTAATTATCACTTCCGAAACTAAGAATCTTGGCATGTGTGTTATGTACAGATAAGTCGTCATGAATTTCTTCATGGGGCATACTGCCTAGGAGCCTATATATTTCTGGCCATTGTTTTTATTTATAGCATATTGGCTGCTTAACAATCTGCAACTCTTATGTATGTACCGTATTTTTCCATGTATAAGACAACCCCTATTTTGGAGGACTCCGATTTAAGAAAATGGGGGAGATGGCCCAGAGTTGTTGAGCTTTCTTTGGGGGGGGGGTGTTCCAAAAATCACTCACCCAATCGCATGCCCAATTGTCGCCGCAGCAGGCAGTCCACAGCAACTGTTGCCACAGCCACCAATAACCCACCCAATTGCTGCTGACAAGCTCCGGCTCGCGGCTGCAACCAGTTGGCTGTCCACCAACTGAAATAAATAAATTAGCCCGCAGCCATCACTAGCCAACTGGAAATCAATGGCAGCCGTGTTGGAGGAGTAAGTGGGAAGCCAGCAGAAGCACGAAGCATGGAAGGAGACGACCAACATCAGTGGGGCAAGGCAAACCGTAATCCTTCCTTAACAGTGATTCAAAAAGAATCTTCCTTTCCTTTTTTTGGAGTATCACTGGTGTGATAAATTTGGGGCTGAGGAGGGGAAAGTGTGGGAAGACAGTGACTGCAGGAGAACATCATATGGTCAGCTGAGAAATAATGGCAACACAAGAAACCTCAAGTCTCTACAATCCCAACATATCCTCCTCAGTTTTAACCACATCTCTCCCCCCCCCCAAAAAAACACTTTTTTTAAAAAAAAATGACTTGTTCTAGTCAGCATGTAATGTTGGGGAGGAAGTTACTCAAAGTATTTATTTGAACAATTGGTTGCGCAAAGTTTCCAAAATCTACTGCATTTAGAATTTGGAATTTTTAAAAAAGACATGTGGACTGCCCCACAAATTAAGAAGTGGTATTGCTTTTGCTATGTAGTATAAATTATCACAGCTATCGCCAGGGCCGGGTTTAGGTTTGATGAGGCCCTAAGCTACTGAAGGTAATGGGGCCCTTTATATGTCCAGCTGTCCTTTGTCAACAACAAATTGTTTCTGTTTTTTGTGTTGAATATATGCTATATGGTAATTTATGGACCTAATAGGTCCATACACAACATAAAACACTGTTGCCGAATGTAGGGGTTTTTTTATTCGTTCTTTATCTTATATTTTGGAAATGTACACCCAGTTGTTGTTTTTCTTTTCAGTTTTTGGGGGGGCCCTCAAGAGAGTGGAGCCCTAAGCTATAGCTTGTTTAGCTTATACTTAAATCCGGCACTGGCTATTGCAGAATTATTATAATTTACAACAGGGGAAGAACCATTAACGAAAACTTTGCACTGCAAATACCCTTATGCAATGCAGGGCACTTTGTCTCTTGCAACAATCCCTGATACAAAGCGATCTTTGGCAACTCCGATTGATTTCACCTCGTTCTAATAATATCCTTTTGTTTTCCTTGGGAGAAGCCAAAGGGAGACAACCCCCGCTTTTTTCAATGCCGAGCCTTTTAGCGATGCCAAGCCTTATGGCATTTCGAAGCAGGGATACACGTTTCCCCTTTATGGGCATCATAACGTGTTCAACCTGCTCTGCAGAACGAACAGAACCCACTCACCCCCCATCTCCTCAAATCTGTGTTTCATAAACTGTACTCCAAGAGAAGTAGCAATAAAGTTTATTACAGACCTAAAGTATCTGCATAAACCCGGTTAATTGAAAAGTGGGTGGAGGAGGCTGCCAAATTAAATGTTTACATTAGCACAGCTGTATTGTAAAAACATTCTGCCCCCTGTGCTTTGTAATTATAAGATATTTCTGGACTGTGTATCTCGACAAAGTTTATCTCTACTGCCAAGAGTATTTTGGCACAGAGCGTCTGCAATTTTTGGCAGCCGGCGTGCTCTCAGCGCAGGCTGCATCTAAAATGGCTGCCAAAGAGTTTATCCTGAAATGTCGTCGACCTAGTGTGTCGTCCTGAGCAAAGGGCAAAAGCCAAACCTAATTTTAAAGCTGTGTTGATTGTACGGAATCACGTTGGGAAACCCTGCTTCTGCAGAAAGGAAGAAAAGAGGGAAATGATTCTGATGCTCTGTGATATAAAAAATACAGTTTAAAAAGTTACGAGTTGTAAAAAGAAGAAGAAGAAGAATTTCCTAAAAAACAGAACCTGAATTGTACTGCTCGGAAACTGAACCACTGTACTACTTTCCATTAGATTTACACAACAGTAATCTGGAATACACTATTTTAAAACCTGTTTTTGGAAATCGCTGAAGACAAACAGCCTTTCAGTTTATAGCGGCTGGACATTTTTGACACATACCCTTTATTCTGTTTAAATGGCACATATCTTTGAAATCATTACCAAAACACCTAATATTGAAATCACGGGAAAGCACACGATTTAAGATTTTTAACGAATTATTCATTTCAAACTGCTATTCTCTTTCTTAGGATCCCATTTCCTTCCACATTGTAATAAAGCAATTATTCTACTCATATGGAATAACTGTATCATAACTTTAGCGTCTAAATGGACAGAGCTTCAAAGCAATGAACAGTTTCTTAGGTAATTTCTGCAGCATTTGGAATGTTCAGTTTGCAATGTTTACTCCTGGAGCTGAACAGGCAAGCAAATCAAAATGAGCATCGAGATTAGGATTAGATGGGATTGCAATATGTATTTTCATTCCTTGTAAGACAAATACTTTTGGAGGAGGAATAAATGCTTGGCCCTATGATCCCGGAGATGTTGACAATCTGATTTGTCTTTTAGATAACAATTGATTTAGAAATTACTGCAGCTGCACTGGAGCCGTTAGGAATATTCCCACATTACAACAGAGGAACACAGGGTGTGTAACGAACAGTATAGAAACATTTACCAATTTGTTTTTTTGAGTAACATTAAGATTGTACACTCCAGCTCCTCCTTCCCATCTGGCTATTATCATATGGAGATTGAAAAGAGCATGCAATTTGGGTAGAACCACCAATCTGGACCAGCATTAATTATCTTGAATGCATTGCTGAAGAACTTTTGGACTATAATTTCAAATGTTAGTGTGACTCTTAGGATACAATCCTGGCATCTTCAGATAAAGGATCAAAAGTAGCAAGAGCTGGGAAGAGTTCTCTGCCTGAGGTATTTGGAGAGTTACGGAGAAAGAACTGGACTAGGTTGGCAAATGTTCTGACTCAATATAAAGGAGTTTCATAAATTCATGGCTTTTTAAAAATATCACATTCTCAGTCTTCTGGTCGCAGAAACTAGTTTACCTTCTATTGGTTTTCAAAAAAAAACAACACCCCAAAAAACAAAATAGAATCCAGCACTCTGCAAACTAAGGTTATTTGCCCCATAAAGCATTCTGCTGCAGAGTGGTGGTCCAAACAAGACAATTATTTGTATAAAAGGACTTTAACCCTCTGTTTGATTAGTAATCGGGTTCAAAGTCACAGAGCTATCCAACTTCACTGTCCTTGTAAAGAAAGTGACTGGTGACCTGGAGTTAAAGTCCCACAGAGCGCAGGGTTTCGTTGTTCCCAAATTCCTTCTAGTATTCTTCATTAATCGTTAATAAGCATTCTTTCCCCTCCTCTTCCCCACCTCTAAAATGCAACCAATCACATTTTTTATCTCAACAGCAGCCTTATCAGTTAGATATGCTGAGTAACTTTTGCTTTTTATCGCTGACATCCATTAAAAACAGTCTGCTAATCTGTAATCGGTCTCCATCTATAAACTAACCAGAACTGTAAAATTTTAAGTGTTAATCTTATCGAGTGGACTTCAAATGATCTCTTGCCATTTAGAAATTATCAGCTAGATTAGTGAAAAGTTTCTTTAGCAAAAACTTGCTTTACGGCTGCATATTTCCTGTGGCATCACACTATGCTGCATTTTGCATGTTCAAATATTAAACATGGTCGCATCTCCAGTTATATCACACCATTTTGGGGTGCACAGATAGGACAGACAATTCTGTCTGGCTGATGCACCCAGATACAATTTCTCTATTAAAAATAAATGGCAATCAGCAACCAAAAAAAATTGCATTTCTAAGATTATGTCCATTTTACAGAAACAGGAAGACACATGTCCCTGAGACTGCAATTATATACGTTTATGCATGGCAATTTATTTCAATGAATTATGACCTTGGACAATGTCAGCCACGTTCTCAGTGTTGAAGATTTCGTTCAAACCGTCATTCAAAATTGTGTCTTGCTCCTACAAATGGTTCCTACAAAACCATCCTGTATTCAGTACAACTATATCTACGTACAAAAATAAGTGAGAAACATTACATTGAAAAATCATTATCAGAATTAATCATAAGCCAGCCTACTGGCCTAACTTCACGGAAGCCTAATGGCAAAACTAAGTTGTAAAGAGAGATGGGCAATTTTACTCATATCTAACTTGGCTGCACTTTCTCTCTTAGCAAGCCCCATTCGATCTAATAATGGTACTCATCTTACCATTCCCTTCTCTATCTTAAAGATCCTATATTGTTGAAAAGTGGTCACAGCAGGAATGACCTTTTCTTGAGCTGGTTGGGGAGGGAGGGTTTCATAAAAACAAGAGTGTTTTTCTTTTGCCTAGGGGCTTCTCAAGAGCTTCTCATGAGCTGCCAAAAATCTCTGAGATGCCCCAGTTCCCTGCTCTGATTCTGCAGCTGTCCAATGACTAGGAAACTGATGCTGACTCTTTGCCATACCACAACTGCTGCCAAGCAGTTCAGTATAGCAGCTGGATGGTCAAAGAAGAGTCAACTGGCTAGCATTAGCTGAGAACTGCAGCATAAGCAGGATCGTGGCTTCTTCAACAAGCTATGGTTAAACAACAGTACAGTAAAAGCAGACAAGGGTTTAGTGCAGCCTTCTCTGACTTGGTGCCCTCCAGCTAGACTAGTGACTGGGAGCAGCCGCCGAGACCATATAACACCAGTCCTTAACTACCTATGTTGACTTCCAATATGTTTCCGAGCATAATTCAAAATGTTGATGCTGACCTTTAAAGCCCTAGATGGCCTCAGCCCAGTAGACCTGAAGGAGCATCTCTACCCCCATCGTCCAGCCTGGACACTGAGGTCCAGCTCCGAGGGCCTTCTGGCAGTTCCCTTCCTGTGAGAAGTGAGGTTGCGGGGCCTTCTCGGTAGTGGCCCCTGCCCTGTGGAACGCCCTCCCATCAGATGTCAAGGAAATAAACAACTATCTGATGTTTAGAAGACATCTGAAGGCAGCCCTGTTTAGGGAAGTTTTTAATGACTGATGTTTTATCATGTTTTTAATATTCAGTTGGGAGCTGCCCAGAGTGGCTGGAGAAACCCAGCCAGATGGGTGGGGTATAAATAAATGATGATGATGAAGATGATGATGATGATGGAATACAGTCTGAAGCATCTGAGAGCACCAAGCTGGCAAAGGCTAGCTTAATGTCCAAATGCAACAGATGTGCTCTTCATATTCCTTGCAAATCATCCCTGCCTTTACAAAATGCAACCATTTCAAAACCCTGAGACCATTCCAAGCACAAGGAGCAACTGGGAGCTTCCATCGAGAATAAGCAACATTTCAGAGAGGTCTGTTTGAAGTTTCTAGAACCCTGAAAACTTCTAAGAAAAAGGTGTTGAGGAAAATCCGACAAATGCTACATTAAAAGGTCAATTTTCCTTGTGTGGGAAAAGAAAGGGACATCTTTAACTTATCTCAACCTTCCAGTTTTAAAAGATGTCAGCAGACATTGCAAAGAAAGGACCTAGGAATATTGTCAATAATGCGGATGATAGTTAAAAATTCCCATGTGCCAGATGCAAACAAGGATTCCTGCTATGCCCCTACTGGTGTACAGAAGAGGGAAACTTAGGAGGTTTCACTTGTCATGCCATTGTGCTGAAGGGGTGAGAAACAGACAAATGCCAAACATTTGTCTTACATTTTGTCACCCAGCGTGAACTTTGCTGTGTCTGTTTCCTACACGACGCTGCTAAGACTCTTAATAGTGGTTTTCAGTACAAGTACTCAAAAGATCTATCTCAAATATAAAAAAAGTTGAAGACTTCCCTTTAAAATAGCATGCACATCTTGAGCTGCAAATGGAACAACAGGCCAAGGACCATGGCAGACCAAACATTTACTAGAAGGCAACTACTTGATAATACGACTTTAATTGTACACACATATTTTTATTCATTAAGATGAATAATCAAATTAAATCCCCCACTATGGTGTCCCGGCCTCATAATACATTAATAAAGTTTCTTAAAAGCTTTGGCGGGGGGCCAGCACAGTCCATTAACTCCTTGCAAGTTGTAAAAAGAAGTAAAGTCATTTCAGGCTGCTTTGTGGTTAAGAATGAAACAGCAGGCTGCCTGTATGGAAACGTCACTTTGGATAGGGAACTGGTAACGGATGCGTTGATGCTCAGTCAAAGCACGATGGGGATAAGTTGAACCACATTGAATCACAATCTAAAACCCTGATGCTTTGCAAAACTAGTGTAGTTAAAAGTGGAAGGAAAAACGGCAAAAGATTCCAAGTAATGAAGACCTGTTTATTTCGCTAATAGGCTGTCGCACTGCATCTGGGTTAACTTGCCCACTGCGAGAACCAGAAATTACACAATGTATTTTCAATGATTACAAACTGTTTTGCTACAACTGCTTAAGCTACACTAAGCCTATTTTAAATGCAAAACAATGCACTTTCTCTCCCCCCCCTTTGGTGTTTTTTTGTTTAAAGTGAATCCTACCTTTCTGCGATAGTCTTATTATGAAGACATAAATAATTTCAACAATTGGTAGCTAAGTGGCTGTCTTTACATTTGGCTAACAATTTGTATTAAAGTGCTATACTTTCCCCCTAAGCTTTATAATACCATCTGCTCTCTCTCTCCTAATTTGTTTCATGACATTAGAAATATCTCCCTTTGGAAAATGGATTCTGTGTTTTGGGTCCTTTAAGTGAAAAGTGAAAAGGAAACACCAAATGGAACTATACCTGGACAAAGGCACAGCCATGTCTAGATTTAATCCCCGCCCCCCAAAAAAATTTATAGATCTCTTATCACAATTTAATAAAGGATAGCAATCTGTTATTTTTTAACGAGTATTTTGATGAGTGGAAAGGTTAAATGATAAAATTGTTCACACAATTTTCCTGCCACCCCCCAGTGTAATGTAATGTAATATTGTGTCATACAAATCTGAGAAAGTGCATTTTCAAAACGAAGAACATAGTTAAAAGGACAGAAGACCTTATAAAGTGGCACACAATACCATTGCAGGGATTCAAACCACTGACCTTCTGATCGGCAAGTCCTAGGCTCTGTGGTTTAACCCACAGCACCACCTGCATCCCCCAAATGAAATACTTGCATGAATATTCTACTGTCTCATTACCGCTTCTGTACCTGAACACATATGATGCTGCACTTGGTATTACAGTGGTACCTTGGTGTGCAACCGTTTTGGATTACAACCACATCTAACCAGGAAGTGTGTGCCCCTTCTTTTGGATTACAACCCTTTTTTTTTTAAGGCCCCATTGGCAAAAGCGCACCTTGGGTTACAACCTGTTTTGGTTTACAACCAGACCTCTGGAACCAAGGTACCACTATGTAAACCAAGGTACCACTATGATCAGATTTCCTCCCCTGGCAATCCTTTTTAAAGGCACAGCGTGCAAGTCTTCCTAGTGACATTAAAAAGCAGGGAAAGGGGAATTGAGACTGCCTTCCGAGATACAATCCGCTGTCTCAAATTACGCCCTTTATTTTAGGGTTTCCCATCTAAAATTTCATGCACAAATTTCACAATTTTTTTGAATTAAGTTAAAGTTCCAAATGTATGTGTAATGGTTCTAGGGGTTGCTCGTGCGTAAGCCGGTGCAAACACCTGGCTGGGTTGCCTGAGTGAACCTTTTCTGTCCGGACAGCCACTCACCCGTGGCTGTCTCAATCGCTGGCAGAATCCGTCAGTGGGCGTTTCTTAAACTTCTTCCAGCAAAGAAGCTCTTTGACGCCTAGTCTCCTCCTACTCTCTCTGCGCGAAAGCCTTCTGAGCAAGGAGGGCGTAGGCAGTGGAGGACCCCTACTCTCCCCGCTGGTCCCCGGCAAGGAGTCATGGGACCGCCTCGCCGCTTCCCCCATCTGCCCCCCTTCTCCACTGGTGCTACGCTGATTCTATTCCCCAGAAGATGGGCTGCCTCTCCCAATCCCGGGACGCTCTCTGGAATCCCTCTGGATTTGCTCTCTCCATCCGGCACTGATGGCAGTTCCCTGACAGTATGCTTGCATTCCTTTTTGAGCTGCAAATTCGAGTTGGTTAAAATGATACAACTATCTGCATAAGTGGAAAACGGCTGCGAACGTGTATGTGTGCATTGCTTTTAGCCGTACTCCTGCTATGGGCAACATTCCAGCTGAAGCTTATGTCTTAAGATACAGATGTTATAAAGGCTTGTGGTTTGGCTCACTTCGTGTTTGAGTTTTGAGAGCATGACTTCGGCAAGCACTAATTTATTTTGAACCTTTCAACACGAGTATACAGTAAAGCTCAGAATAAATTAGTGTTATTCACAACTTAGCCCAACAGGCAACCTGGCCTCTGGGTAAGGGCAATTTACCATTTTTATTCAAGAAATTCAAAAGGAGATCATTATAGCTATGCAAGCTATATCTTCCCGTTATCTGTAAGGGGAAATGAAGTTCCAAGTGTTTATTGGTTGCCTCCAATGAGGTGCCTCTTCCACTAACACTTTGAAGCTACTTTGGGCAGAATCTGGAAGGATGAATTTTTACAGATTCTCCCTCCCTCCTGCAGCCCCCAGCCCAAAGCAGCTCCCATGCTCTTCTGAAGGCTGCTTCTGAAATGGTTTCCCTGGAGCAGATTGGGGCTGTGGGGAGGAGAAATAAGCAAATACAGCCTCCCTCTCTGTTCTGCTGACAAAAACCTCCCCTGGATAAATGCAGCTTCCATCAGCAGAGGGACACAAAATAATTTTTAAAAAATGGAACAGAGTATTCACTGTTGGATTTATATATCATGAGGCCAGGCCATGCAGAAAACCATGTTCAAAATTTACTCATCATTGTTGCTTTCTGTGTGCATCCAGTTTTCAATGGTATCATGTCACCTAAGCTAAGCTAACCAAAATGGTTTCATAGAAGCCTTCAGAACTAAGCAGGTCACCAATGCGAAGCTGGCAAAAGGGAATTTGCTGTGGTTGGGGTGGGCAGGTTAGAAGAGTTTTTGAAAACACAACTATGCTTCAGCAGAATAGAAGTATTGCTACTGAGCTAAATCTGGAGAATGTGAGGTGGCCCACCCTTTAAAGTTTAAGGGAGTCCTGCGATTTAGTTGTGCTCGTCTCCTAAATATTCTGCCAAATACTCAAAGCAAGTTCACATGCAATTCGGACCACCTTAAATCATGTGATTACTGAATTTACGCATTTCTTCCCATTTCATTAACTCATCACAGTGCTAACAAGCACAGGCTAAAGAGTGTGCTTGCCTTCAATTGCTGTTGGTGGTTCGAATCCCTGCAACGGGGTGAGCTCCCATTGCTCAGTCCCAGCTCCTGCCAACCTAGCAGTTCGAAAGCACGTCAAAGTGCAAGTAGATAAATAGGTACCGCTCCGGCGGGAAGGTAATCGGCATTTCCGTGTGCTGCTCTGGTTTGCCAGAAGCGGCTTAGTCATGCTGGTCACATGACCCGGAAGATGTCTGGAGACAAACACCGGTTCCCTCGGCCGGTAAAGAGAGATGAGCGCCGCAACCCCAGAGTCGTCCGACGGGCCTTCTGCGGCTTCCGACTGGCTGTAAGAGCTTCCTGCAGCCAATCAGAAGCCGTGCTTCGGTTTCTGAAAGTTTTAGAAGTCAAACGGACTTCTGGAACGGATTCCATTCGACTTCCAAAGTATGACTGTACTCATTTTCCTGAATTATAAGGGCGACCATTAGCTCCTGGCCTTTTTGTCTACCTTCCAAGATATGCAGGACAATATCTGTCCAAAAGGTCTGGTAATGTTTCTTCAGACTGAAGCCACCTGGAAACTGGTTGCTGATGGAGGTCTCGGCCCTCCTTTACTGAGAAGGGCTGGCTAGGTAAAGCTGGCCACAAAGTTTTGCAAGGTGTGGTGCAAACTAACCCAGTTTCCTTTTGTAATATCTATGGACACAGGTACACATAGTGGGAGACTGCCTCAGTCTCACTGAGTATTTTTAAAAAGATACTTACCTGCATTACTAAGGTAAACCTTAACAGGGAGCAAAATATGCTTGTTATATCCTGAATTCTTCCTCTAAGCTATTTGAATTGTCTGGAAATGACTTGCCTTTGGCATCCTTTCGTGTTTTTATTTGTATTTTCAAATATATTCAATTTACTCAATTGTGCAATGCAAAAATTAATTAAAATGCTTTTTGTTTCCCCACCCCAAAGGTGTGTTTTCCATCTTCCTTGTATGATTCCCCTGCTTAAATTGGTAAGAGCTTTACAACAGCTTGCAACTAAAGAATGACTGCTGGTGGTGAAATACAGATAATTATATGTTTTATGACAAGCCGTGTGAAGGTGCATACAGGAGAGCTATATGCATAAAAGCAGGGTATATAAACTGACAACTTAATCTCTTGCACATTAAGAAGCTATGCTCTAGAAGGCGGCAGATCTTCCGTTCTTGTTAACAAAACCCTATTCTATTTCTACCATGAACAAAAAAAGAAGAAGAAAATAAATGGAGTTAACAAAAGCAAACGACTAAATTCTTTTCCCTTTTATTACTCGCTAAATATAGTATTACGGGAACGTAAGTGCGGTTTTTATTTTATTTTTAATGCCTGAAAGCTGTATCAAAGTTTTACCCGTCTTTGTTTTTTTTTTAAAAAAAAAGCTGTGTCAAAATATCATCATGAAGCCTGCTGTGAAACTAAATAGCTACTCCAGTAAGACATCACCTTCTTGAGAAGAAACATTATATTTTCAGGTTTCCCTGGGTACGAAATCTAGATGCACATAATTTTGAACTTAACGATAGACCGGACCCTTTTCCACAGTCAGTTGTAAGGAAGTTTGGGCTACTTCTGCTTGGCTGAATTCTCTCGCACTTGGACCACTTCTGAACTATAATGAGACAGTTGTGAAGGCATCTGCCTGGGATTAGAGACCCTACAGCTCTGAATGGCAAGATCAACATGAACCAATTTCCTGTTTAACTCTGTGCTTGCCGTATTGCCCACGCACATGGGTCAAGGCAAAGTTTGTTGTTTAACTATAACGGTGCTAAGATTCAGAAACATTCCCTGCTCTTTGGAATGAGCTTATTAAGCAGTCGGAATAAAGAAAAAGAAAGTGAGATTAGGACCCAGGTGGCGTTGTGGGTTAAACCACAGAGCCTAGGACTTGCCAATCAGAAGGTCGGCGCTTCAAATCCCTGCGACGGGATGAGTTCCCGTTGCTTGGTCCCTGCTCCTGCCAACCTAGCAGTTCGAAAGCACATCAAAGTGCAAGTAGATAAATAGGTACCACTCTGGCGGGAAGGTAAACAGCATTTCCGTGTGTTGCTCCGGTTCGCCAGAAGTGGCTTAGTCATGCTGGCCACATGACCTGCAAGCTGTACGCCGGCTCCCTCGGCCAATAAAGCGAGATGAGCGCCACAACCCCAGAGTTGGTCACGACTGGACCTAATGTTCCGGGGTCCCTTTACCTTACCTAAT